TGCAGATTTGGAAAGCAGAAAGGAAAAATTACAAAACATTGGTTTTCGGGACCCATTGGTCCCAGGGCAGCGATGGGACCATGGTCTGGTAGCCGTAGCGAGATGGTTTTGATGACTGAGATTTAAAGCTTGGTGCTTTGTTAGAAGGTACCAATTTCAACTTCCTGTTAAGGGAGCGGGAAAATTTTTTGGCCATTCGGTGTGCGTGACCCAGCTGCGTGACAACTTACATTTTAACTTTTCATTTTTTTCTGTTTTGATAAAATATTTAATTAAATAAATATAATTATGAAATAGTATTTCAAATTTTCTATATATAATTTTTTTATTAATTTTTATCTATAATATAGTATATTATTAAAAAAATTTTTGAAAATTCAGCATTAATTTATTAGCTATTTTCATTGATATTTTAGATAACCACTTTACTTAAATATTGTAGAAAAATCCTTTTTTTAACCCTCATTTTAAAATAAAACTCCATAAAAAAACCGAGATGGTAATATTCCTTTTTTTTTTCCTTTTACTTTTTCTTTACTTAATTTAGAGAAAGCGGAAAATCACAATCCACAAAATTTGACAAAATTTTCATTCTATTTTCATTTTGTATATCAATATGAATAGAAGCATTGTAGTCAAATAAAAATTAAACACAGAGGTATGAATCTAACGTAGTACAATATACGACCTGATAATAAATTCATATTCGAATCTTCCATTTTGATATTTCAAAAGAATATATATATAATTTTAAAAAATAAAACACAATTTAAATGTGAAATTATATATATGTCAAATTTAAAGTTCCACGGTAATAAAATTTATATAAAAAAAAAGTAAGGAAGCTGAAAAAACAAAAGAAATATATTAAACAGTTAAAAATGTCAAAGCATAACTAGAACAAACTGATTTTCTCTTGCTAATCTTTTAGGTCATTTGTTTGCGGTCATGGTTTTTGAAAAAAAAGGTCAATTAAAGCTTTCGTGTGGAACACAAAGTGATTGTCCGATAATTCTTTTTTGACAAATGAAGAATGTGATTGTGTTTTTTCATTTTTTTTTTTTTTTTTGAAAGGAACTATACCTCAAATCAAAATTTAATAAGTGGAGCCTTTGAAAATACCCAAAGCATGCAAGTTGAATAAATGCATTTTCTGGTTTGAAACTTTTGCATTCAATAATAGATTGACATGTGAGCTCCAAAAGCTTCAAGTATAATTTTCCACTATCATACAAAATTAAAAAATAGATTTTTGTTTTATTTTTTAATATTTTTCTTGTTGTCATGAACATAAACCTTGTTTTTCCTTTTCCCATTTGTCCCAAAAATATTTTTTCTTTAATTTTCTAAATGTACTGTTGCTTATTTTATAATTTTATATATTATATATTATTATATATTACTTATTATTATTATCATATAATATATATTATATATATGGGACCACCAATTAATATTTGCAAATTAAAAAACTATAACCTTCCGATTAAAAAAAAAAAAATGTAAGGTCCTTGATTTTATTGAGTTTAATATTAATATGATTCAAATTTTCATTATTTGCAAATTTTAACAACAAACAAAATGTAATATTATTGATATTATTGTCCATTAAATTATAAGTTTTAACATTTGTGTTTGGAGTTTAGCAACTTACTCAATGACATTATTTATTACGGAAATATTACGTTTTAATTTTATTAGGCATTAACTCAAAATGTGAATATTGAATTATTTTTCACCATTAATATTAAATAACATTAATATTGTAAAATACTCCCTATTTTTTGTTTTTTCAACGTAAATATTGAACTCAATAATATTATAATAATAACTTTGATAATAATATATTATATTTTTGTGGAAGTTTTGTTGTATTCGATTAGAATTAAATTATAGTCAATTAATAATCTTTAATAAAAATAAGTTAAAATAAAAACAATAATCAACTAAATATTATCTTTTTATTTATTTCTAAATGATTACATGTTTTATTTAGACTTCGTTTGTTTCTGTAAAATAACTTGCAGAAAAATTAAGTTGTTGAAAATATCTTTTACGTTTCTGTAAAATAACTTGCAGAAAAATAAGTTGTTGAAAAATATTTTCCAAATGATTTATTTTCTATTATTTGGTTGTAATATTGAAAATTAGTTAAAAATATTAAAGTTTCTATCTCAAAAACCATAAAAAATATTAATAATAATAGAAATTTTATCGTTAAATATTAAAAAATATAAAAAAATATAAATTAAGAAAGCCACCGGTGGCCAATGTTGGTAGTCAGTGGTAAATGATGACTTGTGATAGCGATTATGATGATTAATAAATTAAAAAATATACATTTATAAGGTTTGTCAATATTCGAAAAATATTTTACTTCCGATAATTAAAAGTTGTTTTTCTTAAAAAATAACTTTTTTTTATCAGTCGTTGACTTATTTTTTCAAATATCCTAAATAATAAAAATTATAAAAAATATTTTTATATAAATTATTTTACGGAAATAAATGTATCCTAATCAACCGAAAAAACAGACAGATTTAAAAACAAAATTGACATTCCAAAAGCGAGGTGGTCAACACCTATCAGGCCCAATGGCCCATGACCGCATATGGGTAGGGCAGGCATCAAGCCTTTTTTACTAGCAATGTAAAAGTGCTTTCAGCTTTTAAACCTCCAACGAATCATCACCTTATCTTAGAGTAGAAATATAAAACTTCATTGTCCCGCAAGCCAAACAGGACAGACCCATTATAACATGTCATGTTCTTGACAATAATAATGATAATACAGAGGATGAGAGGAAGCAAAGGAGAATCAAAGTTGGATAATGGATGAACCGTGTACGTATGCCATTTTTCTATTTCTCAATGATTGGGTTGCGTCCAGTTGTGAACATAAAATTTACATTTTTGGATTTGATTGTCCAGACAACTCTCTCTCCCTTTACATATAAAGCAATATGACAAATACATAAAGTGTGGTTGAACTTCTCCTTATTTGAGTAACCAGAGAAAATGATTTCTAATTTCGAGTTCGAGTTGATTTAATTATAAGTGTTTTTATTAATTTAACGAGTTTAATAAAAAGACTATCCCTAATTCTATTATCCATATCATTTTTTTAAACCATCACATCTCTTATTTGTTATTTATGAGAAAAGATATCTATCAATAAAAGTAAAATTTATTATTTAATAATTGTTAATTATATAAATAAATCATATTATATATTCATTTCGTTCTATTTTATTTGAATGATTTGATAAAATACGCGTATTAAAAATTTAGTCAATAAAAGTTATTTTGTCTTTTTTTTCCCTTAATTTGTTAAGATATTAATAAAAGTCCTTCATTTATAGATCAATCATAAAGGTTATTATGAAAAAAATAATTATTTATGTATCTATATAAATATATAAAATCTAAGGCACAAAAGTCATGTGGCACAATTCTAGAGTATTAAAATGCTTATGTGGCAAAATGTTAGCCTAGCTATATATTGAGTTGAAAATAATATTTTATATTTTTAAAAACTATTTTTAATATAATTAATAGAGAACTTAGTTACTACCATGAATAATATTTTCAGTTATTAGATAATTAATTAAATTAATAATGTCATTAATATTTTAAAATTTTTATTTTTTTTATAAAATAATTAACAATATCATTAATATCTATTCTTTTTATTTTCCATTTTCCACTGCTATAAAATTTGTATATGTAACTGTTTCAATATAAATGAAACTTTAAAGAAAGTCAAATCATACTTTCAACAAAAAGAAATGAATTATTTGCAAATAATATAAAACTATTTTCATGACATTTTGTTGATGTGAGCTTGATAAATATGGTGATGACGATGGAATTATAAAGTGTATTCAATTTCCGATGATCTACTAAAATATGATTTTATTATTTATAATAAATTATTCTGTAACAAAGCCTCACGTAAAAGCATTTTAGTTATTGTTACAATAACTAAATATTTATTTTTGTTCAGCATAATGCCACCTAAATCATAAAATTCACTTCTCAATGCTTTTTTTAATGAAATTAAAATTAAAATTAAAATTCATTTTCTAATATCATTAACCTGTGAAATAGAAAAATATTTAATGACAAAATTGATGTTTATGTTTTATTTTATGAAGGGAGATAATATTACTTTTTAATATATTCCATATCAGGGCAAACTTAATGAAATGTTTTTTTAAGTTTTTAATGTTTATTGGATGTATGCCCAAATTTTAGATTATTTATTCAAAATGAAATTCAATAATTGATATTTGAAAAGATTATTTTAAAATCTATCATAATACTTATAAAAATAAGAAATTTTAAACTTAATTATAAAGTTGAAATATGTATACTTATGTCAATGTATTGATCCCTTTGCAAGAATCTGTAAAAAAAATTTATTTTTTATTTTATTTTTTTTACATTAGTAAGCATAATATTGGAATTTGGATTTTTAAAAATAATTATTAATTATAATAAAAATAACATTTTTATTTTTAAATATTATATATTCGCACACAAAGCGTAAAAAGATAAATAATAAGTAAACAAAATAGGAGAGAGAGTATTATTTTTATCTCAAAAAAAAATATATTTGTTTGCCTGAAAACAAATTTATTGCATGTGTTAGGGATTGGGTTGGATGTGATCAGGTTTTCAGGGATAAAGTGGAGGCTTCTTCAAATGGATAAGTGGGCCTCATTCTGTATGTAACTTGTGAAAAGCCCCTTTCCAGGCCCACTTAGAAAGCAGTCAGCGAAATTAACGCGTACGTATCATGTACAATTATCATGCCCGAACGACACAAACGAGCGTCCTCTATGTCCATGAAGCGGTGCAACTGCTGCTCAAACGACAATCGTTTTCTTCTCCCTATCAATTTGTTCGCATTATAAAGAAGAAATTGTTGGAGTCGCATTGGCCCAGCCCACATAAATAATTTCGATATGGTCCTCAAACGGAAAACAGTCAAATCTAGGTGTCAATACAAATAATAGTGAAAATGCTGGGGCCAAAGTGAAAATTAGCGTAATCTCTTTTCTCTTTGTTACTCAGCTCCAACAAAGAGAGACCTCGCTGATCAGAGGGAGTCCTTCAAGCTCTTCAAAGTCCAAGGTTAGTCCTCTTAAAACCCTGTTTGATTTTCCAAATTCATTTGTTTCAGACCTTTAATTGTAAAACGCGCAATTGTCTTATTATCAAGCTTTCAACTTTGTCAAATCTGAATGTTTATGTTTAGTTTGGTCGCTTGTATGTTTGTGCTTTTGGATTAAGGATGAGAAACGAGTGGGATTGAGAAAATTTTAAGTGGTGACCTCTTGTTTGATTCCTGAGAAAATCGAGGAAAAGCGAAGAAAAAAAAAAAATCAAGAGTTTGATTCTTTTTGCTGTTCGTCAGTTTTATTTCTATAGGAAAATGAAATACTGAACTTAAATCGGTCCCTGATGTGTACATCAGTAAGCTGGTGAAGTGGAGGATTTCGGGAAGGGGAAATAAATCGGGATTCATAATTGTTTAGAATTTTATTGGAAGCCTGACTTAAGTAAATGTGCGTTTTTGACATTTATTTAGTTGGAATTTCAGTTTCTTATTATTGAGCGTTTGTTTATGCCGAGAAAATTTTGGGGAGGGAAGGGGAAAGAACAGCCAAATTATTGATTTTCTAGGGTTTTGTGATAAATTCTGTTAATTTTTTTTACTCATAGTTATTAGGAACCAAAATGTGGAACCTTGAGTAGTCACTTTTCTGCAGTTGCACATTTGAATTTTTAAAAAATGGGAATTTGTTCTTTAATTCTGTGATTTCAAATTGTGACTTTATGAGGCATCCGAAAAGTCTTAAAAGTTCCAGCCATTACATTATTAACAGTATCAGAATTTTTTTTTTGCCAATTTCTTGATTGAGATAATATTTATTTTAACATCGTCAGCTGTCGTTTTTACAGGTTCACCTGAATTTCTCTGGTTGAGCTTTCACCTGGGGAAAAAAAAAATGCTTCAGTAGCAAACTTGGTGATATAGCTGTTTGCTTATTTGCATGTGCGGGAGACAGGTTTGAGTTAGCTGAATTTTGTTCTTCATTATGGAGCCTTTGTGGAAGCTCTTATATTTGCTGGAGCCTGCACCTGTTACCCTAATAGTGACAGCTGTAGCTGTGACATTTGGATCTGCATTTCGAGCTCTAAATTATGGGAAAGAAATGGAGCGGAACCGTGACTTATCGGAAGCATCTATTATGTTGGATAGGTCCCAAGCATTAATGATCCCAATAATGAGCTCTTGCAGTTTGCTTTTAATGTTTTATCTGTTTTCATCTGTCTCGCAACTTCTCACTGCATTCACAGCTGTTGCCTCTGCTTCTTCCCTGTTCTTCTGCCTTTCTCCTTATGTTGCCTATGTAAAGTCACATTATGGTTTGGCAGATCCATTTGTTTCGCGTTGCTGTTCAAAGTCTTTCACACGAATCCAAGGGCTATTGTTGTTGTCATGCTCTATCACTGTTGCAGCTTGGCTTGTTTCTGGGCATTGGATATTGAACAACCTGTTGGGTATTTCCATTTGTATTGCTTTTGTGAGTCATGTGCGCCTTCCGAACATCAAAATATGCGCAATGCTGCTTGCTTGCTTGTTTGTATATGACATATTCTGGGTATTCTTCTCAGAGAGATTTTTTGGTGCCAATGTTATGGTGTCAGTGGCAACGCAACAAGCATCAAATCCTGTTCATACAGTGGCCAATAGTTTGAGCCTCCCTGGGTTGCAATTGATTACAAAGAAGCTTGAGTTGCCTGTGAAAATAGTCTTTCCTAGGAATTTGTTGGGTGGTGCTGTACCTGGAGGAAATGCTGCCGATTTCATGATGCTTGGCCTCGGTGACATGGTATGATGACCTTTTCTTTTGTCAGTGGTCTTGCAGTGCTCTTCCCAAATGTCCAAAGACTTGTTTTCATCTTATTATGTTGCATCCAAGTTTCTGCTTGTGGTTTTTTTTTTTCTTAAGAGGACTGGTGGAATATTTTAGGCTTCTTTTCTTTGGGCAACAAACATCAATCTACACTGTATAATGTTTGCAATCCTTCCTCTCTACTCCCTAGTAGAGACCCTGGAATGGAACTTCATATTGGAAGATCACAACTGACCAGTTTATGATGTGCTCATGCAAAATGTTATGCAATGGTCATGTTCTTGGTGTTGCTTGGTTACAATTGATATGTGTTTCCTAATTCCTCAGGTCTTTTAATCAAGTCTCACTCTAGGATGAATCTACCTTCTTAGTTCTGGTTGGTATCTCTAATGGAGATGGCAAGATCTTGAGGACTGATCAGTTTGAAGTCTTAATAGTGAGTCAGTAGTTGCAAAATGATCTTCTCCACTGGTCCTACACATAGTTGTTTTATCCAGTTTACAGTATGTAGGCTTTTCTAGTTTTGAAATGTTCTAAGAATATGGCTCATCCTTCCTCCTCCATAGAAGCTAGGTTATTATTGGACAATAATTTTACTGGCCATCTGTGCTTGCCTGGTGAATTATTCTATAATATGGGCTTGATGTGCATCATTTTGAATATCATTTAACATGGTTATTCTTCTTTTTGTGTCTAATTTGCCTGTGTGTGTTTCATGTAAATATATCTGCACTCATGCATTACATACTTTGCTGGGTTTTTCTCCACTATGATTGTCATTGCAATATTATTTGATTTTTCAGAGAAAGTATTAAAAGAAATCAGCCCCCTATTTTAATATGTTGTTGCAGGCTATTCCTGCCATGCTTCTGGCATTAGTCCTCTGTTTTGATCATCGGAAGAGCAGAGAGCCTGTAAGTCTCTTAGATATACATTCATCAAAGGGGCACAAATACATATGGTATGCGCTTCCTGGATATGCCATTGGACTGCTAACTGCTTTAGCAGCTGGTGTTTTGACCCACTCACCCCAACCTGCACTTCTTTATCTGGTATTTCTTCCATTGCTGTTTAATCAACTTTCCAATATTTGTTTATGATCCTGGCTTCGATGGAGTTTTGATGGGGAGCTTTCTCTAATTTGGTTTATCATCTTCTAGGATTATTGCCTATGCAAGTTGTCGCTTTTTGGTAGATGTAACTTTATTAAATATACAAGTGGATAATCCAGTCGCTTGCGCCTGGATATAATTAGACACAAAAAAATGTCATGATGATGTTGATTAATGAAGCCACTTTTAAATTTTGGATACATGCATCTGAAAGTTGCTCACAGTTGCTGTTCAAGGTTGGTTTTAACGCAATAAGATTGAGTCTTGGGTTGCTGATGTGCTTTTTTTTTTTTTTTTGAAAAAAAATTTTCAAGGGCTTTCAGGAGCATCCTGATCACGCTGTTGGTAGTGTGATATTCTGCAAATTGTATTGTTCTAGAACTATTTGAAATTGCTCTATAAGACCTTTCAAACTTTGACATGATTCCAACCTACAATATGCCTCAAGACAATTGCATTTGACAGTTTGTTTTCCAGTGGTGAGTCTGAGGTTGGTGATAAGGCTCACAGTCACCAAGGTTTAGTTTCTGTAATTCTAGTGGCTTGGCATGCAACGAATGGTGCATTGTTGCTTGCTTTGAAAGTTTTTTTTTCCTTAAACAAGGTTATCTAATTACCTTAGAAGTCTGTCTCTCTTCCTGTTTACTTAAAGCTGATTATTGAGTTTTATTTTTTTCTTGATTCTTTTGGTTATAGACAATCTTCCATTTAAGTTTTATGTATCACATCAGTTGCTCTTTTAACTTTCTCCCCCATCATTGGTGAATGTAGGTGCCTTCTACTCTAGGACCTGTAATCATCATCTCCTGGGTCAGAAGGGAACTGACTGAGTTATGGGAAGGAAGCATCCCAAATCTAAACGATAAAGCACGCCAAATAGAAGTTTAGGTGATTTATCTTCCCGGGTCACAGCTAGAGGTTGCAGAGTCGATCAGAAGCTGTAAATTTGCTTGGAAAAGTTCTATCCTTTTAAATATGTTGGTAGAAAATTGATGATTTATGTTTATTTTGTACTGCCTAACTTGCATCAATTCCTTTAAATGTCCAGTAATGAAAAGAAAAAGAAATTAAATTTATCTGAATCCTGTCATTACCATGACTGAGTTGTATACAAATAACCGTTATAAAAGTTTTACTTTGGCCACTAAAACAAGATTAATGCAGGTTCTGGCTCAAAAATTTCATCTGAAATTAGGGTTTATCGTTTATGGATTCTACAAATGAAACTATACACCTTGATGCTCAGAGATGCATTAGTTACTGGCTCGTACACCTTGGATTTGGGTTTGGAGCTTCCTGATAATTTATTTAAGAAGCACTTGTGTTAGTGTATTTTGTCATCGACGAAAACAAGGAGTTGTTCGCAGACGAGAGGATCGAAAATTAAAGGCCTTTGGTCTCTTGAGAACGGCAAGTACAAAATTCAGCCATTTCTAAGAAAAAAATTGTCGTCTGGAAATTATGTCGCAAAACGACCTGGTTCATTCAAAAATTTACGTGGAAAACGGGTGACTGACTTTTCATTCCCTAGGAACTAGAAGGTTATGCAGGCAATATCCAAAACGACATCGTGACATGCCTGATTCGCACGGTTTTAAACCGAACGTCAGCTTGAACGGTCAAAACGGCAAGAAATATCAGAAAATGGTTGGTTTAAGTGTCCGAAATTGACATTCTGGTGGGTCGTTAACGGTAGTTTCGACCAGAAACGCAATGGGGGCAACCGATTAACATGCAACAATTGATAAAAATACAGACAAACACTGTAACATCAGTTACTCACCTTCCTAACACAGACAACAATAGATAGAGAAAGAAAGAGAAAATAAATCATCTATCTTTCCTTGTCTTTCCTCTCCAGTAAACAAACAAATAAAACCCTAGAATTCTCCTTCAAGCTCCACTCTGTCTCTTTTCTAATCATTGAGCTTCTCCATAGCTAAATTTCGAGCTAACTCCGTATTCATTGAACTCCCCATGGCATCAATGGCTTCCACGTGCTCTCCGAGCTCTCTCCAGCTACGATTGGCTCTGAATTTTAGGAGGGGATCGCCTGCAGCTCTGATTCGGGCTCGGGTCAGGAAACTGGATACTCATGTTCGTTCGCTATTCGTGGCTCAAATTGGAAATGGAGGGGAACGGTATCGTGATCGAATTGCGACTGGTGCTGCAGCGGATAATTTTGCTGGGTGGTCTGAATCCGATGAGGGTGATCAATCTGTTGAGTCGAAGTCGCAGAGAAAGCAACGGCTACGAGGTATGAGAGAAAGACTTAGTGTTGCATTGTTCATAGAAAATTGAGCCAAGGGAAGGACGAAACTTTTAAGTTTATGGTTGTATTAAATGAATGATTAAGGAGGTGCTGGGTACGGCTGTTCTCTTTCTTATAGCCTTTTTTTTTTGTTTAATTTCTTATTGTTATATATCAGATGAGCAATTGGGAAATGAAATTGAAGTGGCTCAATTTGGTGCAATAGGCAATATAAAATCACCAATTCTCATTTTAGGTACTTACTCCAATAAAGGGTTATCGGTCATGGCTTGAATGATGTATCAGATGTTGCACAGAAAATGAAATGAGTTTATTCTGGTTACAGTTCCAGTCGGGTATATATAGCTGAGGGGTTGGGTTTCATTTTTTTTTTTTTTCTTATCTAATTAATGGACTAATAACACCTTGGGAGTAGTTTGCTCTCAGGAATTGTGGGAGCTGGAGTTGCTGGGATCATCCTAGTTGCAGGGCTTACCTTTGCAGCATTGTCTCTAAGCAAGCGGAATGCTTCAGGTAAGTGGCTGGTTTGTATCTCGGAAAACAAATGTTTTATCTAATATTTGCAAAATTAAAGACTGTCGCTGTAGTAGCATCGAAGCCCTATGTGCTATAATGCTGAGCCAAGGACGCTCTGCCTTATCTATAGAAGCAGTCAACTGAGTTCTGAACGAATTAGCTACTTGGTAATGACTTAATCTATAGATAGAAAGCCTTATGATGGGAAACTACCACGTTAGGTTTGGAGAGAGATGGGACCGCTTATATAATAGAATAGGGGTGGTTTTGGATTTCCCTCCTCAAATTATGTTTGGTTGTTTGCCAACACAATCTTATTTTCATTTTTAGTACATAATTTCTGCTGGTTTTGTGTTTGATAGAACAATTAGCTTTCAGGGATTGAGTATCTTTGTAATTCCATAATGTCTAGATCCGTGCGTGCTTTAATATATAGATACCCACAGGACCAAAGCAACAAATGGAATCATTGACTACTCAGCAAGAAGTTTCATTGCTCTCTGCTGATGAGGATGATAAAGTTCAGAAAAATGAAAGCGAGGGAAGCATTGTAAAGCAAGATGATAACAATCTGGAACACAAGACAGGTATAGATGTTGATCTTTCTTCATCTCCAGAAATTCAGGAAGCATCAAGTGAAAATAAAGTTGGTGATGGTAATCAGATCCCATCAGTCGACAATGCCAAATTCATAACTGGTACTAGTAATACCATTGATAATGATCTTGTTCAAGAAGATTTGCAATATGAATCAGCTTTTGTTGATAAGTCAGATGCTCCAGAAATAACTCCCAACTCAACTTATTTGCCTGATTCTGTAATTACTGATGATAGCCTAGCTGCAAGCATGCCTAAATCAATATCTGAAATAGGGCAGCACTTAGAAAATGGTGAACCTGCTAATTTGGTAACAAATCCCATCACTGGCCACCAAGGTGGATTGCTTAGCTCTGAGGAAAAAGAGACTTCCAATCCTTCATTGGAATTTTCTAATTCCCCTGTTCATGAATCCAGTGAGCCTGTGGCTGTGAATATTTCTGTCACTGCAACAGTGGATACAGTTTTAGAACCTGGAATTGTTTCCAAAGATGACATGGAAACCATAACCTCACTTCCAACACAAGAAAATATTGACCCAAGCAAACTAACGCGGGCCTCAATTGAGAGAAATAATTCGTACCTGGAAGGGAGTTACTTGAATGAAAGTGGATCTTCTGGAACATCTGTGTCAGCATCAGCCTATCCATTTGCAAACGAACAAGACCTGGTTGCTAAAAATGGCACAAATGAAACCGGAACATTTTTTGTATCACCACCTTTCAGTGGTTCCTTCTCCTCTGCTGGTATACCTGCTCCATCTGCAGTTTCTAAAGCTCTGCAGTTTTCTCCGGGAAAGGTTCTGGTTCCTGCCGTTATTGATCAAGCTCAGGGACAAGCACTAGCTGCACTGCAAGTGTTGAAGGTACTCCTTTTATTTACGTAGATCAATTTTTTTATAATGGTGGTAATACGGGTGTGTATAATCCATGTGCATAATAATGGCTTTGCAGTCAATGGTTGATTATTTCTTTTCAGGTGATCGAGGCTGATGTTCAACCTAGCGATCTGTGTACTCGTCGTGAGTATGCTCGTTGGTTAGTGGCTGCAAGCAGTGCTCTTTCAAGGTATACTGCTAACATTTTAGATTCTGGGAACTTAGCATCTGATTAGCAATAGATAGTGAATATCAGAATTCTAGGTTTGTATTATGATTGAATTTTGATTGCTTGAAGGAACACACTGTCAAAGGTATATCCTGCAATGTATATTGAGAATGCTACTGAACTAGCATTTGATGATATCACACATGATGACCCTGATTTTTCATCTATTCAAGGTGAGAACTGTACCTTACATTCTTCGGCTGTGACTTAAGCAATGAGGTTTAGTTTGGTGTCATAATAGTTATTTCCTGATATGGATTTTCAGGCTTGGCTGAAGCAGGACTTATCTCGAGCAGGCTTTCAAGTCGTGATTTGCTTTCTTCCTCAGATGAAGACCAAGGTCCTTTTTACTTCTGTCCTGAAAGGTGATAGAGTTTTCATCTCATTATAAGAACTGTTCTAATTTTATTAGATTGTATTTTCCTTTCCTCCAGTGCTAGTCGTCTTCTATAAGCTGCTATTTATTGGAACAAAAATTTGGATATTCCGATCTCATTACCTACAAATATTAAATTTTACTTTGATGATATCCTTCTTTCTTAAACTGTTTCTGGTGCTTGATAACTAAAGGTGCCACCTAGCCTAGGTGGTTGATTGATGGCATGGAACAGGCTCAGAAATTGCCTTTGGACTAACTTCCACCATGTCCTGCGATGAGCAATTTATCTTTATGATGCTGTACTGTGGATATGGTTGTTTGTTTTGATTAAGACATGCCGTTTTTGTTTGTGATAAATTTTTATGATTTACCTCTTCTTGCATTTCACTCATCAAGGTTTTTTTGTGGCAGCCCTTTATCACGGCAGGATCTTGTAAGCTGGAAGATGGCCCTCGAGCAAAGACAACTTCCAGAAGCTGATAGAAAGGTAAGTTGAGCTACCCCCCCCCCCCCCATGGATGCTGTAACTGGTGGATATGGTTGGTTTTTTGTTTTGATTAAGACACATGCCGGTTTTGTTTGTGAGTAAATTTTTAATGATTTACCTTTCTTGCCTTCAACTCAATCAGGTTTTTTTTTGTGGCAAGACCGCTTTAATCAACGGCAGGATCTTGATAAGCTGGAAAGCAATGGCCTCCTCGAGCAAAGACAACTTCCAAGAAGCTGCATAGAAAGGTAAGTTGAGCTACCCCCCCCTCCTCTTTTATTTATTCATGTTGCCTAGCAGTGGGAATTATCATTGATATGTACTGTTCTTTTTTTTTTTTCACTGTGATAATGTTTCCGCAGACTTTGTACAACTTTTCCTGGTTTTTATAGCCCCCTCTTTTATTTTATTCTGTTGCATACAGTGGAATATCATTGATTGTACTGTTCTTTTTTTTTTTCCACTGTGATAATTCGCAGACTTTGTACCAACTTTCTGGTTTTAGAGATATTGATAAAATAAATCCAGATGCATGGCCTGCACTCATAGCTGACTTGTCTGCAGGAGATCATGGAATAATATCACTTGCATTTGGTGAGCCATTGTAGCCTCTAGTCATCTCTTCTGTATTTCATTTTGATTTTGATAATTGATGGCCATATCCACTTCCCCTTTGCTTTTTCTAGGTTGCACAAGATTATTCCAGCCAGATAAACCTGTTACAAAGGCTCAAGCTGCAGTAGCTCTGGCAACTGGCGAGGCTTCTGACATAGTTAATGAGGAGCTTGCACGTATTGAAGCAGAATCCATGGCAGAAAATGCTGTGTCTGCACATAATGCTTTAGTAGCCCAGGTTGAGCATGATATCAATGCAAGTTTTGAGAAGGAGCTTTCCATGGAAAGGGAAAAGATTAATGCTGTGGAGAAAATGGCTGAAGAGGCAAGGCTTGAATTAGAAAAGTTAAGGGCTGAAAGGGAAGAAAATAATATTACCCTGATGAAGGAGCGAGCTGCTATCGAAGCAGAAATGGAAGTTCTTTCAAGATTAAGAAGCGAAGTCGAGGAGCAGTTGCAAAGCCTTCTAAGTAACAAGGTGGAGATGTCATTTGAAAAAGAAAGGATCAGCAAACTTCAAAAAGAAGCCGAGAAAGAAAAACTGGAGATTTCTCGGTTACAGTATGAGCTGGAGGTTGAGCGGAAAGCCTTGTCCATGGCCAGGTAAAAAGGAAAATTGATTTGTTTTTCCATGAGGCAGTATGAATAGTTAAATAGTCAACATTTGATGTTTTGGATTATTATTTGAAAAATAAAATTGTTAGGTTTCCTTTCCTGTTTGGGTTTAAATGTAGCTGGACTGCCAACATGTAAAATCATCCATAAAAAATGACAAACTCCTGTGCATTTTAAACTGTGTTATTCAGGGCTTGGGCCGAGGATGAAGCAAAAAGAGCAAGAGAACATGCAAAGGCCATTGAAGAAGCAAGAGATCGTTGGGAGAGGCATGGCATCAAAGTAGTAGTTGATAGTGATCTCCACGAGGAGAGTTCTGCTGGAGTAACATGGGTTGCTGCTGCAAAGCAGTTCTCCATTGAAGGAACTGCAAGCCGAGCTGAAAATTTGGTGGACAAGCTCAAGCTAATGGCGAATGACTTGAGAGGGAAATCTAAGGAGGCAATTCATAAAATTGTGCAGAGGATACTAGTGTCAGTTTCAATTTTGAAGGAGTGGGCCTCAAAGCTAAGTACCCAAGCTAAAGAACTTAAGGATGCCACTGTTCTGAAAGCAAGAGGATTAATGCAGGAGTTGCAGCATAAGGCATCAGAATTGAATTTGGCCGTCCAGGAGAGGACAAGAGAGCCAATACAAGGGTTGCAGCAACGCACCGAAGAACTTAATGTGGCTGTGAGGGAGGGTACAAAGCGGGTTGCTGGAGATTGGAGGGAAGGTGTAGAGAAATTCACTCAGAAGTTCAAATCATGAAATATCTTTTACCTTCTTGCTTTCCTACTGCATCAATAATAAAGTTGCTGGCAGTTGCTGCTGAGATGGCAGGCATGCAACACTTGTATTACATTACATTTTGTAGTTTCCAATTTTTTTTAAGAGGTATTAACCAGACTTGGCAGTGTACCAAATTGTAAGAGAAAATTGCAGTTTTGTGAAAAGATTTACGAAATCAAATTTGTTCTCAGGAGCATTTTAATTTCTCAGGACTGCCAGCTCCTTCAACCATTCTAAGGACTAAAAATATTGCTTTCTGGGGAACAAAATCTGAGTTCTTTGATGTGCGTCACAATTGGAAACAAGGATGACAAAAACATATTGTAGAAGTGTCCGTCCTGCAAGGCTAAAACCAATTCACAACCTAGACTTCTGGCCCAGGCTCGTTATTGTTAGAATCCGATTTCTGCAATAAAACTACCACACATCTGTTAAACCGGAAACAAAATTGTGGACTATTGATAGGTCACAAATTTAAGAAATTCCAGCAAATGTTACATCTTCTCAGTAACTTTCAAGCTTCCACTCAACATCAGAACAACTCATGCAAACAGCTCAGGCAATAAATTTCAAGCCCATATCATATCCAAAAATAAATGGTCAAAAAAATGTAATACTTCATGATAAACTGTAAGGGAAACTAAAAGGACATCATTTGCTTCTAATTAAAACAAAACAAGGTTCTGATCAAAATCTCAAACGTCTAAAAAAACATGGAAGTCGCCTCTAGCTATTATAATGTCTAACAGACAGATTGAGATCTGTCTGTCTAAAATCATTGAGGTCTGCTCACTTCTTCTTTTCACCACCTCCAGCACCCCTGAAGGATAATCACATAAAAAAAAAATTAAAACACAATAGAAAACCAGCAAAGAAGACCGAATCTGAAGTGCACCGATAGGTATTTAAAGACGTAAAAGAGCGAAAAAACTATATATCCTTGAAATTTACCTCATCTTGCGGACAACACTGGACATCTCCTCTCTCTTCTTCTTGGCCCTCTTGTGAGTCCCCAACTTTCTTTTAGCCACCTTCAAGGCCCGCTTATCCTTCCCAACTTTCAGAAGTTCAGTGATCCGCTTCTCATATGGTGCAAAACCAGCAACTTCCCTTATCAAATTTCTCACAAAGTGAACCCGTTTGCTTGTTTTCTGAACAGATAAAAAATATCATAATGTCATCAGTTCTGTGATTCATAACCATCACAAAATCCAATATACTAGTATCTATATGTCATAGAACAGAAAATCTATATATTATCTATAGTTTGTCTTCTTTCATGATGTTTTAACATACCTCAAGAATACAATGTAAATAATCAACTCTTGGAATGTAAAAATAATGAAATGGACCAAATAAATTTGTTCAATGAAAATCGACTTACCCCTTTGCGGTTAGAAGGACGAGGAGCTAATTCTTTCTTGGTTACTATGTGACCTTTGTTCAATCCCACAAAGAGGCCGGTATTTGGAGCCATCACCTACAAGAACAATGCCATACAGCATATATCATTTTACAAAATTCGCTCAACCAAGCTAGCATCAAAGTGATCAAAGTAACCAATTACTATCAGACTGATTTCCAAAAAAAAAAAAAATAGAAAGACCAAATCACTAATAAAAACACATAATCGAAGTCGCTAGTTAATATTGTGAGCTTGGAACGATTCAAAAGTTTCTAAAAACCCCCTTCTCCAGAAAGAAGCATAATCGTGTATTCTAGCACTTTAATCAGTTGCTTAAAAAAAGAACTGTATTTATCTTACAACTTTCTATTGCTATAAACGCTCAGCGTATTCATTTGCTCTCTGTAATCTATGCTGCAATTGAAATGATATACAAAATCTTGATAGCTTCCAAGTGCAGAACAAGAAATTTCGATCCCGATTTAGAATTTTAACAGCGCAAAAATATAAACAGCACCGTCAACACACATATCAATTATATCTAAAGCTTAAAATAATGTCGCAGGTGAGATACAACACGCGAAATAATCCCAATCATAAAATAGAAATTGTTGATATAAGATCTAAAATTTTTAATGTTTTGCGCAAAGATTGAACGTATATCAAGGAATTGTCCCCTAATCGACCTAATATACAACTACTTATGAAATCTAATTTCCTAAATAGCTATGCAGCCCCTAACATGAACTCTTATATTTCTCTTATGGTATTTCGAGTTTCTCAATGAACAGACAAAAAACAAAAGTTATTTCCATGGCTAGAGAGATTAATGGGTTACCTCTAGACGACTGGCAGTAGCAGTGACCGAGGATCCAAGGCGGGTTCTGAAGAAGAATTAGGGTTTTGGGTTTGTCAATCCTTTTATATGCAGAAACCAGACTAGAAATATAAAGGGAAAATAATTATTTCGTCCCTGAGGTTTGCTATAATTATATAAGTAGTCTTCGATATTTATATAAATATTTATAACGTCTCTGAGTTTCACTTCTGTCATATTAATCGTCCAAAAAATACACTTTTTCCGTTAATTTTGAGAGGAAAATATGAAATTATCATTTATAAATTTTCATTGACATTATTATCTATCCCTTTCCTCTAAAATACCTAAAACTCAAATTTTCATTATCTTCTTCAACCCAATGCGGTTTTCATTGCCATCACCGTGTCTCTGTCGATCATCATCTTCATAACCAGATTACCACTAAAACTAAAACCCAACATCCAAACTCAATCAAGTCATCATCATCCTTCATCCATTTATCTCTCTCCCCTTGATTAGAGGATTTAGGATAGTTTGGCCATTCTATTAAAAATTAACAATAAAAAGTGTGTTTTTTGGATGGAATAACTAAGTAATATGATGAAAGTGAATTTCAGGGATGTATAAATATTTATATAAATATCGAAAACTATTTAAATAATTATGCAAACTTTAGGGACGAAATAATTATTTTCCCTTTTAGTTTTTGGTGGTGATTTGGTTATGGAGAAGAAGGTTGATAGAGACACGCTGGTGGCAATGAAGACTGCGTTGGGTTGAGTATGATGGTAAAAATTTGAGTTTTAGGTATTTTAGAGGGAATGAATTGACAATAATGTCAATGAAAACTTATAAAGGATAATTTCGTCTTTTCCTTTCAAAATTAATGGAAAAATTGAAAGGACCAATTAATATGACGGAAGTGAACCTCAGGGACGTTATAAATGTTTATATAAATATCGGTAACTACTTAAATAATTATGGTAAACTTTATGGAAGACATAATTATTTTTCCAAAGGATAATTTCGTTTTTTCCTCTCAAAATTAACGAAAAAATTGTATTTTTTAAATGGAATGACCAATTAATATGATAGAAGTAAACCTCAAAAACGTTATAAATATTTATATAAATATCGAAAACTACTTAAATAATTATGGAAAATCTCGGACATAAGATAATTAGTTTCCCAAATATAAAATGTACAAAGATTAGGGTAATGCGGTAACATTAGTAATTCCCCATTAATTGAACGTTGTCGTTTTAACTCCAAGTAGCACGCGTCATCATCCATCTGTTTCTCGCATTTCTTTTTAATTTTAATTTTTTCCAATAAATTTTACTACCTCCCCTCCATTTCAAATGTTATTTAAAAAAATGTCCTTTTTTCCAATTCATTTGTCTTTTGAAAAAGGATAACAAAACATCAATTATTTGTTTTCCATTTTATCATTATCTAATTATTTAGATAATAGATACACATTTAGTTAACTTCAATTTTTTATAATTAAAATTATTTACGAATTTCCTTAATTCTCTTGTAAATATTTTAAAAGAGAGTCAATGGAGCAGAGATGCTAAATATTTTTTATTAAAGGTATTAGTCCTATTATATTTTTTAAAATTATTTTTTTAGGAATAAGAATTCAATTTTCATATACAAGGGAACGTTAAAAATTGGATAAAATAAGTATAAATTTCGTGATTTACTTACTTAGGTCTATGGATACTCATAAACCAAACTAATAAATAATACATTTTTTTATTAAAACGGGGCATTCCTAATCATATATTGAAAATAATAATAATAAAAAAAAATAAGAATAATTTTTGAAAATCTATATTTTCATTTAATTGATCCATGATAGGCTCATGGATGAGGTCTAGACAAGCCTAATTTATAACATTTTTCCTATAAAAAAAGGGAAAAAAAAAATGTAAGTAAAGAGCACCTATTTGCTTGTTAGTATAACAATTCAAGGAAAAGGGAAATATTAAAGAAAAACATAGAGGGAATATATATATATATATAAATTGTTTTGATGTTTGGATATGTGGTAGGAAATGAGGAGGAAAGGTGATTTTATGAATAGTGAAATTATAAATTTAAATTTTATTCTATTTTGATAGGTAAAATTATAATTTTTGTTATTTTTCTTGTAAACTAAAGAGAAACTAATAAGTGGACCGCAAAATTAATTTTATTTTCATATTTTTTTCATTCACAAATAGGTGAGGAGAATAAAATTTTATTTGTTTTTCTCCATTTTTATTCATCTCATATTTTCCACCAATCCAAACATACAATAAAAAGTATCAAACCATATAAGAACATGTGATTTGCAAATAGGACCTTCATCACACATTCATACCTATATATTTCATGCTTTTTTTTTTTTTCCCCATAAAGACTGAGAATATGTTTTTCTTTTTTTTCTTTTTTTTTCTTTTTGTTTTAAAAAGAAAAATCAAACAGGAGCAAATATAATACCTACACCAAGAATTCTGTTGAATCTGAGTTGTCCCGCTCTCCTTTATCATCCTCTCGCTTGAATTTATTCAACTAAAGCGGAGATTAGGACACCAATTGCATCATAATGTACAACAACTAATCCATTTTCAATCAAAGCGAAACCAAACCAACAACCATGGATGCTCGTTATTAATAGTTGTTCATGTCTGCAAATCAAATAAAATATACTAGTAGTTTATTGCAGTATCTTCACAGCCACAGCTAACTCAAAACAAAAATGTCAAAACGTCCCATTTGACTTGTAGGTGGCTCCTTAAATCGCCAAATCCATCTATACATGTACTAATCAGTAATCGCTCTCGCCAATAACAGTGCTAGGTGGGCTCTGTGAACTGTGAAAGCACGTGCCTCCAAACACTGAATTCTCCATGTGTTCCACGGAAATTGCCTCAAGTTTTCTCCTTTTTTCCGGTCAGTACGAAATTCTAGCAAAGGGTCTCTGTTATTTTGTCTTCTTCCGTGTTCTTTTGTTTGCTTGATTGAATATCAAAACCTGTGATCATCAGTAGCGGAGACCCAAATCAGTTTATCCCTTGAAAGTTCTATTTTTTTTTTTTTTTTTTGTATGCTTTCGGAGTGGGCACCGCCAATAATGTAATAGAGGTTCCTGTCATGAATTAATCTTAGATGTTATGTCTTGAAGTTTGCAATACTTAATGCGCAAAGCAATGCGTAACTCAGGCGCCTTAGTTAGACAATATCCGTCCATATCGAATCGGTTAGCGAGAGCTTATATTCAATCTAAAAAGACCGCGAGGAGATTACTATAACGTTAGAACATGAGCCTATAAGAGCTCCACATCACGCCGCATATTGCAATCTCTCGAATAAGATATCGGCTCCGTGAGAAGTAGTGGACTTTCAAAAGCACCAAAGGAGCTACATTCTAAGACATCCTTATTAAACAATGTGCGATAGACGGAATACCAAACCAACTAAACCCTAGCCATGGAATGAGCTCTGGGGCCTATTCAATGAAGCAGACCGGTCTGTTTCAGTAAATTGCCCGATCTGCAATAAGAGAAACTAACAAAATATGACTTCCATCTAAGCTAATGTTGTCTTATTAGGACGACAATAGTTATATTCTGTGCCTCCAGCCACAGGCGGAGAAAAGGGGCGTGATGAAGCGGACAGACAGATCGAGAGATAACTTCAAAAAATGTGCCAAAACGTTGCCCATTTGACTTGTTTGATAGAGATGACGCTTCCTTAAATGCGCTCAAGAAATCCACATCTAACAATGTTTAACTAATTCGAGCTAATATCGCTCTCTGAGTGAGACCAATCACACGAGTGTAGTTTGGGTCTTTGTGCACTATGATAACATGTGATATAAGTCACGGTGGCCTTTTTCCGAGAGCCCAATACACTCGAAACTTCTAATTCGCAGTCTAGGCTATCTCGAGAACAGGGAATCCTGCCAAGTTGTGACTGGATAGTGTCTATTACCGATTGGAACAATATGACCCTAACTATCACCTAGATGAGGCCTATAGAGCTCCCAGTCAGGCGTACAGAAGATACTCCGCTCCACGGGAACAGGGCTTTCACACAGGGCTGCCTAAGACCAAAGGGTTATAGCCATACGATTTCTTGGGGCCCGCGGAAAAGGCACCGGCTTCGAAATTGCCCGAAAATGATCAACAATGCTTTTACATGGTCTTAAGAGGAACATATTATGGCCTCAAAAATGGCGTTGTATAAGCGAAAAGACTGAAGAGATATGGCTAAAACTGCCAAATGCTTCGGAGTTGGAACCGATTTCTGCGGGCCATTATTTTTATATTGACGTTGCAATCCTTAATGAAGCAATGAAACAGCCCGAGATAGGCATACCGAATTGCGGAACGCATAAGACGCCTTATCACCACTATCACGCTAGGATGAGCCAATGGGAGAGTTTCTTTCCCCGGGTTCAGATACGAAAGATTCTCGTAACAGGAAGATATCGCGAGGATCCGAAGAGCTAGCTGCGCTTTGCACTATTACATGTGTGCGCGAGTCAGATTCCCTATTACGGCGGTTGATTTCGTCTCTACGATCTTTTGGGCCCGGAAAGCAACCGGCCGGAATTGCCCGAAATGGATCAGCAATGCTTTCTACATTGTTTTTGTCCTCGTTATGGAAAAGGGTATTGAAAATAGTTCCATACACCTGTGATCATGCAAAGTTATGGAGCGTGCGGAGAGACGCTACGCAAAATGCAGTGTTATCATCGCATTTCGCGCGAGAAAGTTCGAAGTATATTTTTTTTTTTTTGGTTTCTATTTGGTATCATTACTGCCAAATGCTTCCGGAGTGGCACGAGAGATGCTTTTGCGTGAGCGAATGATATATTGAATTTACAGTTAGTGGTAAGAGGTAGCTTGGCAAATCCTGAACTCCAAAATATAATGAAGCAATCTTGAAGCTTCTTCACATGCCGCATCTTGAATATAAGGTCAATACGCATTTCGAGACCAATTAAGACCCTAAAACTATCAACCTAGATCGAGCACTATAGGGAGGACTCCCGCATTCTTCTTCACTTTATCAGGCAGAAATTTCGTTACAGAAGATTACCAGTTTGATTCTTCTCGAGAGTTGATAGGGCTCGTTTTCAACACAGGGGCTCGCAATTTGCATTTTTCTGCTGGTTCGCTTTTATAATATTTTAAATCCTGTTTTAATTTCACGTTGGGATAAACCAAAGGGGTATACCTACGATCTTGGGGAAGGGGAACCCGTTGGAGGGAAGCTACAAAAATTCCCTACCCAACAAGCTGTTCATCCGAATTGCCATCAGTGTATATATTGGATCATATAACCATTTGACCATCTTTCTGTCTCGTAGCATGCTTGTCGTCACAAGATGAGGTAAAATAATATCTATGCTCGAAGCTTTGTCTCCATTTCTCTGCGAGGAATAGTATGGTGGAGAATACTCAATAATATCGGATCATGAAATATTAGAGAGATAATTGGGCTATCATAAACTTGCTCTTAACCTGATTGCGTCACGGAGTGGGAGTACTTTCCCGATTATTCGCGAGCTTCGACAGTATTAATTGCTCACTAATATTCTGAGCTTTTGCAATCCTTAATGAAAAGCATGCAATAAAATACTCAGAATATTTAGTAGGCATTAGGATACCTTCGCTATCTTATTGTGTATACAAGAGACGTCATTGTGCAACTAATAACTATTCAGCGCACGCACTCACTACCCTGTATGCGAGCTCCGCGAATTGATTTCATCAATATCAGAGGGCCGCTCTAAACAAGAAGAGATATCAATCCCGCTCCGGACTCATATCCACGCTTGGCTTGCAACACATTTCACAGGGCCCCTTTGGAATACTAAAGGGCGTAAGACCTACCATTCGATCATCTTTTTGGGGCGCCAGAGGCAACAATCAGGTCTCGGAAGTCCGCCGAACAAAATGATCACATATGAGTCCCTTATCTCATAGGCAATAGTGTTGGTCTTAAACTCTAAAGAAAGTGACAACTAAATTTAGTGCCAACTCCATGAAATGGCTAGTGGCTATACCTCACTTCCGACAGACGAGAGTGAGATCATGTGTATTCTGTGGCTGCACTATATAACTGCCGTGCCCGCAAGGGAGCTAGTCGATCCAGGAGTGGAGCACGATGTATACTCATCATTTTTTCTGCAGGTGGCGGAATTTAAAATGATAGTGTGATGACTTCTGGAGGTCTCCCGCCAATCCGCAACTAATGGACATGGCGAGACACTGAAACAGGCAAATTACTTGAGGATACCTGTCATTTTTTTTTTTTTTTTTTTGGTTCTCCATTATTTGCTTACAAAGATTGAATTTTCTAGTTCGGGTAAGTGGTGCTGGACTCCATATAGCTTCTTCATCTCTTGTATATAATCTTCATTCTTCTTCACTTATCAAAATTTCCTTTGATTTCTGTTGTATATCGTTTTCTGCAATTTGCATTTTCTGCTGTTCGCTTTTTATAATATTTTAAATCTGTTAATTTCACGTTGGAAGGGAACGTTGGGTACAATCCCTACATTCAGTGTTCACAATATTTGTATTTTGCTTATCCTTTGACATCTCGTGGTCTTGGTCAATATATACCTCTCAGTTTGTTCCATTTTTGCCTAGTTTGAGATCTCAATATATGTTAAGTATATCATAGAATTTGTTTCCTGATGCATTAGTTTCCATATCCATTTCAGTTATTGCCTTGCTCTTCAAATATAATATACTGGATACTGCTTCTATTTGTACCACTATTGTGCAAATCTTTGCTATCCAATTGAATTTCAATATCAGAGGCTAAAGAAATCATCTGAATCATCCTTGAAAAATTTCCCCCTTTGGTACTCTGCCATTCACGAAACAAATTATTGCCCATTGATCTATTTTAGGATAGTGTGGTCAAACTCTAAACATCAATGTCAATCATATGTGGCTTACCTCTTCTCGAGTGTGTGTACTGTCTCGCATGTGCCCGCTGGGCATGGAAAAGATGTCTCCATTCTGCAGGTCATGATAGTGAGACCTGGGGCCTTGCAACTGCTGAAGAATTTGAGCCTGTCCCTCGCCTTTGCCGCTATATTCTAGCTGTTTATGAGGATGATCTCCGGAATCCCCAATGGGAACCCCCTGGAGGGTATGGAATAAACCCAGATTGGGTAATTCTCAGAAAAACTTATGAGGACACTCATGGAAGGGCTCCTCCCTATATATTGTATTTAGATCATGATCATTCCGATATAGTTCTTGCAATTAGGGGACTTAATTTGGCAAAAGAGAGTGACTATGCAGTGCTTTTGGATAATAGCCTGGGGAAAAAGAAAATTGATGGTGGGTATGTCCATAATGGGCTGTTGAAAGCTGCTGGATGGGTTTTGGATGCAGAGTGTGATATTTTGAACCAGTTGCTAAAGAAGCATCCAAATTATACTTTGACTTTTGCCGGACATTCCCTTGGATCTGGTGTAGCTGCAATGTTGACATTGGTGGTAGTACTAAACCGGGATAAATTGGGAAACATTGAGAGAAGGAGGGTTAGGTGCTATGCTATTGCACCAGCAAGATGTATGTCACTAAATTTGGCAGTCAGATATGCAGATGTTATTAATTCTGTTGTGCTGCAGGCAAGTTTTTTTTGTTTTAACTATTATTATTTTTTATTTTTTTATTTTTTAAAGAATCATCTGAATGTAAATGCATCTTATGCGACCTCAGAAACATTTTATTTCCTTAAAATTCCGTCTTTTCTTCATCATCCATGCTTCTATTATTTGTATTGAATGACATCACACTTGAGTTATCCTGTTATCACGATTAAGGTTCTCCCTATTTTTTCCTTTTATTCTGACTGGTATTTGTTCATTATTATTGGAAGTGTTTTCTGGATTTTCTTTGTTTCAATGTCAGTCAAAATGTTTTTATCCTCGGTACCACTATGCTAACATGACTTGAATTTCTATTTTCTCTTATAGATAAGGAAATAATAATTTGTAATATAGGGGCAAAGCTGCAGAAGTCTTGAGTGCTGCTGTACAATGACTCTCATGTAATGACAACAGGATGAAAATATTCAGTGCACTTATACACGCCATAGCATGTGGCAAGTACCTATTTTTTTTGTCTGACTTTCTGCTGAGAGGAATATGCTCATAGAGATTTTATCTTGGTGTTCTGTCTAGAATAACTTCTAATGAAGTTGCCAAGTGCTGTTGGATTTTATGGTGTGCCTCTGAAGAGCATTGATACATATGCTGTATCATGAGCTAAATTTTTTGATAGATCACTGACATGACATATTGAATGATAGCTGATGCTTTGTCAAGAGAATCTTAGGACAAAGTATTGTTTATTTGTGGTGATGGGGCTCCATAAACTATTATTTCATCATGCTGCTAACACCAATATCTGGATTTTGTCAATAGTTAGATAATTAATTATATTTCACTGGAGCAGGATGATTTCTTACCACGGACGGCCACACCCTTGGAAGACATTTTCAAGTCACTTTTCTGGTATGGATCACTTCTTTTGACTGCAGGTCTCTTTGCTGCTGATGAGGCAATCATCTATTGCAGGTCCTGTTGGGAGTGCAGTGCACTTTCACTACCAATTCCAAATATGTTGCACAATTGCACTTTTAGGAGTGTGATATGCACTCTATCAATTTCCTTTGAAATGTTAAGTTGTGTCCACATCATCCAAGTTGCTATCATCTATATTTTCCTTTGTGAGCCATCTTTTGAGGCATAGCTGGAATAAATTTAAAATTGGGTAATAAATTTAAAACTGAACCATAAAGGGAGAAATGGTGAACAAAGAGCTGTTGTTAATGAAGAATCTGGTCAGCTGATTTCATTTGCTATTCAATATATAGGACTTATCTTTCCATTTTCCCCTCAATGTTGATTGAAAATATTTGCTATGTCAACATATTAATATATGCTCATTTTCTCTTCCTCTCCTTTTTTTTTTTTTTTTTTTTTTTGTGAGCGCATTCTTTGAGGCAATAGCTGGAACACCTTTGATTTTAATCACTTTTAGGGAGCCCCTTAAATAGATGTGAAGTTAAAAACCAACCTGTTGTCGAGGGAAATATCACTCATTACATGATAGCGCCAGAATAGAGTAGGCTAGGGAGAAGCAAACTCAATGAAGCTGCATTGTTAATGGCTCATTCTTAGGTGATAGTTTAGGGTCTCATGGGAATGACATCAGTCAGATCGGTATGCCTTATCCTCATTTCATTTGCCGCCTGTTTCATTAATTTTGCTTCATTAAGGATTGCAAAAACTCACATATATTAGGGAACTTATCTTTATACATTTTCTAATGCGCAACCCTCCACATCATGTTGAATTGAAGGAATATTTGCTATGTCAATCTAACAATCTAATAACCGGAAGATTTGTGCTCATTTTCTCTTTCCTCTCCCTTTTTTTTATTTGTTTACAGATATCGTTCTTCTATCTGTCGCTTTATCACGGTTTTGGCATGTTAGTTCAAACAATATTGATTATTGCAAAATGTCTCGATGTTCCAACAAGTTTTGCCTATGCTTACTAACCTTTTTTTTTTTTTTTTTGGCATGTTAGTTCAACATATTGATTATGCAAATTTTCTGTGTTCCACAGTTTGCCATGCCTACTATGTCTAAGGTGCATGCGGGATACATGTATACCTGAGGAGCATCTGCTCAAAGATCCGAGGAGGCTGTATGCACCAGGTCGCCTTTATCACATTGTTGAGAGAAAGCCTTGCAGGTATAATTAGAGAATGACTTTACTTGTATCAAACTATAAGTTATTACCTCTGAAATAATTTTTTACTTGGTGCAAAAATTGCATAATCTGACATAGACATTAGAGATCTATGCTGACAATGTATATTTCTATGAGCTTGTTATGTTTTCAAATTGGAGTGATAATAAACTCTGCCTAAGTGACAAGTAGGTTGGCAATAAGGATAAGGATATGAATGATTGAATATAGAAATTGAAAAGGTAGGGAATCATATAATAATATCTGGTGTTCATGGGTTTTGTGATGTTGAGCAGGAAAAAAATTTTGGTTCAGTAAATATTCTGGTCAGTTTTGTACTGGACTAAAAATTTTATTGTGTACCATTTAATTGATGTGCATGGTATGAATTTTATGTTCAGAATGGGAAGATTCCCCCCAGTTGTGAGGACAGCAGTGCCAGTGGATGGGAGGTTTGAGCACATAGTTCTATCCTGTAATGCCACTTCCGACCATGCCATTATTTGGATAGAGAGAGAGGCCAGGAGGGCTCTGGATGTAAGTTTTCTGTCTCGTACAATTTTGAGATTTTTACCATGTAAGGTGGAAGCCATTTTCAGTTTTCTTATCATCTTATCAATTGTTTAGAGGATTTACTGTAGCAGAAAAATTGTTTGTTTGGGGAAAACTTACATATTCTGCACTATTTAGTAATTTGCCTTCGTGTGTGCATGCGCATAGGTGGGAGAGCAGGCTAGTGAGTGTGTCCTTTCTTTTCTTTTGTATGTAGATGGTGCAATGGTGGAACTTGTGCTGAGAACTTCTATTGCCCATCGTTTTCATTAACTCTTTTCTTGTATTTTCAGCAATACAAGTTGTTACTGAACATTTGTTGTTCTGATCTCTTGAACTCGAGTGATTAATGTCATTTTGGTGATGGAACAAGAACTTCATTGCATTTTTTAAATATATAACTGATTTCTGGCGTAAATGGCCAAAGTCTTTCTGAGGTCATTATCTTTTTTAAATCTAATACTTATTTTTAAGATGATAGATGGTGCTTGGGAGCAAGGGGGAGAGAGGGGATGTTATGGAATGCTTTCTTTGTATGCTTTGAGTGTATGGTGGAGACTAAAAATAGTTATATAGTTCTACTGGAGACCTAAAAAAAAAACACACTTGCTTTTACCCTGTCATTCATTTAATTTCTTGACAGTTGAAATCCTTTAGAAATTTTTGTTTATCCTTACACCTTACCGTAAACTCAGCTAATGCTAGAGAAAGATCAAATCATGGAGATCCCAGCAAAGCAGAGGATGGAGCGGCAGGAGACTTTGGCCCGAGAACATACAGAGGAGTACAGGGCTGCACTGCAAAGGGCAGTGACACTGTCTGTGCCACATGCATATTCACCTTCTCAGTATGGAACTTTTGATGAAACGGAGGAAGGATCCAAAGGAGAAGAATCACAAAGATCGAGTGGGGAATCTTCAATCGGTTCTTCCGGGAAAAGCAAGTTGAAAGAGAACTGGAACGAGTTGATTGAACGGCTTTTTGAGAAGGATGAATCGGGTCACATGGTGTTTAAGAAATCACATATGGATGATTAATCATGATGGAGTAGTGTAAGGATAGTGTGAAACAGAGAAGAAAGATAAACTTGCGGCAAGAATTATATTCCTTCATTCATTTGTACTATAATTCTTCTTTTGATTAGTTTGTGCATTAGTTAATGCAAAGGTTAAAAAGATAATAAATACAACTAGTTTATTTGGTGGAGTATCATACCTAAAAACATTAGCATGCAAAAGTACCAACAATCCCTTAGGAGTTATAATCTCGTCTTCGGATGGTAGGGTATAAAAGTTTTTTTTGATATCCCGTGATTACACTTTTCAGGGTGTAATTTCAAATTTAAACTAAGAAAATATGTTTCTGTTATAATTAGGAAGTTAATTATGTAATATAAATAAAACATTTAGAAATTGAAAAATAAAAAAATGTGAGGCATTAAGCCCAAATATGTCAGCAGTGCACCAAAGAATAATTTGGTGAGTCATTATGAAATTGTGAACTAAAATTGAAATACTCCAGGCTAGTGTCTGCTTTGTAACTAATTGCCTGATTGCGACAATAGGTTCAGTCCATGTAACAGAGTTGTCGTCTAAAAATGAAATGGCCTGTGTCACTAATATACAAAAACCTAAAGAAAATGTTCCACTGAATTGAAACATGCTCAAAATTGGCCTACCGATTCTGGGAAAATCTTCCTAAATTTCGTCTCAGATTCATCAATTCTAGATCTCTCAGCATCTTTTCCTCATCCATTAATGACTTTCCCTGTTTATGTTCTTGTTATTGCGGCGACGCTCACAGCTGCAGCTCTGTTCTCCAGCTGTTTTGCGGAGAGGTAAAGAAACCTATCTTAGTTTTCACCTCAATTTCCAATTACTTACAGCTTATGTTTTATTTCAAATTCTCGAATTTAACTTTTGTTTTCCAATTGGATTTGTGAATTTGGTCCTTTCCCGTAAACATTTGGTTATACATTTAAATTACGTTTTCATCTTGATCTGGGATTTTGTTTTTTTTTTTTTTTTCAATCAATTTGTTCATCTTAATTTTTTAAAGAGCAATTTGTCTTGCATTTCCTGATCATTTCCTGTTTTTCATGTTCCGCTTAGCCGGAAGGAATTGAGGGATAAGGAGATCAATGAAGAAACTATTATACAATTGGGTAGATCGGTTCGACCCAACAAAGTTAACCCATCGCAAGTTGTCCAACTCTCTTGGCGACCAAGGTCAGGTACATGGATTAACTTGTTATCAAGTTTCTTGTTTGTTTATCATGGTAGATGACACGTGTTATTTGCTCTATCAAGTTTTTCTTGGCAGTCTTGGGCAATTTAACTACTATTTTTGTATAAACTTCACTATTGAAATTTTTGACTAAAGATTCTACTTTGAATAGTACAAGAATCCCTTGAATAAGAATTCTGCGCAATGAGTTATTTGGTGAAAAGCTTGACATTTATTTATTTTTTCTTGGATTAGGGTTTTCTTATATGAAGGCTTTTTGACAGAAGAGGAATGTGATCATCTTATTTCTTTGGTACATCTTACTCTGGTTGCTATTTCATAATATTTTTATTATATCTGGAATTGTTTGAAAACTTACTTAGGGTTCAGGCACAAGGTACAAAAGAAACATTTGTGGAAAAAGATGATGATTCAGCAAAAACTGTGGAGAAAGGGCAACTTGCAAGCTCACAATCTCTTTTAAACATGGATGTAAGTTTCCTTGTTGGATTTATTTTGCATACCCTGTCCTCTGCACTTGGAACTAGAAATTCTTGCATTATGGATAATTGTGTGTAAGTTTAGTTCTCTCACATAGCTGTTTGATCTGCAAATACAAGGAGTAATTCAATTCTTCAAGCATGCTTTTCCCTGATTATGTAACTGTGAAATGATAAGAACGACGTTAGTATTCCTCTCCTCTAAAGATGGTGGTTTTATTCATTGAAACTTCAAAGTTCATTCCTTGATCTGCTTCAATTGGCATCTTCATTTTGACCGTTGGCTCTTTATTTAACTTTCAATGATATAGACTGGCTCCAGTCCTGTGAAGTCAGCATAGCCGAAAACTGCCTTTATTACTGCAGCAGGCAGGGTCGATTTTGTTGCGTAGATTCACTTACTCTGTCAAGATTTTTGTGATTTTCACCATTTCTAATTTCAGTTTTCTGCATTTTAGGATACTCTAATGGCAAGGATTGAGGAGAGAATTTCAGCATGGACATTCCTTCCTAAAGGTGTTGTCTACCACCTGGCTTCCTAAAATAATGTATTTTTTGTGCTGTGTGTGCGTGTTTGTGTGTATATTCTGAATTACCTATTTGATTTTGTGTTTTCTATTGCTGGACTTCAATTGTACTTCAGAGAATGGAAAGCCTCTGGAGGTGATGCATTATGGGGTTGAAAATTCAAAACAGACTTTTGATTATTTTGGTAACAGAACATTGATTTTGAACCAGCCTTTGATGGCAACTCTTGTTTTATATCTCTCAAATGTCAGTCAGGGTGGCAACATTTTCTTTCCCAAGTCAGAGGTAAGTGAGAGATCTCCTAAGCTATTTGATTAGTACGGTTTTAACAAATCCTTCTCACGCATTAATCTGTGCTTGAATTCTGACAGGTAAAGGACAAAATTTGGTCTGATTGTTCAAAGGGCAGCAACATTCTAAGACCCATTAAAGGGAACGCAATTCTGTTCTTCAATGTGCACCTTAATGCATCTCCTGACGCAAGTAGCAGCCACGCTCGTTGCCCTGTCCTTGAGGATGAAATGTGGTGTGCCACCAAATACTTCCATGTAAGAGCCACTGGTGGAGGGAAAGCCCTTTCTGAATCGGACGGCATAGAATGCACCGATGAGGATGATAACTGTCCCAGATGGGCTGTCATTGGAGAATGCCAAAGGAACCCAGTGTTTATGATGGGTTCTCCTGATTACTATGGGACATGTAGAAAGAGCTGTAATGCATGTTGAAAAGGGTAGACCTGCATATATTTTAAATATAAATTCAGAGCCAAATGATTTTTTTTTTTCCTATTAAAAAAGATATTTGTTCTATAGCTGCCTGCTGAGAATTTTGAGCAGTTAGAGAGAAGAGTTGATTGATAGGACTCCTCAATTAAGTCAATTTCTATGTAATGGGAAAATGTAAATTGCAACTTTGATTGCTAATTTCTAATGGATGAATTTGGTTACTTTAGGAATAATATGCAAATAGAACTTGAATGACACGATATATGTCGAGAAAAGGAATTTATCAGTAACCATAACAAAATAAAAATTTAGAACAAAGCTCCAAAACGGGATTACAAATTAGGAAAAATTACATCGTCAAATTGAGTCTCGAATTCAATCGAACTGTGTTCTTGTGAAAGCGCACCAATAAATAAATCAAAATTAAAGAAAGCGAGAAATACGATGCGGTGGAATCCAACGTCCAAGATCGGCGACTAGCGATTTGTTTGAGACTGGAGAGAAGAAGTTGGTTTCTTGAGAGAACAAGAAGACTTGAAGGCCTCAATCTGCAATTGACATTTCACGTGGTCTCCCTTGTTATCCTCCAAGCATTTCTTTAAAGCCTCCACGTCGCATGGTGACATAACCTTTTTCACACCGTTGCTCTCTGCCTTCCGCTCCCGCTCCATTTTCTTCGATGCTAAGGGTCGACCGGAAAAAATTGAGACGTTTTTGTAATTGCCGTCGTCTTGTAAATTGTTGGTGCGGCGCATTATTTAGTGCTTTCGACCTTCTATTTTAACGCGTGGCGAGACTTGATTGAACCTGCCTCAAGTATGCCTCGACGGCAGTATAACTACCGAGACTAGCAATTGACAAAAAAAAAAAAAAAAATTTCACCTTTTTCACACCGTGCTCTTCTGCCTTCCGCTCCCGCCCCATTTCTTCGATGCTAAGGGTTCGACCGGAAAAAGAATTGAGACGTTTTTATTGTAATTTGCCGTCGTTCTTCGTAAATTGTTGGTGCGGCGCATTATTAGTGCTTTCGACTGTCTATTTTACGCGTGGCGAGACTTTGATTGAACCCTGCCTCAAGTATGCCTCGGACGGCAGTTATAACTACCGAGCGAGCAAATTGGACAAAAAAAAAAAAAAGAATTTCCGCCGTTGCCGGCGGATCGAAACCCGAGGTCACCCGCGTGAACAGGGCGGAATACTTACCCACTATACTTACAACGACCGTTGTGTTAAAGGTTGCAATTGAAAAAAAAAAAAAAAAAAATTTCGCCGTTGCCGGGGATCGAACCCGGGTCACCCGCGTGACAGGCGGGAATACTTACCACTATACTACAACGACCTTGTTGTTAAAGGTTACGTACATTTTATATTAGAAATCTATAATAACTTGACCAGCTGGCGAGCAAACTTTTGTCTTTTTTTTTTTTTTTTTCCTTTTAAAATAATTATATTAGTTTGCAATAAATATGAATTCAAAGCGGGAGAGTATACTTCTCTTAGTTATTAAACTTTTTCATATAGTTAGAAGGTCACTCGAAGTCGAGATTGTAACCAGCTATTTTCACTCAATTCGTTAGCTACTATCAGAGAAAAATAATTTTCATCCTAAAAGTTTGTAATTTGAGATTTTTAAAGCACTTGACTTGAAATTTTGAATCGGGATATATACATTTGTTTCATGCGAAAACTGAATAGCCAAAAATCTACAAAATGAGCAGGTCGGGTGTGGATGCTTCTTCTAATTCTAGCAAGGGAAAGGGACACTGTCGATTAGGCAGTGGCTCAAAGCACTTTAAAATGGCTGCTCTGCAGTAAAAAGCATATCAAAATTTGCAATAAAGGAAAAAAACCAATAAAAGAAAGCAGTAGACTACAGAGGAAAGAAAAAACATGTAACAAATTTACCGATGCTCCCATCATAAATAGTGAATTCATATGAATTATACCAAGCTCATGAGAATATGTCAAAGAGTATAACGTAACAAAGATTGCATTTCTGGTAGCATCCGCCTCGCATTCTGAACTCTTTCATTCGCATTATTAACTGAATTAAATTTGAGAGTTCGCCATGGCCAACATATATGTCTCACTTTACGGCGGCTATGCTCTCTGCTCTCTGATTCTTCTAGCTGTTTCCTTAGCTCCTCAATTCTCTTATGGAGTTCTGCAGCCCTGATGTCAGCCAGCTGCAGTGACTTTTCTGCTGCTGCCTGCGCAGCCATCGCTGCAGCTGCAAGTTCTTCTTTCAGTTGTAACTTGCCATTTGATATCATTAAAGCAGCCTTTGTTCTTTCCAGTTCTTGCTTCAGGATAACAACCTGTCAAACGGCATTAATTTTGCGTTGTTGTTTAGGATTATCATGAAAGACAGAGATAGCACGAGTTCTCCAACTGGATTAATACGTTTACTGAAGAAAAAGAGAACTTCATAAAAACATCATAAGCATATGAAAAAAAGGGCTTAGAGACTAGACACCTACTAGCGAATCGTGAAATCGTTATATCAAGAAAAGTTGACCTAAGCAGAGAGTAACTGAAAAGAAAAATAGCGGTTGACCTAAGCAGAATAACCCAAAAATAAATGAAGTTACCACTTTGTCACGTTCTTCAATCTCATTTTTCCCAGCTTGCACTTCCAATTCACAAGCTTCCCTCCATCTAGCAACCTCTTCCTCGGTTTCTTTAATTTCCGTCAGGAGTTCCTCTGCCTTTTAATGATAAAATAGTAGTCAGTAAGGAATTAGGAAAGAAGCTTGATTCAAGAATGCATGAAAAGAGCATTCCATTTTCAAAAGAATAGAAGATTACATTTTGAACTAGCAGTCTCTCCCTCTCTTCCAACTCCTTTATGTACAATGTGTTTTCTGCAATTTGTTGAGCTTGTTTCTCTGTGAGACTCTGCAGTCGCTCATTATCTGACCTGGCGATAGTATAATAATTATTAATCGCAAAAAAATAAGAAAGATACTATTCACAGGGAGCTAAGGCTTGAAGAAATATGCATTCCCCTGATTCCACCTTTCGTAAAGCTGGGTCACATTTTTGCGAAAAAGATTGAATCAAACCTTTTTATCTTTCACATACCATCACATAAAAATTATAGTACAGTTTCAGTTACATGTTTATGCAAAGCAGATATGCAGGCATTTGAGTTCATTGATAAAGTACCTAGACTCTTCCAGAGATCTCCTCAATTGACTGATTTCAAGTCTTAAATTCTTCATTATTCTCTCTACAGTTGATGCCTGGTAAGGAGAGCCAAGAACATCAGTTGCGATTTAGTGCAGTGAGAAAGTTGTATATATGTTGCATTGTCTTTTTGAAAGATAATTTTCAAGAATCGCAAACAGAATTGAGATGTGTTGAAGCACAATATTTATCATGGTAAACAACTAAACATATTAGCTTATATCTATTGTCTCACTTCTCACTTCTCACTTATCATTGTTTTTTGTTTTACAGTCTATTTATTGTTGTTGTAAGATCATTGTCTGATCCACAGTAACCCACTTTTCAGTGTTCATAAGTGGAAACTAGGGAACCATTTTCAAATTCTGGTTTAAAACAGGCACATAGGAATTGAATTTGACACGCAGCAACAAATATGCTGAGTACTAGACTAACACTTAACTGAAGGAAAAATTGTACGTACCAGACTAACAACCTCTTCTTCACACTCACTGCTATCCGATTTAGTACTGGCAGTAGTACTAGCTGGAGTGCCAGTATTGCTAGCTATTGAATTCTCTACTGATTGATCAGTACTTCCACTTCCCATCATGAAGCCAAACCCTACTCTTTGCAAGCCCCGCTCTGCAATCTGCAATAAAGCCACCCTTTTCTGCTCAGTGTTCCCTTTCAACTTATTCAAACTTTTCTCTACTGCCTCCTTCTCCAACAAAGCAACCCTTAACAAACTACTGATATCGCGATTCTCCTCTGTCAAACTCACTACACTGTTCTCCAATTCTCGTTTCTCATTCTTCTTCATCTCTTTAAATTCAATCACTTTTGATTTTGCCTCGCTTGCTAGCCTTGTAATGGGTGTGAATTCTTCCCATAATGCCCTTGATTCATTGTCCAATTCCAATTCTAGACTACCCTCATCGTTATTCACTCTCTCGACTACTTTCTCGTCATCTAAACACTCTATTATCCCCACCAAACAATCCTTCGCGGGCCGTATAAAATCCAAAGTCTTCAACAGAATCAAAATTTTTCTTTCTGCCTCATTTATCTCAAATTCCAACTTTTCGATTCTCACCTTAGCAACTTCAACTTCCTTTTCAAGTTCTTCTTTTCTCGACAACTCCTCATCTATCCTTCTTTCGAATTCATCTTCTCTTTCCTTGGAAGAGACCTCAAGTTCACGAATTTGTTCTTGAAGAGAGTCTCTTTCGTGCGAAATTTCACATATAACTACTTTGAGATCCGTATTATGATGGAGTGCCTCGTCTCTCTGCTTCTGGAAAAGAAAGAGATTTTCCTCCATAGTGGAGTATTTCGATTGAAGAGCCTCATAGGATTGGCGAAGTGACCGGAGCTCGACGAGGAGATCATCGTGATTGGGCAGTTCGATAGTCGGCGAATCGAGACCGTTGATTTGCGGTTGCGGGTGGTTTTCGGAGGTGGTGGTTTCCATGGTTCATAGAGCGGGGATTGATTTGAGATTTTCAGAGAGAGAGGAGAGAGAAATGCATAAAACCTACCAGTCAAAGGGAACGGAGGGAAAGAAGATCAGGTGAATTAAAGGCTACCTGTGTCTTTGTGATCGAGTTTTGGCGGGCAATATTGTATTCCTTGGACAGTTGGCCTTATATATGTGATTTGTGAAATTGAAATTCAAAGGTGGAATTTGGACTAGACGGGAGTTTCAGGCCCGGTCCATATTCAGAATGTTGGCTATTTTGAGTCGGCCCATTGCAACATACGCATTCATTAAATCCTAAATATATATGCATTTCTTTTGATTAATATTTTTTTTTTTTTTTAAATTTTCCTTAACAGATGCGGATGGAAAGTGAGGCTGATATTTATGGTACTCGTTCCTTTATGATCAGTAAGGATACAGATAATTATGAATAAAACTGAAATTGAATATATAACTTATATTTCATAAATATTTATAGATATCATATCTATTTAAATAGTATTTCAAAATATATTAATATAAAATTTTAAATGAATTTATATGCACGTACATAAATGAATATTTAGTGTATTTAGTACGGATGTGATGTGTAATTGTAAAATCAGGATTCTACCGTGAAAGAAAAAACACTTGTTAAAATGGGCATGGAAATGAGAATAGTTTCGTAGCGTTACAAGTGTGAATAATTAAAAAAAGGTACTCTGTTCCGGCGGTTGGATCATGTACTCTAGAATGCAGTGCGGTAGATGGACATGTAAAGAATCGTAAATCTGGAAAAAGTCAAGTTAGATATGGAATTATGGAAATGGGTATGAAATTCAGTGCCATTTCACAATTTTAACTGCCACTTCACAATTTTAACTTTACAACGCAAATTAAATAACCATATTCCACTTGTCTTTTTCTAGCGTCCTTTTCATTTTCATTGCTTCTCTATTAAGTAGATGAAGACACCGGCAAAAGTTAGGTCAACTATTCCTAGTAACCACCAGAGCGCTCTACAAAAGGCAATTCTTTCCGTCCGAGTTTATGACTTAGTCACTCACTCAACCTTTGCAGCCCAAACACCTTTTTTTTTTCGGGGGTCAATTCAGACGATTTGGTGCTTAATTACATTAAGGAAAATATATCCTTATGGGGAGTGTTGATGAGATTGTGAAAGATAGAGCGCACGACCTGGAAGATACTATATTTGTTGCGGTAGGGAAGAATGTAGAGAAGAGTAAAACGACTTTGTTTTGGGCTGTGCAGAGCTTTGCAGGGAAGAAGATATTTGTGCTTCATGTTCACCAGCCAGCGAGTGCTGTTTCATTGAGTGAGCTTTCTTCAATCCAATTTAATGCTATTAATTGTCAATTCATGCTTTGAAGTGATTGGTGTCTCAGAAAGTGCAGGAAATAGAAGGGAAAATTAAGCTTTGTATGACAATTATGGAATTATTTAAGCTCGATTCTTGTTTTGGAGTGTGGGAGCTTTCTGTTCCTTTGCTAGCTTTTGTTTGTTAGAACTAATATTATCAAGTGTTTCATTTCCTATTCTTCTCCTATTCATCTGGTATTGGGTAAATCCGAATCATATAATCAATTTGGTCTTTTCAGGAAACAAATGCTTATGGAGATTTTATTAATAATCAACTAGTTTCACTCCAATTAAGATTCTGCTTCTTTTCTGGATTTTATCTGTTCTTTTTCTTTTCCCCATGAATATTCCAATCTAATTGCTTTAATTGGTTAATTCTACACAGCTGACAGGAAACTTGCTGTGAGTAAACAGAAACAAGAAATGATTAAGGCAATCGCAGAGCTTGAAAAGAAAAAGATGCTTGATGTTCTAAATCAATACTGTTCCATTCTTGCCCACGGAGGGGTATATATTCTTCTTTCTGATTTCTCAGTTTTCTAGTATTACTAGGAAGGTCATGCATCAGCTTTGAAATGTAGTTATGGTTCTTAGATACAAAACTTGGTTACCTTCGTAGTTGTTAATTCAACTCCCAACAAGAAAAGAAAGAATCACAATTTACTTTATCTAAAGAAAGTCACTAATCCAATACTCGTAAATCTTAATAACTCTTGTCAAGTCAGAGTTTCTGCAAGTGATCGAGCATTGCATATTTTGCTCACATTCTGGCTTATTTCCATAGGTAAAAGCAGATAAAGTATGGATTGAGATGGAAAATATTGAGAAGGGGATTGTTGAGATTATTGCTCAGTATAACATTAGATGGCTCGTCATGGGTGCTGCGGCTGATAAATACTATTCAAAGTATGAATATTGACTTAATCGCTTCTTGTTTGGTGTGATGCTGCATTGCTTTTTAGACATTTGTACTGGTGCCTTAATAGAGGGCTGCTTCATGTAGCATATCTGACTTGGAATTCTTAGAAGACCGTAGGTTTCAATTTTTTTAATAAAAAGTATCGATATTGCAGGAAACTGACAGGGCTAAAGTCCAAGAAAGCAATATTTGTATGCCAACATGCACCTATTTCCTGTCATATTTGGTTTGCTTGCAAGGGTTGTCTCATTTACACAAGGTACATTTGACATTTATAAAAGATTTATATTGCTTAGTTAATTTGCTTACAACTGCAGGGAGAGACATTTGGGAACCAAGGACCATTTTCTTGGATCAATCCCTTGCCTTCTTCTTACATTTCTTGGTTTATTATCACTGTGGAATTTTTGAATCATGAGTAGATGGTGTATCAGTATGTTCTGCAGTAATTGAAAAAATTGGGGTTGGAAACCATTGAGTCAATCTTAATCACTGTTACAGAATGGAAACTTTGCCTTTACAGATGCACAAGCGCACTGTTTCATCTAACCAGAATTTTAAATTGGATTCTGAAATATAATAAACGGTCTGCAACGTTACCTTCCACAAAGAGTTTTTATTTCTTGAAAGAAACAAAACTAGTTTCCTTGGGTTTTACATGCCTTCCACAAAAACAGAGTGATTTTAATGTGAGTTAATATGTAGACTTCTTTTGTCTAAAGAACCTCCTTAGCTGGTTTCTATTCTAATATTTCCATAACTTTGCTGCATCTATCAACCAAATTGTCACATCTGCTTATAAAATGGAACGCATCCAAACAGGGAAGGTAGAAATGACAAATCTGAACCAGAGATTGCTTCTCTGCTGCTGCTGGATTGCGAGTTAAGAAATGAGCAACCAGAGTACTTGAGATTGGGATCTTTTACACAAACCTGTGGGTATGTAGGTAGGTATGCTAAACAACATGGTGACCACTTTTCAATATCTTTTGGGTTTGTTTTATTATATAGGAAAAGGCCAAGGCATTGTTTTTCTCAAAGGAGTACTAGGGGAATAATATTGTCTCAGAGTTTTGCAGATGCTGTGGAGGGTCCTCATGACTTGGAAGGAATACTAGGAAGGTTCAATTATGAGTGTGCTGTGCATTCTAGCCAATCAAGTAATATGGTGCTTCGAGCTTCCAAAATGATGCCACTGATTGATGAGGTAAGAAAAAACTAACTCTTCTTTCCATAGTACGTGAGTCTCAGGAGGATATTTATTATTAGCTGTTCTTATTTGTTGCTATATTATGAAGTTTTCAGTACACTAAACCATTTTTTTAATCTCACTTGCTTAGGCATGACCACGGTTCTAGAACCGCCGGTTCCGGTTCTAAAACCACCGGTTCCTGTTTTAAAACCGCCGGTTCCGGTTATAAAAAAGGTGAAACCGGAACCGAACCGCTTTTAAACAGTTTCTAAGACGGTTTTGGAACCGCCGGTTTCAGTTTTTTCCCGGTTTTGAACCGAAATTAAATAATGTATTTTAAACTTTTTAAAATGTTTTTTTAAGACTTATAGCTTGAATAAATAATAATAATAAATATTGCTATTGAAAAAAATTAAATCAATGCAATCAAAATTCTTAAAAATTACTTAAAAAACTATAATAAACAAAAAAATAAGTTGAGAGTTTTTTTTAAGAGCATATTTTTTACGGTTTCAAACTGGAATCGCCAGTTTTGGTTTTAAAAGATGAAGAACCGGAACCAAACCTTAAGTTCACGGTTTCGGTTACGGTTTTAGAACCGGAACCGTTGACTACGGTTTAGTGCCGGTTTTGACCGGTTTGGTTTTGGTTCAGTTCCAGTTTGAAACCGAACCGTGGTCATCCCTACACTTGCTCATATTTTGACTAACAAGAAACAAAGTGAAAAGTGAAAACCCTTGAACATTGTAGTAATCTTCAAACTTTAGTGTGCTGAGGGCTTAGCTTGTCTGAATCATTAGAGGATTGCATGATAAATATGCTTTTCCAGAGACTGTTGAGTAGAGATGACTCACATTCTTCACAATATAGTTTTGTATCTGCTCTAAGGCCAGTAGTTACAGTCTTTCCTGCTTATACTGTTTGATGAGGTTGTAATGGTCTATAGTTTTTGCAGGAAGAAAAAAGTAAAGGAAAAACAACTGAAAAACCTTATCATGAACTACAACAAACAATTGTAGATTCTAAAGACTCAAAGAAAAAGGCATTTGAAGAGGCAGTGAAGCGATGGAAAGAGGAAGACAATGCTATGGAAGCTAAATGTAAGGTAAATATTTCATATGTCAATCGCTTATTTCTTTTTACTCTCATTGCTATTGGGAAACGGAAGTTATTGGGATATTAAAATATTGTGTTAAAGCTAAAGATGGGAAAATTAAGATTTCTTCCCACCAACATTTTTTTTTCTTTTGCTTCTTAATCTTAAGTTTAACTGTCAACAGTCTACTTGAGTTTCATTGTCTTAACAAAGGTCTAATTAGTCAGTTAGCACTCCACTAGCAGCACCAACATAATGAAAACTGGAAGATCATAACCTGATTGGATCATGTGGGAAAAAAATGTCTGTGTATTTGTGCGTGCACACACACATATATATATATCATTAAATCAACTTCAGTTTCACCTGACCTCATGGGCATCTTATCCTCTTACAGGCAAAAGCATTAGAAAAGTTATGCATTAAGGAGATAAGCCTAAGAAAAGAGATGGAGGAAGAGTTGGCTAGGGAAAATGAAGTAGTAGAAAGGACACAGAATCAATGCGACGAGTTTATAGAAGAAGTCCAAATGGTCCAGGAACAGAAGTCTGTACTTGAGAGCCAACTTTCAGAGTGCAATTGTATGGTGAAGGATTTGGAGGAGAAAATCATCTCAGCTGTAGAACTATTGATAAGTTTCAAGGCAAAAAGAGATGCTGCACGGATAGAGTATGAAAATGCAATGAGGGAAGTTATTAGGCTAAGGAAATTGGCAAAAATGGAAACTGTTAGTTTTTCCAAGTCTGAAATCCTTGAATTCTCCTTCATGGAGATCAATGAGGCAACACAGGAGTTTGACCCATCCTGGAAGATTGGAGAAGGAAGATATGGAATTGTCTACAAAGGGATCCTTCGCCATGTGCATGTCGCCATCAAGATGTTACCTTCATATGGCTCTCATACCCAGTTAGATTTCCAAAATGGGGTAATCTTATCTGCCCATTTATACTATCATTTTATTCTTACACCTGCCAAATCATTAAATGAAGTCATTTGTTATAGTGGGATGGAGGTTTAAATTTGTTTTGATGGAGTTTGATCATAAGTCATGGCCATGAAATCGAAGCAGAAAGCTTGTGATAGAAAGAAATCAAGCTTATCTACGGAAATTTTTTGTCATTTTTAAGTTTGCTAAGTGATATTCAGGGATGGTTATGGTGCATACCGTGCATCTGAGCTGGTGTCTTCTCCACTATCCCAAATGTCTATCGCAAGCCTCTGGACCTGTTCTCTCAGGTTCTGCTTTCTAGCATAAATTGATGTATCTGTTTAATATTTTTTTTATGGTTAACCAATTCATCTTGTACATCAGACCTGAATGATCTTTTGAACCTAAAGATCTTTGTTAAAAAATAATTGTTAAAGGTGGTACTCTAAGTCCTACCTGGTTAAGCTTTTACTGAGCATGCATCATTCCAGACATATGCCCATGTTCTGTCAGTGTAATAAGCTGTGGTATCAAATGGTGAATTTAAAAATTCTGTTCCATTTGTTTTAATATTGATTAATTTTATTGGTCAAATTTCAGGTTGAGATTTTGAGTAGAGTGAGGCATCCACACCTGGTGACATTAATTGGAACTTGCCCCGAGTCTAGGTCACTTGTCTATGAGTATGTCCGAAATGGAAGCCTTGAAGATTGCCTTGCTTGCAAAAACAAGACAATGCCACTTCCATGGAAAGCTCGGTTACGCATTGCTACAGAGATATGCTCTGCTCTTATCTTCCTTCATTCTAAAAAGCCTTGTATCATACATGGAAATTTAAAGCCATCCAAAATCCTCCTTGATGCTGACTATGTCAGTAAACTCAGTGGTGTTGGTGTGACTTATTTGATGCCACAAGGTGAAAGATTAGGAACCAACATTCCAATTTCTAACAGATCCAACTCCAATTTCATGTCTGTGTATGCTGATCCAGAATATCTCGACACAGGAACACTTACTCCTGAGTCAGATGTCTACTCATTTGGAATGATACTGTTAAGGCTTTTGACTGGGAGGCCAGTTTCAGGATTGGTGAAAAATGTAAAATGTGCATTAGAGAAAGAGAACTTAAAAGCGCTATTGGATTGTTCTTCTGGCGACTGGCCAGTTGAGCAAGCTAAAATGCTAGCTAAATTGGCATTGAGGTGTTGTGAGAATTACCGAATGAATCGCCCAGACGTTGCGTCAGAGATTTTGTGTGTGCTTGAGACAATGAGGGCCTCATGTGTTGATTTAGCTTCGTGCCTGGATTCCAAGGAGCTACACCGGGTTCCATCCCATTTTATTTGTCCCATTTTTCAGGTAATAATCCAAAACATGCTTAAAATGTCGAACTAGCTATCTGTTGATTGGTGGTGGTTTCAATTACTCTTTTATACCTCATGGTTTTTTAGTAAGCAGTCATAAATTACGCTTTCAAAATGGAAAAAATGGAAATCAGCATGTAACAAATGCTTGAACATTCAAATTCTTTCACTAACTGCAGTTTGTTCTTCATCGTACATAGTGCATGTTAGTGTTAGTAGTAGAAGAAAAGGTGTGTCAAGGGAACAATGTTTCGTTGTTTTCAAGAATTCTTTATGTAACTCAACCATGAATATAACCTGCTCATGGGCGGGCATATAGAACTTAATTTTATTATCCGTATTTATCTTCTGACCATGGCTACTATCTCTGGATTTTGTAGGAAGTGATGAAAGATCCGCAAATAGCAGCAGATGGTTTCACATATGATGCTGAGGCTATTAGAGGATGGCTGAAGAGCGGTCATAATACTTCCCCAATGACAAATCTTAAACTTGAACACTGTAACCTACTTCCTAATCATGCTCTTCATCAGGCAATTCAAGAGTGGCGGCGAAGTTGGTGATTTTATTTTATGTTATTTTTTAAAATTATGAAATGTATATGCTTGCTGATAACACATTTAACCAAAATGCATTTCCAGATACTAATCAAGATTTAACACATAGTATGATGTATATAGCAAATCTACGGTGTTATCTGTAATATTGAAGTTTATACAAAAGATGTTTTGCTAAAATTTATAATTCAATTTAACTCATAGGTAGGTTGGATATGTTGAATTTAAATATTTATGAATTTGTCAAATTCTTTTATTTAGTTTATTTTTTAAAATTAAAGATGGAATTTTTTTGATTCATTTGAGGTCAAAAACAGAAATAGCTCTCCTTTTGGCCCATCATATTAGTGAAAATAATTTCGTGACCTCTCACTCTTCATCAAACCACCACCTAATCGGTTATTAATTATAGAATTTAAATAATTTCATTTCATTTTTAAAAATAATCTTCAAATTTCGTAAATTTATTTTCAACCAAATGAATAACCACTCAATATAATCATATCAGCGACTAGGCATTAAAAACATCTGAAATTTTTAAAGCAATAGAGCGTTTTATCGTTTCATGGATGTACTAGGTAGGAATCAGGATTAATATGGTGAATTTTGGATATCAGACGTTTTTGTTAAAAAAAAAAAAATTAAAAAAACTAACAATAATAAATCCGAGGCCCAATCGTTAGAATGAGGTAGGCCTTTTGGGCTGTTACATGTGATCAAACTTGTCCAAAACCGCGCGTGTATCTCCCACCACGTCTTACACATGCATTAATTTTTGTTTCGGAATTAAAAAAAATTTTAATTTCTAGTTTCTACAAACGCAATAAAAAGGGTCACTTTTTTACCTTATTTCTTTTCTCTTACAATTCGCTCCCCCGAAACTCTCTCTTTTCTTTTTTTCCTTCTCTTTTCCTAGTTCTCGGCCGATCAACTTTGTCGTAATTTCTCTCCGATTTTCTTTCCCTGCGAACACTCTCTGATTTCCTCCTGCTGAATCTACATCCTCCGATCGCCGGAGATTTTCCCTGCCTCCGTGCCGATCTCTTTTTCCGCTCTCCACTGGTACGCAAGCGGATCACTACACTCATTTTTTGTTTTGGCGTTTGAAACTCTATGTTTATTCTCGTTATTATATATCGATCACAGATCACGTACCGCAAACGCTAACGAGCTCTGTTTTGTTTTATGAATTTTTTATTTTTTTATTTTTTACGTGCTCTCTTTTTCTGCTGCGAAAATAGGTGCACAGAAGAGTGTTCTGAATTTTTTTATATATATCACTTCTAGATTGTGAAAGCCATCGTCATTTAGGTTCGCTTAGGCTCTTTTCTCTTTGTAAATTGTCGCATGAAAATTTATTTTGCGAGGTTCTGGTTGATGGGACATTAATTTTCGAAAATTTCTTCTACGCCGCTATTATGATCTGATGAATGCTATATCGAATTTTGTTTGCTTAGTAAATTTTTTTAAGGAGTCGTGTCTTTTTGTCACATCTTTTGGAGTTTGGCAATGCTGGAATCTGCTGTGGTTTTGCAGATTTGATTTTCATCTGTTTGTACCGACGAGTTTGTTATGGTCATGGAGATATTATATACCTGGTTGAGCATGGAAACACAGGCACCTTCATAATCGTAGATGTTACCTATGACCAAATCCTTTCATTAGTAGGCACCTATGATGCATGGAAACTCCTAGCCATTTACATTTCGAAAACGTTTCCCATTTCCCTTCCCTGTATAATTATATTTTAAACGTGGTTTCCCTGTGTTTATTCTTTTGCGTTTCTGCGCAACATAGGTCGGCACAATGATTTGTTATCTTTGGAAACAAAAGTTATCTTATACCCAAATTATTGCAGAATTTGGAATTAAGCCACACAATAAAGAGGCAAAATGAATTAAAAAGCTTAGCAATATTTCAATGTGGAAGACTTATAAAGTGATTTTTTCAATACCTTGGCTAACTGTGGAAGTTTGGTCGTGAATCCTGATTAGTGTCTATCAGGAGGTAGGTTGGCATTGTTTGCATCTGTGATATTTTATGAATTAGATTATGTTTTAATTAGAAATTGTATTAGTTCTTAAAATGTTCTTTGTGTGGTCTATGAATGAGTTTTTCTGTCACTTGCATTTTCCAACAAAGATAATAAAAAGAGCACGGACTCTCTCCTAGAGAGAACTTTTCCTTGGGGTTTAGAGACCTATTTTGCTTCTATTGCTAATTCTTCATTTGAAGATGCTGTCTTCCATAACCTGTTTTTGTTTTGTAAATTGTGATCCTGAAGGGATTCTTCGCAATTACATTTTTCTTTATACACTCATCTGTTTTTTGTTTATGGGATTTTAATATTGGTATTGGTCTTTTATACAGTGGCTTTCAGTGAGTTACCGAGTTCAGCTTTTTTGTGTGCATAAATGCCAGTTGCAAAGCTCAAGGCCTCAAGCAATACAGATGTGATGAAAGCAGAGGAGGGAAATGATTCCCTAGACACCTTTATTAGGCAAGCAATTGGGAAAGAGCCCTTTCTGTCATTCTCAAGGGCTGGGGATAGCCCGGTACAATGGATCCAATTACTCCACGCTTTAGATCAGCAAGGTACTTGCTAATTTTGCAATAATTCTAAATTTTCCATGTTATAGAAATGATTGCACATTATTTTAAGAGGGGTATCAGTAATATGTATCTGGGGTTTGGGATAAGGAATCCTGTTAAAATCTTATAATTGGTGGCATTTCTGTAAAAGAAACAATGACTGTGCCTCTGAACAGATGATGTGACTCAAAATCGCTGAGGCTGTTGTGCCTTTGCTAAGGCTAATGGTGACTCAAAAATGATGTTATAGATAATAGGTAGACATCTTGAGTCATGTTATGATTTGGCCTTATTTGGCATTGAAACCATGCATTTGATTCTATTGCCTCTCCTTCTCCCAGATCTCCCAGGTTGGCCTTTGCTCACTCCTTTGAAGGTGCAGATGCAAAAGTGTGAAAAGTGTTCCCGAGAGTTCTGTTCATCCATTAACTATCGAAGACACATACGTGTGCACCACCGATTGAAAAAGCTTGACAAGGTTTCCTTCATCTCTTGTAGAACTATTATTCATTTTGTTTTATCTTATTTGAGGCCTTTTGAAGCTTGAAAATCTGGTTACAGATGCTGTTGTTAATTTCGATCTGCAATCTTGATATCTTTAGTATTAGCTGCTTCTTTGTCTAAAATCTTTCTTGTTTTACAGTCTTTGGTTTTGTTTATAAAAGATTTTCTTTTACATTTTCTAGGACTCTTCCAAAAATAGGGATCTATTGGGAACCTTTTGGGATAAGGTAATATTCTTTTTCCTTGTTGAGGTTGGATGAATGCCTTGCTCTCTCTGATATGACACTTATCAGCTTGTTTCTGCAGCTTTCTGAGGATGAGGCAAAGGAAATTTTGTCATTCAAGGATGTTTTGCTAGAGGTATTCTACTTTTTGACTTCGTTAGTTCTCTCATTTGATGCTGGAATGTGTTTCAGCTCATTCTTTACTCCAAAGTTTTTCTTTAGCCTTTTTTCCTATTGCCAGTTAGAAATCTATGTTTGGTGGTGGGGTTAGTTTGGTTTGGGTGCAAGTTGATGTCGAAAAACAACACTACTTAGTTTTCCTTTGTTAGTCAGTCATTCTTAATGTGATAGCTGATTGTCAATCGATTTGAAATTTAGTCAAGTTTGGTAATTGGATGATTGACTTTGCTGTTCTACATCTTTATTTATCTCTGTTGGGAGTTGTTCTAAAACTTGTCTTCTGTTACTAGAGCTCTGAACAATTGTAGCATTCATTTTTGCTTCCATGTTTTCTTTTCCTTTAATAGAAAGCCAGAAGCACAAGTTCCAGTTACCTAATTCATGCATGTCCTTGACTATTTTATAATCTATTTTTTTCCTTGTCTTGTCCTAATTAACTATTAGGAAGTTCCAGGCTCTTCTATTATAAAGTCATTGATGGCTCTTATTCGGAAACCTGGATTTTCTTCCCTTCCACAATATTGTCTGAGGGCTGGTTCTGCACTTTTGGTAAGAGTTCATCCCTTTCCTCATTCATTCTTTATCTTCTAGATTTTAATCTATTATCGGCTCTCATTTTCTTTATACTATGCATCTGATACATTGAAAATTCTTTTCAGGATATTATCCAAGCTAGGCCTTCCAGGTTTCCTTTGTCTTCTGAGGAACTATTCAGCATCCTTGATGATGCAAGTGAAAAAACATTCCTGTGTGGAACAGCTGTGTCAATGCAAAAATATATTTTTGATGGGGAAGCTGGGAAGATTGGTCTTGAAACAAAAAATTTAGTGGCTTGCACCAGCTTCCTGGTCGAACAGCAATTGGTAACTTTCTTGCTTTTTCATTCTTTTAAGGCTAAGGTACTATCAATGTACATATGCAAGCATGTGCTGAATGCACTGGTCTTGCACTTGGTGTGTCATGATGACTACACTTGACTTCAGCCAAAAGCATGGTCAGTGTTGTTTGTATGCCATGATTAAATCGCTATTTGTTGGTGTACTCAGGTTAAAGCATGGCTTGCTGACAAGGATGCTGAAGCTCTAAGATGTCAAAAGTTGCTTGTGGAGGAGGAAGAAGCTGCTCAGAGAAGGTGCATTATATGTTTGTTTTAATTTCTTTTTTTTTTTTTCATTCTTGACTTTGATAGAATGATATTCTGTGCCATGTTGCATCAAAAAGCGTATTTGTTTGCTTTTATATGGATATTTGTATGCTGACTTGAGCATCAATGAATCTACTTTGGGCTGGAGTTGCTCATCTTAGGTACTCTATGAGATGCTGAAGCAAGAGGACGGAGGCAGTTCTACTGTCCATGAGATCGCATTTAAAACTAGATTGCATTGGAACTATTTCTTAGTTTTTCATGAAACATGCAACAACACCAACACAAAGCCTTAATCCCGAAGAAGAAAGCCTTCATGTTTTCATGAAACACATAATTGGCCTAAATATTAGATATATATGATTAAGCGACGGGGTATATATATATATAGCCATCTCTCTGAAATTTTCAAACCACTGGGTCTAGAGTATAAGGATTCTCAAATTCTGCAGATTGTAAGTACAAGCTCCATACACACTATATTTTAGAACTAGGAAATGTTGCTTGAAGCCTACAAAATTAAGAGCTGCATTACAAGTACTTCACATATCAAAAATCTATTCTTCAATATAGAGACTCATTTGGGAAGAGTGGACTCTTCTATTTTCTTTTGACAATGTCGATTGTCTCCTGAATGTCTGCAGGCAAGCTGAGCTCTTGGAGCGGAAGAGGCAGAAAAAGCTCAGGCAGAAAGAACAGAAGGCTAAGGAGCAAAGGCAAGGGGAGCAGGAAGATCTTAAGGAGCGGATTGATGACATACTGGAGGCTGTACCTTCAGCTGAAATGTCCTGTCCTTTGAATGAATGTGATTCTACTGTACATGGTCTGGAGTCACTGCCAGATCATGTTCCCTTGTTGCTTGAGCCCTTCCAACTTCCAAACACAGATGAAGGTGTGGATTTGGAAATTCAGACAGTGTCTGGCACCGGTTATAGTGACCCTGGCATTAGTCATAATAGTGAACAACGAATGGTACAAAGAAATAGTCGTAGGCACATAGTTGCCCGGTGGAACTTGTCTCCAAAATCACAATGGAATCATGTACCAAATGGTTTTCATGCAAGTCAGAATTCTCAAGCACCAAAACTTGGCAATGTGCAGAGGCATGGAAATCACAGGGACTCTAAACTGGTGCCTTTAATCAATGGCAACAGAAAATGGAGCCGGAAACTTAAAGCAGATTATGGTGGGGACAGTTTGAAAACTAGAGTACAGAAAGAAGCAATAAACCAACCAGATCAGAATAAGAAACATGAAGTTCTAATAGGTTCTATATCTGTTACGCTTGGAAACTGCAGCCAACAGGAGGATAAAATTTTTGATGGAGCCAGAGAAGATTCTCTTTCAGATCATCAAATGCCAAAGAAAAACAATGTTCAGGACAAGCAGAATAGACTTGATTCTGCTCAATGCAGCACAAATCGGTCAACAATAAAGCTTTGGAGGCCTGTAAGTAGAAATGGAATGAAAGGTCCAGTAGTCGTTGAAAATGACATTAGAGAATCTCAAGTTGATGAGCTTGCTGAAAAGGTTGACGACCATACTGAATCCAGTGTAAACTATCTAAGTTCGTCCTCTGTGGATGATAATTATGGTGGAACAGAGAATGGTTTTCCACTTCCACATGGGAATGTGCATGCAGTAGGCTGGCAGTTTTCATGTGATGCAGCAAAAGCATTTCTTGCCGAGAGTAAGTTCTTGATTTTGTTTATAAAGGTAGTGGTCTTCTCCTATCACCAATATCTTGTCCTCTGATCTTATTATCATGCAGGGTGGAAGGAGGCCATTGCAGCTGAACATGTCAAATTGGTTCTGTCTTCAGACTTAAAATCTTCAGAAGGTATAGAGATTCAGAACGACTGTCTGGTCAGTGTAGCTCAGTCATCAGATACTAAAAAGTCTGGGTTCCTTGGCAATCCGGAGAATCAGTTAGTTGACGTAGTGGTCCATGAGTCTTCAACTGCTGGAGCCGGGAAAGCCAAGTTCAGAACAAAGCCCGAGAAAGGTGTTAAATTAAAGTATATGCCCAAGCAGAAAACTATCACCTAATAAAGTTGGAGAAGGGGGATTTTTTTTTTTTTTTTTTTTTGGGATTTTTTTTTTTTTTTTTTTTTTTTTCCTTTTGTTTATACAGATTTGCACAAGGCTTAATCCCATTACATTCTTAGACAGAGGTTTTCCAGTTTTTTACCGAGGTCCTTCTGTCCGAAAATCGAGGAGGTTTTTTTTCTCTGGAAAGTCCTTGCTTATGTCAAGAAAAATTACTTTAGTTGTCATAAAGTAGATTTGGTTAGCGGCATCACTTTCCGGCTATTTAATGGTCAATTTTTTTTTTTTTTTTTTTTCCTTTTGTTATACAGATTTGCACAGCTTAATCGCCATTACATTCTTAGCAGAGGTTCCAGTTTTACCGAAGGTCTTCTGTCCGAAAATCGAAGGAAGGTTTTTTTCTCTGGAAAGTCTTCTTATGTCAGAAAATTACTTTAGTTGTCATAGTAGATTTGGTTAGCGCATCACTTCCGGCTTAATGGTCAAAAAATTTTCTGTAATAAATATGGTTTTCTAGGCATTGCAAAGTTCCTCTTTGCAAAAATTTTCCCGTTAACCTATTTAGCGGAAGAATGGAGTTTGCCTATGCGGGCTCTTATTCCGTTATTATTATTGTTACTGTTCTTTAATTTTATATGGGTTGGTTATTCTTTCATTTAGTTTGTCTCTACTGAAATGAATATACTATTTTCTTTGGTTTAGTTTGGATGGGGGTATTTTCGTCAATGAAGCAAATTATGATCCACAGTGGACTACGTTGAAAGGCCTGGGCTTGCCTTTTGAGCCGAAAATATGTGGCTGCATACTTCGGCCTATATATTTTTGGATGTGATTAAATAATATCAAAATAAATGCCACCAAGAACTTGGTTGCAAACTTATTAATATATCTAAGCTAACTGACTGACAAAACTGGTAGGTATCATAATAGTAAACTCGCAGAGATGTCCCATGTTCCAACCGGAGGCCACGTACCATAGTTGTAAAGTCACGAGTGACCGACACTTGTATACTTGCTATACATTATATACTTATCCTCACCATTTAAAGTCTCTATTGTTATTGGTTTTCTTTTTTCTTTCATACGTCTCTTTCCAAAACCTTCTCTTGATTTCTTCTCCTCTTTTCAAGAAAATCCCAACCCAATTCACTTCTCCACTCAAAAGTCTCTAGAAAGAAAAAAAAACATGTCAGGGGGCGTTGGTCCAACCTTCAATGACATAAGCCTTCCAGAGGAACAAGAACAAGACCTAGACCTAAAAAAGACCCAAAAAGTTACCCCTTCAATCAAAGATAGTTTCTTGAGCTTCAACCAACTAAATGCTCTTGCTATCATAATAGTTCTTGCTGCAAGTAGTTTGGTAAGCCTTGAAGACTTTGCTTTCGTTATCTTTTCAATCATCTATATGTACTTTCTCTCTAGAGTTGCTTTTTCTTGTGCTAAGCCATTAAAGGACTCGTTAGTTTTTGACCCCAAAAGCAAGATTTTATCCATCTACGTGTCTGTTGGTGCTGTTATTGGTCTCTGTCTCCCCATAGCTTATATCTTTTTAGGAATTTATGAAGGTGATAAAGAAGGGATTAAAGCAGCCGCTCCACATCTTTTTCTCCTAGCAAGTCAAGTTTTCATGGAAGGAGTAGCATTTTCGGACAGGTTTGCATTACCTGTACATGTTTTTGTGCCTGTTTTCTATAATTCCAAGAGGATTTTCACCGTTCTCGAGTGGTTGAAGACTGAAATGTCCAAGGTAGAAGAGGGCTATGGAGGATCTCCCATGAGGGTATATTTTGGGAGAGCTCTTGCTGTAGCTAATCTGGCATTTTGGTGTTTCAATCTTTTTGGCTTTTTGTTGCCTGTTTATCTTCCTAGGGCATTTGAGAAGTATTATTCTGGGTGTAATAGTAAGGTTAAAGATTAAAGATGTTGCTTTTATGAGCCCTCTTGTAAATAAATACAGGAGAATAAACTGGTTTTGATATCATGTTGCCATTGTTTTGCTATTTCCCTAATTACGAATGATTAAAAACAACAATGCTAAAGATGGCTTCGACATGACTTGAAAAATCCTCAATTAGCAGTAATTTTTATCATTTACAGGACTTGAAAAATACTTTCCACCACAGAAAGATCATACTATGATGTTTCAGTGAATCTGTAGTAACAGTCGGACAAGGATTCCTCTGTGAGTATGCTTTTTTACAAGCAGATGATAATGACAAAAAAAAAAAAAAATGGCATGTCGAATCAAAAAGGCAAGACAGAACAACCTAATGACAATTTTTAGATTATCTCTTCGTACAAAGAACAGCTGTAATTGTAGTTCCTCAGCCACTGAGCAAATCGCGCTACATAGCCAATACTCCATTTGCTTAAAATGAACTAGTATGGAAAAATCACAAAATAATATTACAAGATTGTGTTATTACACCTCTACTAAAGTTTTTTTCCCCTAATTTTCTCTCCATATGACAATTCTGAAACAAGTCAAATCTTCAAGGAACGGTTGTCAAAAAATCAACTGTGCATTTCATCTACTCAATTTTTTTTTCTAGACGGGTGGCCTTCGTGAACAACACACGTAGAAGCCATGCACTGAATGTGGAAAAAGAAATCTGAATGATATTCCAAAGAAAAGAAAATTTGTGAAAGAAATAATTTCGAGACAGGTACAGGAGCTCGCAGATGAGAATGCTCAGTCACAAACAACTGCAACAACAGAATAAGGTAAAAGACAAATGAGCAAATTGTGCTCATATTGTCTCTTCAGAGTTCTTATTTTTCATTTTCAAAAGCTTTTCCAACATACAAGACGCCAAGAAAGAATGTTGTACTTTGGTGATGTTGAAACAGACAAAATACTCACATGCAGTCCACACCAAATAACAGTGTCAATTCTTCTATCTTCTGACAGCTGTGAACTGCAGGCAGCATCTTCACCAAACGTCTCAAGCTGCTGAAGGTTATCCAAGGAAATTTTTACCCTTGTATTATCTCCTATCCAAACCTGTTTACACATCAAATGCATTATTGCATGCTCGATCAATGGAGAAAATAAGCCCTATAAATGAAAAGATGACCAAGCCCCACTGAGAATCCCTCATTTCATTTTAGACAAAGAGATGGATGAGCACTCTATTTCCTTAACAGCAGTCTGCATATGTAAAACAGCAGGGTGGTTTTAGGCACTATCAAGCCACTGCATAATTTGACATCAGCTCAGTAAATTCAAGTAGCCCTCAACTCCATGATCCCAAACACATGGAAAATGCAAATGAAGAAGTACCAAAAGAAACCATGACGAGAAAAGATGAAATCTAGAGAATAACTTACCTGAATATCTACACAACGAGCCATTCCCATTCATGGACAATGGTACTAGCCTTCTTTCTTGGCCCAAAGAAAGTATTTCCTGCATCCTTTCTGGCCAATCCGAATTTAATCTGCGAGCAAAGTCCTCAACTTCCCTGAATCAGAAAAAAAAGAAATTGTAAACTTTATATCACAACAATAACGATGCTCTTGCACAAATAAAATGCTTCCTTAAACTCTCCAAACAAAAATGCTCAGAACAACACACATTGAATTTATCATACAAATCAAGATACTCAAATATATGACAACCTAACCTGTCAAGTTCCTCCTTCATTGCAGGATCTAAATCATCATCAATATCAGCATCATCAAATTCAATTTTAGGTGAAATCGTGGCAGAATCAGATTCTTGCAACTTTGAAGTTTTACTAGGAGAGGGTGCCAAAATATCTTTAACCTCCCCATTATGGCATGCAGAAGAATGATTGTCTGTCTCCTGAAATCAGTGATGATAGACTAATAAGAGAAAAGAAAAAAATCCTCTACTGCTTTCCCTATATATATATATATAGATAGTAACTTCACAGACAATGCACCAGTGGAAGAGCATGTGAGAGCATACACGCAGACAAACAAAAGGAGAGATGCCTACCTTTTTATGGCTTTCGTTTGAACTGTTTGAAGAAGGTTCCTTTGGTGGGTCCTTTCTTCTCCGATTCTTCTTTTTATTCTTACTAGTTCTATTACCTTTTGAATCTGCAGGGGCTCATATTCAGTAAAGTTGCAAAAGGTAGAAAACAAATTCAAAATATCAACTATTTCAATGCTGATTCTCTGAAAAACTCCTAAAAGCTACATGATCAACATGGAGTACTAGAATATCCGTACTGATTGAACAAGCAGAGTAGCTATCAGGTTGATAAGAAGATAAAGCATGCTATCTTCTCAGAATGAAGACAAAACATGTTGCAGGCATACCTCCATCTTCACCATTTATAAATGACAAGAGATCGTCAACTGAACGTTCATCTACACGCTCCTCCTCAACCTCCACATTCTGGGTCATATAGTAAATTCATTTTCGATTATTGCAATGCACATAATCATATAACAGGTTTAAAGAATTCAATACAAATCCCAATGGATCAAAAATCATGCAAATTCAGATGTAAAAGATGGGAGTGGAGTGGGTTAACAAAAGCCACAAACAGCAGAAGTAAAAGTAACCACCTTCATTTTCTCTCGCTCTTTCAGTTCCTTCCTCTTTCTGGCATATAATCGATTTAGAAGCCGGATGCGTGGATCATCAGTTATGTTTCTAAGAGGCTCCAATTTTTCTTCCTATGAGAAAACAAGATCTGTGTGAAAAAAACAGTAACAAAGACTAAAGGTTGGAAGCACGGACATCATGTTTGCAACAAACCTCTGTGAGATCATCAGGTAAGTGAAACGTCTCACGTATCTCTTCAGGAGTCTTCCCTTCAATAATTCGAGCAAGTGCACGACTGGTAAGATCAACCAAAGGCTTTAATTGGAGGCTGTCAGCAGCAGATGTTAACTCACACAATCTTTTTGTATCCATTCGAATAAATTTTTCATCAAAGGTTTTGCGCTCCTGGACATAAGAACAAGGTAATATAGATGTTGAGAAAGATCATCTACATATAATAATATGATAAACGCCCATATATCCTTCCCCTCTTTACAAATATAATAACCGAGCTAATAGAAACAACTTTTCTTAAACTCCTCCACAAAGCAGTAACTTTTTTTTTTTTTTCATTTACTTGATTGTTAAGACATAATATATATGTTTTGTTACATATCTGAGAAGAAACAGCATACAGAAAAGCAAATAAATCAGCAGTGAGGAAAAATGTAGAAAGCAGGGGAATCAGACCTTATTAGAGCGACCTGGTACTTGATGAAACCTACAATAATCAAGTATTAAGCCCAAGATAGCAGGATTCACCCGTTGAGGAAGTGATATAGCATAGTTTTTTGAAGATCCCATGCCTGTTTGAAGAATTTCTCGGCATATCATGGGGCAAAACATGGCAACCTCTTCTTCTACTTGTTGGATGGAACCATCAGCAGTTTGGAGCCAAATGTAAGACTTCATCTTGAGACAAAACACAATATAAAAAGAAAAAAAATAAGCACTGATGAAATCAGATTTGGAAGTCAAGGCTAAAATAAGATAAATAAGAAGAAAATCATCACTTGATGCAAGTATAGAGAATCTTGATTCCTGAAATAAAAATTCCAACATTTCTCCTCTCACCCAATTTTAGGAAAAAGCAACTGTTCAATGACCTATGTGTACTCATCTTCACAGTTCTTTCATTTTTCCGAATGGTTAGACCATGAGCAAACCATTCTCTTTAACAGATTGTCCAGAAAGATACATGCATGCCCAACAACAACAAAATTCAAGACAGGAGGTTTCGTTTATATCTGCACAATCTTTTTTTTTTTTTTTTTTTTTTTTTTCAATGCATGCCCCAACCAACAACAAATATTCAAGAACAGGAGGTTTCGTTTTATATCTTGGCACAATTCTTTTTTTTTTTTTTTTTTTTTTGTTTTTTTTTGATATGTGTTTGTATATCTGCACAATCGATTTAAATAAGCAATGTACATTTTTGAATTAGTGAAACAAATACTATGAAGGCCAGGAAAAAACTCAGAGATTCCACAGCCATAACCGAAACCTTCCTGACATCTCGATTTTTTTTTTTTTTTTTTTTTTTTTTTGATAGTGTTTATATCTGCACAATCGATTTAAAAGCAATAACATTTTGAATTAGTGAAACAATTACTATGAAAGCCCAGAAAATACCTCAGGTTTCACAACAGCCATACCACCTTCTGACATCTGACAATTGCTGCAACAATTTATTAGGAGTGTCTGAAAGGTAAACAACCTTACACCTAAGGTTTCAAAAACAATGGAGAAATAATGGCAATACAGTCCGTCTCTTCTTCCAAAGATTCACTTTGTTAGTGTATAAACTCTTTATCAATGCTTCCCAAACTGACACTTTGTCATATCCTGATGACACATGCATCAGCATTCTTAACAAGAAAGCTTCCCCAGATCTTTTCTGTGAAATACAAGACAGGCAAAAATCTATGAGATGTCACATAGTAGATACCAGATAGATTACCATCAGCATAATTATCATACACATTTACAAAAAATTAAAATTTAACTCCAATTTCCTCATCTGATCTTCAAAAAATAGACAACCACGTTAATAAAAAACAAGTCACACAAGAAATTAAAAAGAAAAAACTAGAAATTTCAAGTTTGAATCTTATCTGCAAAGTACAATTACTTCTACAACATAAATTAACATCAGCGACTTTTCTTTTCTTTGGCAAGCAGAAGGCACACACAAAATGAAGTTTCATATGAACTATTTTTCTAAACAAAAGTAAATTGGCAGGTTGCTTTTCATGTTCTCCTGTCACTATTGTGTTGATTAATCCATGCAATTCACATTCCTCTACCTGTACAAAACTTCACAGGCTATGGCTGAAAGAACTTAAAATACCAGATGCTACTTTTGAAATTTCATGTCTAATAGTAGGGGGCAAAATAGTATACAGAAATCACATGTGGCCCTCATTGAAAACCAAAATCATTCATTTCATGCAACAATAAATTTCTAAAATCAATAAATAGCTGCTAACAGAGTTCCTGCTGCACATTTCCATATGAAATTAAAAACAGAAATGAGTTATTCTCTTCATCGCCTGTCTAGGTACATAGCCACAGAAACAATCAAATGTTCATATCATTTCCAGTAATTAAACTCATGCAAACTATCATACCAACGCAAGACATGAACACCAGCAAAAAGATGCAAATTTTAATTGATGGAATTATGGATAATCAGATTAAAAATGACAAATTATAAAAACAAAATGCAACCTCCATCAAAACAGGGCTTAATTGTTGTACGCATATTAACTGAACATTAAAAAATTAATTAATTAACTAATTGAATTCAGAAATGAAAATCATTACATGTGTATGAGTATTGAAACGGAAAGAAAGGGGATAGGGTTTTGCATACCTTAAAAGAAAAGATGAACTGAAACCAATGAAATAAATTTATAAGAGATGTGCCAGTAAGAATGGGGAGGAAGAAGAAATGGTGTTAGGGTTTTCAATAGGCTCTTCTTTTTTTCCTTTTTTTTCCTTTTTTCCTTTTTTTCTGTTTGTGTTTCCGTTTTCTGTTTCTGTGTTTCTCTCTCTTGCGATAATGTGTCTGCTATTGAGTTCCGCACGTGACTCCTATCGGAATGAAGCTGTCTTCGCACGTGTTGGTAGTTAGGGTTTGGGTGGAGAATCAGAGAGATGACTGGTTCTTGGGTTTTGAAAATGGGCCTCTGCATACCAATCTGGGCCCATCTAGAAAATTATCTGGATTTTGAAAGTTGAGGCTATGAGCCTTCAGTCCTCGCATTTAAGTCTATTGTTTTATGAAAAAATAACCTACGCAAAGAAAAATAACCTACGTCAAAGAAAATTTTTTTCCAAATAATTGATATTCTATTATTTGATTATATATTAAAATTAATTAAAAAAATACTAAAATATTTTAATTTATAATATTTAATAAATAATTTATGAAAAAAATAACCCTACGCGAAGAAACGAAAAAATAACCTAACGTCAAAAGAAAATTTTTTCAAATAATTGATATTCTATTATTTGATTATATATTCAAAATTAATTACAAAATACTAAAGGAGTTTAAATTTATAAATATTTAATAAATAAATATATCTCAAACCGGAATCAATATACTATAGTATATATATATATAGATAAATTATGATAATTATCTATAATTTGTAGTGGCTAACGTGATAAATATAATAAATTATGATAATTATCTATAATTTGTAGTGGCTAGTGATAAGAAGAAGTAATCATTGATCGATAGTGATTAACACTGACCAATAGAATAATTATATTTTTCTCTTTAAAAAAATTAAATCATTTCTTTTAAAATAATTTAATTTTTATTAATAACATATTTTTCTTTAACTTATTTTTATAAGAATCTCAAATATGAAAAATTTTAAAAAATATTTTTCAGTAAATTACGGTTTTCGAAATAAATGAGCCCAGCATAAAAAATTAGAGGAAAATAAAATTTAATTTATGTGTTTTAAAAACTAACTATAAAATCTTTAAATTTTGATTTATGAAAATAAATCAATCCATATATTATAGTCAATTAACTATGAAATTTATAAGGAAAAATAATTATTTCGTCTCTGATGTTTTCCATAATTATTTAAGTAGTCTTCGACATTTATACAAATATTTATAACGTCCCTGAAGTTCACTTATATCATATTAATTGGTCATTCCGTCTAAAAAATACAATTTTTCCGTTCATTTTGAGAGGAAAAGACGAAATTATCTTTTGAAAAAATAATTATTTCGTTCCTGAGATTTACCATAATTATTTAAGTAGTCATCGACATTTATCCAAATATTTATAACATCCTTGAGGTTCACTTCCGTCATATTAATTGGTCCTTCTAATTTTTTTTGTTAATTTTGAAAAAAAAGACAAAATTATCTTTTATAAGTTTTCATTGACATTATTGTCAATCCCTTCCTTCTAAAATATCTAAAACTCAAATTTTCACCGTCTTCTTCAACCCAACGCGGCCTTCATTGCCATCACCGTGTCTCTGTCAACCATCTTCTCTACAACCACATCACCACCAAAACTCAAAGGGAAAATAATTATTTCGTCCCTGAGATTTGTCATAATTATTTAAATAGTTCTCGACATTTATACAAATATTTATAATATCCCTGAGGTTCACTCGCTATATTACTTGGGCCTTCCATTCAAAAAACACACTTTTTACTGTTAATTTTTAATAGAATGGTCAAACTACCCTAAATCCTCTAATCAAGGGAAGAGAGATAAATGGAAAAGGGGTGATGATGGCTTGATTTGAGTTTGGATGTCGGGTTTTGGTTTTGGTGGTGATCCGGTTATGGAGATGATGGTTGACAGAGACACGATGGTAGCAATGAAGACTGCGTCGAGTTGAGGAAGATGGTGAAAATTTGAGTTTTAGGTATTTTAAAGGAAAGGAATAGACAATAATGTCAATGAAAACTTATAAAAGATAATTTCATCTTTTCCTCTCAAAATTAATGAAAAAGTATATTTTTTGGATAGAAGGACCAATTAATATGACGGAAGTAAACTTCAGGAACGTTATAAATATTTGTATAAATGTCGAACACTATTTATATAATTATGGCAAGCCTCAGGACAAAATATTTATTTTTCCAAAGGATAATTTCGTCTTTTTCTCTCAAAATTAACAGAAAAAGTGTATTTTTTGGACGAAATGACCAATTAATATGACGGAAGTGAACCTAAAAAATGTTATAAATATTTGTATAATGTCGGTCACTAATTAAATAATTATAACAAATATCAGGGACGAAATAATTATTTTCTCAATTTATAATTCCGTTGATATTATAGTCAGAGTAGCTATGAAGTTCAAAATTAAAAAATTTCATAGTTAGTTTTAAAAAGATAAGAGTTACTCGTATCTTAATATATTTAACTATAATTTAGCCAATTATCTTTTTATTTTCCATACAAATTATTCTGCAACACAAAATTGAGTTGAAACGACAGCATAAATTCACTGTACGGTCCCTTCCCGATATGGGAATGTCAATCTGGCAGTTAACAATTTACTGATAGCACCAGATCACTCGTGTCGGCAATTGGTGTACTCCACTAACTACCAACGCTAAACTTGTGACTACACTTTATCTTCAACGTAGCACACCAAAATAAAGCAGCTGAGACTAAACTTGCGAAAAGCTGCAGACTTTGAAGGAAGACTGGTTCACGACAATATAGTAAAATATAGATTTGGAGGAAAATGTGGTTTTTTAGGAGGAAAGGACCATCTGGGTTTTCATCATCTTCAACAGCTGAGGAAGTTACACAAGGGATTGATGGGTCTGGTCTCACTGCCATTGTCACAGGTTCAAAAAAAAAAAAAAAAAAAAAAAAAGCTAGGAAGTTACACAAGGATTGAAATGGGTCTGGTCTCACTGCCATTGTCACAAGGTTCAAAAAAAAAAAAAAAAAAAAAAAAAATTCATGTTGTTTTGCACAAATTAAAGATCTGGGTTTATTTTTGTGGGATTCAATTATATCGGAACTGATTTATTACTATTGCTATCTGTCAATGAGTGGAATGTCTAAATGTGTATTAATGGCTAGAAAGTTTCCAATTTTCGCGTGTTTCTGGAGGCTTTTTTGTGAGTTTAGTTTAGGACTTCTGATGTATCGTTCCAATTTAGCAAATGTGGGGTGCATATCCAAATTAGAATTTGATAAATGGAATTGAGAGTTAACCAGTTGTTGTACTGTCTATATGTTTAATGGGCACTTAATTTTCCAAATTGAAGCATGATTATGTTTTCCTTTTTTTTTTTTTTTTTTTTTTTTTTCCTTTTTTGTTTTTTTTTTGTTTTTTTTTTGTTTTTTCCGTCTTAATGTTGTAGCTGTTGCGTATACAATTTCGTTAAAATTTTGATGATAAAATTATGAGGAAATTTTGTGAGAATACAACTGTTTCAATTTGTCTCATGTCGGTATTTATTTGTCTGTTTTGCTAGACATTAGAAAACACAATCTTAAGGGGTTGCCAAACAGGATTTTGGCATCTAGGTTTCTAAACACTATATTACAGGGGACCGCACTTACTCATGGTACTTCTTTGATTTCACGATTACTAATCATTTAGAGAGAGAGAGAGAGACAGCACAGGCTTCACTTAAGGGCGGAGTGCGACTTGGCACCAGGTGGAATCTGGGGGTGCTGGCTCTAAGATACACTACTTGCGTGTGGGTCTGTGGTGCTTAATTCCCTGGTGTGAGGTTGGGCCCACATCAGGGCGGGACTTAATATTTCGGGATTACAGTCAGTTTCGTGGAGCTCGTTTACTGACTGTCGGAATCATATCTGTCCCTACTATGATTTTAGGCAGCATCTAGTGGCTATCGGGACGGAGACTGCTCAAAGGGAGTAACCCTTGCAGTGGTGCACGGTGGTGCCTACCATGTAAGGTTGGATTATGGCGCGTCACAGGGGCATGCGGGCGGCGTGAGAAGAGCTATATGTCAAAGGAGCAAAGCTGGATGAGATAATAGCCGTCGGGAGTGGTGACATTTGGATCGCCAATGGAGGTCTGGGACTCCTCCAGTTCCATTTATGTCTGTGAGGAAATTTTGCCAGTCAAGCTTCATCAATTTCCCGGTCTTCATTGGAAATCCTTTAACTGTGAGAATAGAATGAGAACTTGAAAGTAATATTATCTTACAATGGAGAGCAAAGTGTATAGGACTCGGCGGCAGTGTGCGATCATCCGCCGCTGGAGCTATCTCTCCAGTGATGATAGTCCAACTTCATAATTTCACATGAGCCCAGTTCTGTCTCATTGTTTTTGTTGTGTGCGGCTTCACCCCTTCGAGCTCCTGTTTTCTAACCCAGATTATGGAGCAAACTTAATTACTAATTTCTCGCTCTTTATTACCACACCCTTACTTATTGGTACCATTAGAACGTCACACCAATGAATGACTCCGGATATCTAGTGGGCTAACAACCTACTAGTCCAAGTGCCAAGTATAGAATTTATTTTGAAGATTAGAGAGCGCGCGCGCGAGAGAAGTCAACACTCACCTTAGATGAGCGCGTGAAGATAAAACAAGAGATGCTTTTGTGCTCATGAGTTAAAATTTGATTTTTCTATATTTTCAGGCTCCTCCATATGTGACGTATTATGCGTAATTGCATTTAAGGTGAGTAATAATTGGAGGTATAACACATGACACGTGATTTTATATAGTTTAATACTTTATCCTACCATGATACGAGGAGCTTAGGCGGCAACGGACCGTCATTATTAAGAGGAGCCGTGTACGCTCTCTCGTAGACATATATATATTACGTGTCTTATCATTTACATACTGAAATTAACACATCTGCCCTATTAATTTTAGCACTTCCATTGCATGCTTCTCTTCTTACTCCTAATTTTCGTACATACTTACTGAGAATTAGAGATTAAGGTCTATGCAAGACCAGAGTGTCATCCAATGTATGTAGAGTGCCTATATACTGCCCTGTTTACCTAATTAATGATCTTAAGCTTATAGAACTGTGTCCGAGGTATTAAGTTCTAGACTTAATGTGGTATATAGAGTTCTAATATTCCGAGGATTTATTGTGTGTCCTCAGCCACTAGTGTATACATTCACTTAGAGTACGGCGTCACTGGTATCTGTCTCTGAATATTATCTAATGTTTATTCTAGGAGCTGAAAATGTAAGTCCATAGCGTAAAAGAGAGAGAAAAGGGACGAATTGTAGAATGTTCATCAGAGGCTCAAAACCCGCGTTAAGATCCTATATTTATAAACTCATTCATTGGTTAGGATTACGACTTAGAATTCAGCAAGGTGTTTACTTGGCCTGATCACACTTATAATTGCGCGATGAGCCATTTGCCAATTCCAGATTTTAATCACCTATTGTTCGGCATATACATAATTCTGGTCCTCATAAAGTATCGCTTTAGACATATTCTTATATGATTTGTTTTGATGCGGACTAGACATAATCGGCATTATCAAAACCTCTTGTGGTACCACAGAGGGTGCTGTGCAGTTTCTTTCACTTTAAGTCACTCGATGTTTGAGTCATATCATATCTTCGCTCATGAGATATTCACATATAAATCATGTTTCATATTTTGTGAGTGCTACGGACTATAATCGACGTATCGGCCCAAGAGTTTTCTCAGAGTGCACTACATCTTGTGGTTCATTGCAGACACATATCTGCAATTGTGGTGCAGTCCTACATATTCAGAGCTTTTTTTTTTTTTTTTTTTTTTTTTTTCCGTCTTATGTTGTACTGTCGTATACAATTTCGTTAAAATTTTGATGATAAAATTATGAGGAAATTCTTGTGAGAAGTACAACTGTTCAATTTGTCTCATGTCGTAATTATTTGTCTGTTTTGCTAGAATTAGAAAAACACAATCTAAGGGGTTGCCAAACAGGATTTTGGCATCTAGGTTTCTAAACACTATATTAGGGGCCGCACTTACTCATGTACTTCTTTGAATTTCAAAATCATCTTAGAGAGAGAGAGAGAGAGACATTTTAGAGTGAGCAATGGAATCTGGGTGCTTTAGATACATTTTTTTTATATTTCCTGTTGATTTGGGCAATAATAGTGCATAATAGTGATAATTAGTTTTAGTGTGTTTACTGACTGGAATATATCTGTCACTACTATGATTTTAGGAGCATCTAGTGGTATTGGCACTGAGACTTCAAGGGTACTTGCATTACGTGGTGTCCATGTAATTATGGCAGTAAGGAATATGGCCGCTGGAAGAGATGTCAAAGAAGCTATAGTAAAGGAAATCCCCTCTGCCAAAATTGATGCCATGGAGTTGGATCTCAGTTCCTTTATGTCTGTGAGGAAATTTGCATCAGATTTCAATTCCTCCGGTCTTCCATTGAACATCTTAATGTGAGAATAGAATGAGAACCTTGACAGTAACTATTATCTTACATATGCAAAGTGTATAGATGCAATTCGTGGTTATATCAGTCAGATGATAGTCAAACTTTTCCATAATTTCACATCACAGTTGTCTATTTTGTTGGTGTCTCTTACATGTTCTCTGTTTAACCAATTATGGAGCAACTAATTACACTTTTTTCCCTTCTTCCGTACCATAAAGTAACAATGCAGGAATCATGGCAACACCATTCAAGCTTTCCAAAGACAATATTGAACTACAGTTTGCAACAAATCACTTAGGTACGTAACTCATACTGCAAATGGTACTTGCTGCAGAATGGCCTAAGTTAATGATTTCTTTTCCCCTTTGAGATAGCAATTATTAATGAGAATTATTTTAAAATGCTGAATTATCTGTAACTTTCAATGTTAATAGGGGTATTTGGCTTTTGAGAGTCCCTCGTCAAGCTTCAACATCTCTTCTTAAATTCATGATGTTACCCTGTTTTATCTGAATTAGAAAAATAAAGTTTCAAGATGGAGATGTTTCAGACTTTAAAGTAGCTCATCTGTTACTCCACACTTGCTGTGTATAAGCCTGCTCTCATAGATTTATGGAATTTGTACTCAAAAGATTGTTCTTTTGCAGGTCACTTTCTTTTGACAAATCTTTTATTGGAGACTATGAAGAAAACTGCAAATAAAAGTAAAAGAGAAGGACGAATTGTAAATGTCTCATCAGAGGCTCACCGTTATCCTTATCCTGAAGGAATTCGTTTTGATAAAATCAATGACGAGTCAGGGTAATGCTGTCACAACTTAGAGTTGCATTCAGTTTTACAATGTTTTACAATATCATTTAAAGTCTTCAAAAACTTATAGACAGTTTGATTTGATGCTATACCTGTAAAGCAGTGTGGGCAGTTAGTTGTGATAATATTGTACGATGTTTATTTCAATCTTCTTAGATGGCAATTTGATTGTGTTTAAACTTGTACTTATACAGGTATAGCAGTTTTCGTGCCTATGGTCAATCAAAGCTTGCAAATGTGCTGCATGCTAATGGGCTCAGTTGGCGTTTAAAGGTATCCAATCTTATCTTTGATCTAAGTTTGATGGCACATTATTGAAAATAATTTCATGGTGAAAGGAATTACTGATATCACCTTTTAAACATGTTGTTTGTTTGGAGCTGCAGTTAAACATATTGTATTCGATAAACGGAGTTGTTTATCAATTTGAGTTCTAAGCATCTCTCTTTTCCTAGATTTGCTGCATTTTTCTATTGAATCTTTTTCAGCTGAAATTCTTGTTTTGAAAAGGTGGTGCTCTCACCCAATCAGAACTATAATCAACTTCCACATTGGATGTTCCAATTAGATATTCTGTTCCCTACAGCACAAAATGTGAACAGCTGCCTGAAGAATATGGCATGATCCATTTTATAAGGGGGAACCTTCAGAGTGAGCTAGATGGAGTTGCACAGTGGTCTTAAGTTGGTGCGATTTTATCACTAGCATTTATCCTTACTTGAGCCTTTAAAGAGTACCATAGCTTCTCCGTTAAATCAAAATAATGCTTTCTTCATAGTAAACAAAGGTTGTACATCCATTAGGAAATTTTGGTACTCAATTTCTTTATTTGCTGGTTTTTTGGATTCTTTTACACTCAAGTAATACTTTAGTAATGTGTTTCTTTTGGAATTTGTTGAAGTCTTCCTCTGAAGTCTGCGTCTGCATATTAGAGTTGATAAAATCTTCAACCTGCAATTGGCTGTGACTCTACTTTACTATCGTGCCATTAATGATGTTTACATGTGAATGGATGGATAATGAGCCAAGAGAGTTTGTATGCATAGATATCAACCGCTGTTTCTGTATTATGGAATTCTTGTTATGTTGAGTAAAATCCATTATAATGTTTGATTTTCGCGGTGAGCAGGAAGATGGGGTCAATATAACGGCAAATTCACTTCATCCAGGAGCAATTGTCACCAATCTTTTCCGTCATATGGGCATTATCAATGGTAAATCACATGGACATCGCATAGTTTGAGTTGATGCTTCTTCAGACATCAGTAAAGCTATATATGTCATACTCCTGGCGTCATGAATTAACTTGAAATGGCATTGTAACTTGAATTCTTTTTGTCCAATTCAGGCGTGGTAGATGCAGTTGGTAAACTCGTGCTTAAAAATGTTCAACAGGTGAGAAATAGACCTCAGAACTACTACTAAGTATTTGCTTGGCTCAGAAATCTATGGACATTATCCTCAATTAATTGTATTGAATTTGGTGGCAGGGTGCTGCAACAACATGTTACGTGGCATTGCATCCGCAAGTGAAGGGGATAAGCGGTGAATATTTTTCAGACAGTAACTTGGCCAAAGCAAGTGCTCTGGGGAGTGATGTTGAATTGGGAAAGAAACTCTGGGATTTCAGCATGAAATGGTTTAAGTAAATCATGTTGTCATATTGTGCTATTCACTTGCCACTTTTACATAAAGGTATTATTATTTATCTAAAAGGGTTATGCCAAAGAAAAAAAGATTTGTATCCACACAATTCCAATTATTTTATACTTCCTTCTAAATACTGTAATTTTAAGAGTCACGTATAAACTATGAATAATGAATGATATATACACCCATTTGAGAAAGTAAACTAATGGATTAGACGCTTTTTATTGGCATTTGCCGTTATACAGAGCTTGGCATTCTCGAGCTAACTTGACTAAGTTTGTGTCTGAGTGTCTGCGTAGAAACAGAGATGGGTGTGGTTGTTTAGAATCTCACATCTGGGCTTTATGTAATTTTTCATGCTAAGAGATTTTGATGATGTAAGAATCCCATACTCAATGAGTACTGCTCTTTTTCTCTGCTCTCCAATAAAATAAGCCCTCAATGCGAGATTCTTCTCTGCTCTATGTAATTTGTAAGAGAAAATCACTCCCAAAAATAAAATAAAATGAAACAAATTGTATAAGCCATCAATCCCCATTTCCAGAGATTATCGAATCATGGAATTAGATTTTCATTTTTCAATCAACTGAAGTGTAATTTACATAAAGGCAAATCAGATTGAAGAGAGTATACAAGCACAGTCAATCTGAGCCAGCAAAACCACTGTAGGTTTTCAAATATGCACAGGCTCAGCAAACCCAAGATTGCTTTCACGAACAAATTGCTAGCCTCAATTCTATTCTCCACATTACTACAGCAGTCTCAGACCCTAAAATGGTAGTCCAAAAGCTAATAATTGTACGGACTCGAATCCTTGTTTTCTTCTATACCATGATCTAAAAGAATGTACAGTTCTCATCGCCTCGAATATTATCCATCCTGAAGGAACTGCCACACGATGAACCAGCAGAAGCCACACCTCCCTGGTGAAAAATATCTCTCTTGATTTCAGTCAAATCAGAGGTGAAAAATATCTCTCTTGATTTCAGTCAAACCAGAAGCCATTCGAGCAGTTAACCTTTTTACAAATTGAGCTGCAAGAGCTAGTCTCTTATTTGCAGGAGCTGAATTCCATTTACTGGTGCAGCAAAACATCCAGCACCGGAATCAGATACTAAAAATAGCTTATAGCATGCTGATCATTTATGGACCGGACTGCACAAGCTTAAATGCTGTGCCACTGTGATCCATCCACCTCCAGCTCCACCTGGTAGGGCCTCAACCTTATTCCAAAGTTCTCCCTACGTGCTTATTGAAATCATTAGTCCCCTCAGCTGTTAATTGGAGGAATACATTAACCGTGTAGAAACAAAAAGACAGTTCAGCAAACTTGAAAACTCGCTTTGATTGGTTGGTCCACAAAAAATGTATGAAGTTAGATACCACTGGTCCGAGTGGGCAAAGGAGAATGGGGACTTAGATCCAGGGACGGGTTCATCTTTACATGATCCCTTAAGAGCTGCCGAGATACACGATCAGCCAAGACTGACTGTCCATCATACAGTTGCTTTCCTAGGACATCATTTTCACTTGGAACCAGGTCTGCGAAAATGTGAGAGCCAGGCTGCATTCCCCGAAACATGTCCGGATTGGAATCATGATAAGGGAGACCATTGATGTAGATATTATTTGAGGGCTTTGGCAAGCTTCCAAAGCCCTCCTGCAAATAAACTGACTGTTTCAAATGATTAAACGGAATAGCACCGCTGCCACCTGTAAGAGGGGTGGATGAGCCTGAAGTGGTCCGTGGGCTAGATATAGGTGAAGGAGACATTCTCTGTGGTGACCTTGAATGCAAAAGAGGGCTTCCAACGGGTGAAACAGGACATGAGATGTTCCTTGGAATATGGATATCACTATAGATGATAGAACTGAAATCAGGCAAAAGGCTAATGATGATGGAAAAAATATAAAAAAATATCGAGGGCAGAGAGAGAGGGAAAGGGAACCTGGCATGGTGATTAGTTTTCAAAACTCTGGATGAATGAATTGCAAGCCTCTCTGAATCCAAGGAGGTAAAATTTCTCACTTGACTAATGCCCTGGAACATCATTTGTACCATATCAACTGATGAAACTCTTATGGAAGACTTGAGAAGAGAAAATGATTAAGGCAAGAAATTACCGAGGATCTCACCATCACAATAAATAAACCAATTAACTGATGAAAAGTTGCAAAATTCTAATTTTCCAAGGTTAACCAAATATTTAGAAGTTGATATAAGAGTGTATCCACACAGGACTTTAGTCTCTAAGCAAGCATTAGTTGCAAATCTTGGGTCACCCAGATTAATCTTTCCTTTTCTTTATTGTATTGTTTTTATGATCTTAGGCTACTCCCAAAAAGTTCATAAAATGAAAACTTATGTGCCTTCACTTATATTGTCTATGTACCATGGCACAAACACTTAAGTTCAGGCAGCACTAGATATGAAAGGAATAAAATTAACAAAGAAAATACCAGAGCTTTTACCCCATTTGTTACTGTAGGGGGTTGGTCTGTAGGCTCAGGACTTGCAATAGGCCTTTCCAGAGGAGCAGGAGATTTTACGAAAGGATGTTCCAAAAGCTGGGCAGCTGAAGGACGATGTAGTGGATTGCGTTGCAAGCATTGTCTCACAAAATCTTTTCCTTCCTCTGATAGGTGATCTGGAATTGCTGGGAGATCCTTACTATTTCCAATCTTAAACATAGCAGCAACCTAAGACCATAAAAATTGCAACTATCAGACAACCAGAAGAAAGAGCAAAATTTTATACATAAAATAATTATAAGGCTACACAACCTAGAGGCATACTTCAAACCACTTCACAAGAAGCATGATTTAGGAGAACTTTGAACACAAAACGTTAAGACTACATAAAATTTACATCTCGTTTTGTTCTCTACATGACTCACCCCTTCAAACTGGCTCCAAGGTGGTTTTGTTGTAGCCATTTCCAAAACAGTACATCCAAGACTCCATATATCCACAGCAAGATTGCAACCATTCGAGTTCTTTATAACCTGTGCAAACATCAGAAAGGATAATTGATAAATAATATGCAGCATGGCAAAATTAAGGACAGGTGAAACAAGAAGATACTCTAACCTCAGGAGCCATCCAGTAAGGGCTTCCCTTGAATGATAGTGGACACGATTGTCCAGTGATCTGCAAAACAGAGAATAGGTAAGCTGTGCAAGAAGGATTTGATCAGAAGACCCACAGTTATAGTCAATCCATAATCATGGTATAAAATAGTAACCACCCAAGGGAGAAACCCCATAGAAGTCTGTACCACATCTGTTGCCCCCTGGTACATGAACCAAAGCAAATAAACTTGACAAATCAATCATATCATATGGTAAATTTTGCTGATCAAGAATTTAGAATTATCAATATACCATATGCACCATTAAAATGATTCATGTCCCTAAATTCACATGTATTATATACTTCTTATTCAATCTGGTTAATCTCATATGAAATGAAAAATGTTGTCTACACTCACATGCTTTGCCATCCCAAAATCAGCCAATTTAACACGACCATTTGGATCCACGAGTATGTTTGCACCTTTAATATCTCTGTACAAAAAAGATGCAGTATAAGAATATGAACAGTATTAAATCTAACCCAAGAAAATAAATGCTGTAAGTTATTAGCAGATCAACATGAATAACTCAGTTCACCTGTGGACGGTGCTCTTAGAATGTAAAAATGCGAGTCCTGACAAAATTTGCTGAGTATAACTTCGAATTACTGGCTCACCCAATTGCCCATACTCTTGGAGAATTTTGTATATGGACCCACCAGATACATATTCCAGGTATATATAGAGCCTATCACCAACCTGTTTAGTAAATCATTCAGAAATTTGCCCCTTCATCAGTCAATGTAACTTTAAATTGGCATTATGCATGAGTCTAGACATAAAACAACTCTAGAGAGTAAACCAAAAACAGAGCCTTCCACAATATCGTTAGAATTTTTCATCACCGTTCTTTAATTACTGGACTTAGTGTCTTCAAATAAATAAACAGTTTGCAGATGTAACCAAATAAGGAACAAGTATATCAAAACAACTATTAAATATTCCACTCTAGTAGTTATCACATGTACTATGTTTAAGAAGAACAGCCAACAAAAGACGTACCGTTTCAGACCCATAGTATTGCACAATGTTCGGATGTCGTAGGCGACTAAGTAGAGCAATTTCCTACAAAAGAAAACTGGTTGTATAAACTTCTCTCCAACATACTCAAGAGTTCACAGAACAAAGGAGAGGGAAAAAGAATTTTTATTGGGCTGTCGGGGTTGGAGTTTAAAGCAAAAATGTTTAGAAGCAACAGTCTTTATTATCTTTTTACAGGAAACATACCTGCATCAACTGCTTTGCACTTTCCTTTGATTTGGCATCATCTGAAAATAATGTCACTTCCTTCATTGCACACATTTCACCGCTTTCACTAATCAAATGAAAATACAGTATATGCAGGAATCAATTATCATCAACACTAGAAAACTTGCATTCAGGTTGAAAAATCATTCAGGCAAAAGGTTATAAATCTTGTAAGACTGCATAGGAAGGAAAGTCTATATGATTGAAATCCATACGTGAGTAGCAACTAGTGAACAAAGTTCGTGGGTAGAACCGTATACAGGATGGCAATTAATTCTGATAGACAGTAGCTTGTTTGACATTCACGTGTATTTGCATAAAAATTTATTACCACATTCAATCATCTATTAATACCTGTTAAAACCAACATAAACGTGTCCAAACGTGCCTCTACCCAGCAACTTTCCCTTTTTCCATCGTGATCCAGGGCTTATTGGATTTTCTGCCCTTCCAGGACTTCGTGGCACAGAGGGAGATGCTGCTGCTGAATTTGAATGAGAAAAGGGAGAGGAATTGGAAACTGATATAGGAGGAAGTGGCAACCGGTGGCTTTGCTGTTTTCCATCATCGGGCCAGCTTGTCTGTGACTCGATGGTTGTCCCTCCTGCTCGAGGATGAATTGGTGTAACCGCACCACTTTGTACCCTTGAGCTGGGGCCAGGGCTAGTCATCCTAGGACTAGGAATTGGAGAACATTCAGGGCTACCCCTACTTTGCTGCCACAATAATTGCCCTGACATATCTCCACCCATTGAATTATGTCCAGAATTATAACCAGACCCAGGACTAGAGCAGTGGCCTGATCCTAGCAAAGTGACATCTGTATAAGGTTTCCCTGCCCAAAAAGCAGAATTTATGACTTGTTCAGTTCCAAATGCTCTCATAGGACTTCTAGAAGGACTCGACATAGAGCTGTCTGGGGCACTGAAGAAAGCACCGTGATGTGGGACCTGTAGATTTGGCACATGGCCACTTAGAGGTCTCCGTTTGGGTGATGTAGGGGGTGTATGATTGCCAAAAGAAATATCAGCTGGTTTTTTCGCTTCTCTTAAGTGTATTTGGGTGACTGTAGAAGGGTGATCCTTGACCAGAGCACTTCAGCAAAAATAGAGCACATGAATCAGGACGAGTTACAAGTATGGAAGCAGATAAGTATAATAGTGTATAGTTAATAAAGGACAAGCATGCTCACCTGGATGTGGTGCTTGCTGTAGTTCTATTCCCATGATCATAGTCAGTTGCTTGTGGACTGCGTTGGCTTGAGTCAGCAGGATCATCACTATCAATGGAACTCTCACTAGAAACTGAAGCAGTAGCCAAATCTCCATCTAAATCCGTTGGATTTGCCCTACCACGTATACATCCTGGTTTAGGAAGAGGCAAAAACAATGATGACTTTGAGCCTTTTTCAAATTTTGACTTTGTTGATATACCAATTCCAGAGTCTGTACGCCCTACAGTTGCAGGGTGCACTTCAGGAAGGGGAAGGGGTTGGGCGTGAGGTCTCTCAGCAAAACTTTGGCATCTTGAAACATGTTTGGAAGGTGATGGAGATCTCGATTCTGCTCGAGATTGAGAGCCTTTCTCCGAAATTGTGTCACTGCAACGTCTTCGTGAACCTCCTGATCTTCCATTTAGTTTACTCTCAGTTGGACTCTTAAATCTTCTGTGCAACGTGTCAATGAAACTTTCCTTGCTTGCTTTCTTCTTCACTTCTTTGGATGATGACTTGCCCCACCATGACGGCATGTTTTCTGCTTTTCAGTACTTACGGAAATTGTAAGGTAATCTCTACTAAAGTGATCCCATTTCCATCATCAAAAACTATCTCATAATATCACTATATGGAGTTATAACCCACACACAACTTCTACAGGTTGAGGGGAAAGGAAGGTTCCATGTTATTAGACCAATAATGCAGTCCACCAAAAAATAAATAAATAGTTGCAGGAAATTAACAATTCTTCAAGAATCAAGGGAGGATTTGAGTGACAAACGGTAGATGGAACCTGCACATAAAGAGGAGCTGCATGTTTAATTTCACCTAAAAAATTAAATTTAACTGCCGAACTATGCCAATATCACAAAGCACACATAAGGTGCACCAGAAAAATTCAGCAGATATACTTCACATGATAAATTTTTTATAGTTTTTATTCTTGCTCAAACACGTGCATACATGTCCATGCGAAAATGATCATTGAACTTACTGTAATAACCACCTTGGATGACTGCTCCAAATGAGAGGTAGCTAAGTACACAACTTCAGATATAACCGGATTTATTGAATATTAATAACATAAAAAAAATAAATAAATAAACAAAAAACAAAAATCAAAATCAAGAGAAAATCCTTAATGGACTGGTTTCAAGGATCACCAATTACATCATTAAAGCTCCAAACTTAAGGTTTCCGGTTTTAACTTCTTCGCAGCTAATTCAACCCATGTCACTTAAATAACAAAAAAAGAAAAACCATATTCTTCAAGGTGCATTCAGTAACCACCAACCACTTAACTGCAAAAATCAGTAAATTATTGCGGCTAGCATATCTGAGGTTCCCTTCTTTAATGTATCTAACATAACTCCAAATCTCAATCTCAGACTTCAGATTATCTACAACATAAGAAAGTACAGCTTAGAGTAGCACAAAGTGGCTTCGGCTCACTTAGCATTTTCATTTTCTCCAATTATCCCAGGAACCAGACAAAGAGTTAAGATCTTAAATTGTCAAAAAAACCCAACCTCATCACACAGATCTAAATACAAATTGCCAAAAAAGAATAAACAATAACAAGCACCAAAACTAATTTGCTGCTCAATGAGTTAGGTAAGCGAAATTAAAAACACTTACTTACACAGTTGAAGCTCTGAAGCTTGAGTAAAGCAGTGATTCAACAGCACAAATCGACAGAAAGATTAGATAATCGCTTGAATCCTTCAGCTCTGGTCATTGCAAGAGCAAAACCAAAACCCTAGAAATCTAGGAAGTAAGAAAACTTGGAACAGATAGAAATTATTGAAGGATTATTCTTTCTTTCTTTTTGAATTGAGAGTTCGTGTTGAGATCGCGTAGAGAAAGATTGACAGAAATGTGGAGAGAGAAACTAGAGAGAAGAGAAGAGAGGGTGTGTGTCTGAGCTAAGACATAACTTTGTATGCATCTTGATTTCGAATATTGAAAAATTAAATAAAATATATAAAAATAAAATATATTTAGGATACTTTGGTTTTCTATTTTCTAATTTCCCATTTTATCAGTTATAATGGTCTGTATTTTAACTTTCTCTGTAAAATTAGAGTTTAAAGTCAGAAATAACTATTTCTAAAAGACTTTGTTTTAATATTACCCGACGTTCTGATGGCAAAAACACGTGTTCCATATATTATGTATACTGCATTCTCAATATAAATATATATTGAATATTAAATTTATTAAAATAAGTATTTATTTTACACACACAGAATACTTTAAAATTTATTATAAATGTGGATTTTTAAACATTTAATAGCATTAAATAAACATATAATTTTAGTACAATTTTTTCCTAAAATAATTATCATTCTGTAGACATGATCCAACCAATAAGTAATTATATTTATTGTCATAAAAGATTCAAGTTTAAATCTCATATATATATATATATATATATTTAAATTTCGGTCGTTAATATTTAAAAATAGGTTGTTAAATACAGTTTGTCGACCAATGGTCACTTTTCTGTAATTTTTTAATAAAAAAATATTAATATTATGGAATTTATAAAAGAAATCGGATATATTTATTAAAAATCATTTCATTTCAATTTCACTAATGATTGATATATGAGAAAGTTTTGTTTTATAATATACTTTTTATGTCAAGAACGTATCTTTGGTTCTTTATCTCAACAAAAAAATGTTGACTTTCTTTTTTTTTTTTTAATTTATGGGGTTAATTTAATTTAGATTTACAATAACATCACTTGCTCTCGTGCATGTATTTTAAAAAGAAATCGGATATATTTATTAAAAATCATTTCATTTCAATTTCACTAATGATTGATATATGAGAAAGTTTTGTTTTATAATATACTTTTTATGTCAAGAACGTATCTTTGGTTCTTTATCTCAACAAAAAAATGTTGACTTTCTTTTTTTTTTTTTAATTTATGGGGTTAATTTAATTTAGATTTACAATAACATCACTTGCTCTCGTGCATGTATTTTAAACACATGTTTACAGGAAAATAACAAATAAAATCAGGGCAGTCCAAATTGACTTCAAGGTCTACTGTCTGCGTCTGCGGGAAAAAAAGAAAAAAAGAAAAAAAAAAGACCAAGGAAGACTATATTTTACAAATATATTGTACATCATATATTATATTTATTATTTCGAAATTCTAAGCAGATAAAAGAATTTTGCAATCCCTTTCATATAAAAATAAAAAAAATTGTTAAATTCCTAAAATTATTTCTTACGGCATGTCAAGGGCTTAGATAATAAGTGGCGTCCATTTTGAATTGAAAAAGAAAACTATTAAAAATAAATTATTTACAATTTTTATATTTGATTTTTTTATTACGAGGAAGGCACGATGGATTAAAATAATACTACGTCATTTTATTGGATAATCAAATTAGTGAAAATTATTATAGTCGAAATGACTCGAATTTAAAATTTTTCATTTTTCACGTTAAAAAGAAAACCAACCGAATTACATCTAATTGCATAATTTTTATATTTATTTTTTAATTATTTACATTGTATATGTATATATTTACGATCAATGGTATTTTCTAAAGTACTTTTATACACGTTTAAATTAAATATTTATTTCAAGTCAGTTTGATCGTATCTTTTGTTAATTTTGCATGCATGAAATTTATTACTTAAACTAATCATAATATCTTGACTAGGTCTTATATTTACGCCCTCGTCCATTAAACTATTAGATAAAATAAACTTGATAAATTAAAAGTATTAAAAAATAAAATGAGCTATTATATTATAATGTTAAGTCAATTATGGAGCATTTAAAAAAAAAAAAAAGTCTATTTGAACAAACTATATTTAACAATTAATCAAATTAAATGGTTGCTGAAAATAGTATCAATCATGAGTTTTTGATCATGAACCATCTAAACAAAGGGTTTACGACAAGTAAAATCATTTTAAATTTGGAGATTTATATTAAATAATGCATAGTTATAATATGATATTTTATTTAATTAATATTATTTCGTAACTTAAAAATGGATATAAATTGACAAAAATAGTCTAAATTAACCCAATGATGATTTTGAAAGGTAAGTAAGTATAATTTGGTTTATAAAATTTGAAAACTGAATAATGGTTTGTAAGATTTTTAAAATTTGATTTAATTTTTCTTTAAAAAAATTATTATTATTGAGTCTCAATTGTAATGATTAATATTATATTCTATAGCCTACCATTTTTCTATTTAAAGGGAAAAAAGAATAAAGAAGAGTAGGGTGTAGCAAACTGTCCGTAGGGTCCATGAGACCTGGATTTTTGTTCAATTTTATGGAGGGCCCATATGATAATAATATATTATAAATGTTTTAGTGATGTATTCAAAAACAACTTTATATCACTATCATCTTAATAAATAAAATAAAATAAAAAAAAAACAAAAGGTTAGGCATCGATTTCTCATGGGAATGGAAGGTAGAAGTTGCTACTTGAGATCAGTAAATTAATTTAACACCACCCAACTAAAAAGATCCCCTTTGCTAAAGTTACTCTTCACAATATTCTAATTGTCTTTTTCCGCGCATCCATTTTCCCTTGGACAAAACGACGTGTGAATCCTGCACTACCCACGTAAAATTTGAGATTTAGAGTTTAAATAATAAAATTAATTATTTTAGTAACAGTTAATTATTTTATATGAATAAAAATATATTAAAGTCTATTTGATAAAATTAATAATTTGTAACTCAGTTTAATTATTTTATATGAAATAAAAATATTATTAAGTCCTATTTGATAAAATTTAATAATTTTATAATAAAATAAATAAAATATGTTAATCTTTAAATTACGCAGGTAACATTTTGAGGATTTAGAGCTCCTTCTATCAAATTAAATATTAATTATTTTAAAATTAATAATTTTATATAAATAAAATAAAATATGTTAATCTTAAATTACGCAGGTAAATTTTGAGATTTAGAGTCTATCAAATAAAATTAATTATTTTACAGAAAATCAAGATCTAAATAAATAAATAAAATGGAAGAGCTATTTTAAAAACAATTAAAAAGCTGATCTCATCAAATTTACATAATTTTCTTTTTTATTTAAATTATTCATGTTAGGTTGAGCATATTCAAATTAGATTGTACGTAAATAGATAATTTATTGACTCGAGTTAATATTTAGATAAAATAAAATTTTTCACTATATAATTATTTTAATTATTGTTTTCAAAAAAATAAAAATTAATTCTTTGTTGATTTAAAAAAAAAAAAGATATTTTCATAGGCACGTGAGCAAGGCGAGTCTAGCATAAGGTAGGAAATGAAATATGGGAAAAAGGGGAGATGCACCAAGAGGAGACTAGTGGGGTCTAGTTGAGATTTAACCGCACAACAATCAACAATACTACTCTATCTCTATCGTCTATTCCCTTTGCACGTGCCATGACCCCACGTGCCTTTCCCTTGATAGAAACAACCCAATCACCCATGCAACACTGACTAACATGGTCGTTTTATGGTTTTTATCTTTTTCTCTTCTAAATTCTAACTCGTCCGTGTGGTGCAATTTTTACTGGACCTACGTGCAGGCCTTTCAAAGTGTCTAATGGGCTAGGCCCAAGTCCTGGCGTTTCAAGGTCCAAATTTACACAATTACGCTAGAATGGAGAATGGGCCGGTTCGCAATTCTTTTTTATATATAGAAAACCAATAGACATAAATAACAATGTAAACTATACTGTGGAAATAATAATTGTATTTGAAAACTCGAACTCTCACACCCTAACATCTTTTTATAAGATGTGAAAAGATTAATCGGACTAAATTTAATTGGTATTAGTATGCAATTTTGCAAGATGGCTAGTGGAATCAAATTATCAATTAATGGTAATTTCAACAAGTTCAATAAAATATAATCACATTTAGAAGACTGTAAACTAGTGTATGAGCGTCAAGCCAATAGCAGTGACTAAAATAGTAGAGGGAAGTCCAAACTTGAGATGGCCAAAGAAAGACAAGTTGCATCCGAAGTTAGGGGCATTGCGAGCCTGCTCACAGACTATCATATTGGCAGCTGAACCCACTAGTGTGAAGTTACCAGACGCAGTGCTTACCCATGCTAAAACTAGCCATGCCTTCTTCACATACGTCGGAGAAATACTTGCTGCTGATGCTGCCACCCTTCCCCCCAGTAACAGAACTGAGACATTATTAAATGTACAAATTTCAATTTTCATTTCATAGATAAGAAACATATAGCCTAATAACAGAAGCATTTGCTTACCAGTTGTAACATTTGAGATGGAGTTTGAGAGGATAAGGATGATCAGAGCAAGAACTGTTATCCCGCTAGCGTGGTCAATGTGTGCATAGGGCTCCAAAAACTCCCACAAATAGCTTGGAATTCCAGTTTTTTCGAATCCAGTGATTGTCATGAACAGCCCACAAAAGAAAACCAAAAGAGAATATGACACCTGTAAAAACTAGAATGTTATATATATACATATATTATTAGGAAATATCAATTGCAGTTATAGACGAGGATTCAGCCATTTATGGGCGAGAGTGCTGTTCTTTATGTTAAATTTAAGAGAATCAATGAAAAAAGATGACTGGGAAAAGCTCTGGGAAGACAGAAAACATAAAATTCCCTGTCGAACAAACTAACGACTGTTTCCCAATTCAATTACCAATCGTTTAGGAAAAGAAACACAGTTTAAAGAATTGGTCAATAACAGCAAAAGCATAAATCTTGAAGAATTTAATTACCTTCTCAAGGCAAGGCTGAGCATCTTTAAAATCAAGAACCATGAGAGAAAGTGCAGCAGTCAACGCAGTCCAAGATATATTCACACCCATAAGCAATGCAATCAACATTCCGATGGTTACTAGATAAACACAAGATTTCCAGATTAGGGCTTTCCATTTTGAAGCTGCACTTGAACGTTCCAATACACCATTAGATAAAGCGGCCAAATTCTCAAGAACATATGGAGAGCTCTGCATATCCAATCCAAGGCATATTTCTTGACAATTTAACCTGTGGTAAGTAATTTCAGCTTCAGCAGTAATTTCTGCATTTTCATTTCCTTCGATCTTTTGAGAAGATAATTGCTTCCAATACATGCATAGAAGGAGACCATAATTCAAAAGAAGTCCTACAACTGCTGCAGGGAAAATTCCACCCAAAAAAGGCCAAAAAGAAATATCTCCATTTAAAGCTATAATTAGATTTTGAGGATTGCCAATTGGAGTTGCAGAAGATCCAATGTTTGCACTCGAGGCGATTGCTAATAAGAAAGGATGGGGAGGGAGATTACGTTGTCTTGCAATTTTGAGTACCATTTGAGTCAAGACAATACAAGAAGTGTCGTTAGTGAAAAAAGCACTCGTAATTGCAGAAACTAAGCAGACTCTAAAAATCAAGTCCTTAGCCCCTAGGCTTTTCCAGGAAAGTAATTTGCCCAAGTACTTAAATGCATCTGCTCTTTCAAGGTAGACACTGACAACCATCGTTCCAAAAAGAAGTGCAAGAATTGAAATGTCAATTGAAGAATATGCTTCTGTAGGGGTTATGACTTGAAAAATAACCATAAGAACAGCAGCTAGAAGAGAACCTGCAGTTCTTCCAATTGGCAGAATTGGGATTGCAGGAAAAACTGCTAGGACCCAGAATATTGCAAAGGCAAATGAGCCCAGAATCATTTTTACTGTTGCAGCCATTGCCAAAGCTGCCAGTGTACGTAGAAATCAAAGAAAATAAAATATCGATGGTTGCAACTACCAAAATAACTAAACCTATGCCTGTAGACCTCAATTGTATGCAACTTGAACCGTTGAAGTGCTCGTCTGGTTATGGGGTAAGCACGAGTACATCTGGGGCCAGCACCGCACATACTTTAAACTTGATAATATAGAAATGATGTTGTTTCTTGAAATTATCTTGTCTACGTATTTTGGGAGATAGACAATTAGTTGCACATGAAAACCCTTTCTTTTAACTCCTTGAGAATTTTTACAAGGAGACACAGATCCACTCAATCACTGTCGCAACTTTAATTGCCAACGCAGCAACCACATGCTGTTTAGGTGGAAAAGAGGAAGAAAAACAATAGAGAAAAACAATGATAAATTCTCAATCTTTTTTCAACAATTATTTTATAGCTTTATGTTTGAATATAATGAATGAAGAAAATAAATATTTTCTTCTTTGTCCGCAGAGGACAAAATTTCAGAAGAAAAAAAAAAATTATTATCAAAAATTGACAATTGTGCTCTCATTTATTTCCAAACAATAAATGAAAAATATTACCTAAGCGGTGAATTTAGCGTAGGAAATGATGATTGGTTACTGTGAATCACATGCAAAAAGAGAAGGAAAGAAAAATATCTCAGTTTCTTATTCAACATCTGGCTGATCATTAGTTACAATCACAACTTGCACCGTATTTATACTACTGGACTCTTATATACAACACGCACCAGGCCCAATAGCAAATGGACTCAATCATCAATTTAGATTTGGAAGCCCAATGTATAGAAATATCAAAAGCCCAATTACAATGCAAAATATTTACAGTTGAAAAGGGTTTACATCAATTACCTGAAAATTTTTACCTTCATCTTCTAAGGTCTAAGCATACAAGGAGACCTAGATCCATAAAATCTTAATTTACGGATAATTATTTTTTCCGTAAATGTATTAATTTATTTAGTTATAACTCATGGAGTAATTTATTATTTTCTCTTTAAAAAAAAAAAAAAAGAAAAATTTGGGGCCTCAATTTTCTACATAATCATAAACAAAAGTTTAAGAGTATCAAGCCTATAGCAGTGACTATGATAATTGAGGGGACTCCAAATTTGAGATGGCTCCAGAAAGATAAGTTGTATTCGTAGTGGTGAGGTAGACGGCGAGCTTGTTCACAGACGATCATGTTGGCTGCTGAACCCACCAATGAGAGGTTTCCAGATACAGTGCTCACCCAAGCTAACATCAGCCATGCTTTGTTCACATAATCAGGGGAAATACATGCCGCTGAAGCTGCCATGCGTCCTCCAAGCAACAAAACTGAGACAGAGTAGTTAAAATTTAACTTCTTGATTTAAAAAAAACCTGCAAGAAAATAAATTCTAATTCTTATACATAAACATACCAGTTGGCACATTTGAAATCACATTTGACAGAATAAGTATGGTGAGGGCAAGAATTGCAATTCCAGTAGCATGGTCAATTTGTGAATAGGGCTCCATGAACTCCCACAAAGAGCTTGGAATTCCAGTTTTGTTGAAACCTTCAATTGTAATCAACATTCCGGAAAAGAAAATTAACAGAGGATAGGACACCTGGTCACAAAGAATGTAAGTAGATAATTAGGAGGTTTCCTGTTTTCCAGCTATATACAAGTTCAGAACATGATGTGTTTGATTGATGAATTTAACTTCTCTGGACATGGTTGAGCATCCTTGAAATCAAGAACAACAAGAACAAGTGCAGCAGTAATTGCAGTCCATAACATATTCATACCCATTACAAAAGCAACCAACATTCCTGTAGTTACTAGGCAAACACAAGTTCTCCATAATACACCTTTCCATTTTGTGAATACAATTGAGTTTTCTGGAGGTTCCAATACAATTCAGGGATTCCTGAGCAAGTGATCATTCTCACTCGTGCTAAATCGGAGTCCAAAATTGCCTAAAGAAGCCAATCTAGAGCTCCTTTCCTGAAAATTGAGTAGGCGAAATGTGACATTATTGCGGTTGAGAATCTCATTTCATCCTCAGCTACAATATCTCCATATGAATAATTTTCATCCTTGTGAGAAGACAATTCCCTCCAATACATGCATAATAGATGTATAGCATTCACAAAAATTCCAACAATCGCTGCAGGGGAAATTCCAGCTTATGAAAGTCCAGAAAGAAATCTCACCATTTAAAGCTATAGCCAGATTCTGAGGATTTCCAATTGGAGTAGCTGAAGATCCAATGTTAGCACTAGAGGCAAGGGCGAGTAGAAAAGGCCGAGGAGGGACATCATGCTTTCTGGCAATTTTGAGTGCAAATTCAGTCAAGACCATACAAGTAGTATCGTTAGTGAAGAAAGCACTTGCAATGGCAGATACTAAGCAGACACGAAAAACTAAGTCCTTTGGTCCTTGGCTCTTCCAAGTGAGCAACTTCTCCAAGTACTTAAATGCCTCTGCTTTTTCAAGATAGACACTAACCATCATTGTCCCAAAAAGAAGTCCAAGAATGGAAAGATCGATTGAAGAATATGCTTGGGTAGGAGATATAACTTGGAAAACGACCATAAGCATAGCTCCTAGAAGGTACCCTGCAGGCCTCCATATAGGCAGGAATGGAACAGCAGGAAAAACTGCCAGTACCCAGAAAATTGCAAAGGTAAATGAACCAAGAACCTGTTTTAGGTGCCATTAAAATTTTCTTGGCAGCTCAATAAGCTTGACAAGGACTTATTCCAGTAATGAATATGCCTCCATAGGATTTTCCAGCAAGAGGAAAAGCCAATTCCACATTCAAAAGGCAGGAAGTTCGGATTATATTGCAATATTAGACATTGAGGACATTGCCGTGCCAAATTATAGAAGCTGCAAACTACTGAAATGCCCATGGATTCTGACGAAAATCAACTTAAACAAAAACTTGCTGCCTGTCAATAATTGTACATGAATTGACCATGTCAATTAATTACTTCACCAGACCAAAAATAGAGAACAAAAGGCACTGCACAACCTTCAAAATAACTCACAACAATGTTTTGAAGCTGAGAAAGAATATTTTTCTGTTGTAATCCGAAGTTCAATGTTGAGAGGTGGTTAAACTAAGAAGAGATGCACATTAAAAAAGTAGCGGAAATATGATAAACATTTCGTTGAAATAAAAGAAAAGAAAATCCACTCATGGTCTTTGGCAGAAGTCAATGACGACTCCCAGCCGCTTGAATTTGGAAGTTAAAACCTGGCAAAGGGTAATAGTAAATTCTAAAACCAGAGGATCTGTAGTTCAATTAGCATAAAACAGCAATTGAAATTGTTCATCCAACAAAATTAGAACGTTTTCAATCATTCAAAAAAAAGAGTAATCACAAGAACTTACCAAGAAAACCCATATTCTAATATTACAAGATTTTCGCCCACTTCAATATTCCAAAACAATCAGCAACTAGTTTTCCTTCCTACTTGAATCCGAATCAGAATGCCATGCAGAAGATCAAAGAAAGGGACAAACTTATGGGGAAGATAAAAGCACGACCTTTTCGATGAAAGGGCAGTGTGAACGTAATCTTTAAGCCATGGGTCCCTCTACGATAATACCTCCTCCTCCGAGGAAAAAACCTAGATGTAATTGCTACCAAATAGTAGAATTCAACTAATACCTGAGACCTTACATCTGCGATTTTGTTAGAAATAGAAATAAATTGTTAGAAAAATTAATTGGGATATGAAAAAATAGTTAAAAATACAGAACCGGAATTATCGAATCTTGATCTTGAAGAGATTAATTTTCTCTGCGCTCCAAGTGTGAATTACTGTGTGATCATTTGTCATAGGTATTGCCCATATGCTTGATTCAAATTGGCATTTCTCAAACAGAATTTCACAAGGAGAAGCACAAGATATGCATACAACTAGTAGATGTGACTTTTGAGGTACATTTCTCAACAAACTTCCACTTTATAGTATTATTACAAAATGATGGTTTCTTGGATCGAATTCTACACAGAAATAATTGGTAAACACACATAGAGCTTATGTTTCCGCATGTGATTTTTGAAAGAGAGAACTTTTATACATAATTGGCAAACATTCGATTTGGGATTAAGGCCAGCTGACCCCAATGAATTTGGAACTGCGTTTTGTTGTTGTTGTTGTTGTTGTTTATATGCCAAGATGGTTGCAGAAGCATATTTCGTATCATCTTATGAGCATCAAACCAACAGCGGTAACCAAAATGGTAGAGGGAACTCCAAATTTAAGATGCTTCCAGAAAGTTAAGTTGTATCCAAATTGCGGAGCACGCCGAGCTTGCTCACACACTATCAAGTTGGCAGCTGATCCCAATAATGAGAGATTCCCAGCTACAGTACTCACCCAAGCTAAAAATAGCCATGCTTTCTTCTCATCAGCTGCAGAAATTGCAGCCGCTGATGCTGCTACCCGTCCACCAAGCAACAGAACTAAGACGATATAAACAAGTTCATTGTAAGAAAATTAAAAAAAGTAGTGCATACATCACTAAGAAATGCTTTTTATGTTGCTTCATGATAGTTTGCAACAAGTTCTATACTGCAAGCAATGTCCGAGCAGTTTCTGAAAACATAGAAATCATCATCTTGCTCCCTCAACATATGATTTACGACAAATTCACAATAATACTGAACCAGGTTATAAACACCTTGAGATTTACTTCTGACAGTGTTAGAAAGAGATTGAGCCACTAAGTTCACACTGAGAACTTAGAACCAGAAAATTTTCACTCAAAAAAGAACAAGTAAAGCGTAACATACCAGTTGGTACATTTGAGGCCAAATTTGACAGGACAAGTATGACAACGGCAAGAACTGCTGTCCCAGCAGCACTATCTATATGCGCATGAGGCTCCATCAAGTCCCACAAAGCACTTGGAATTCCAGTTTTGTTAAAGCCATCAACAGTGATAAACATTCCACAAAAGAAAATCAAAAGAGAATAGGAGACCTGGTCAACAGAGAAACAAACTCTCGTTCATTCTTTGTTAAGCAATTTCTACATTATATTGATAGAATCAATTCTAATAATTTTACTAGTAAAAGAGAAAGCAGATCATCATCACAAATTTTACCTTTTCAAGGCATGGCCGAGCATCCTTGAAATCAAGAACAACAAGAGCTAGAGCAGCAGTAATTGCGGTCCATGACATATTAAGACCCATAAGCAAAGCAATTAACATACCTAAGGTAACAAGATAGACAGATGATTTCCACAACGTCCTTTTCCATTTTGTGGAAAATTCTGGCTTTTCTCCTGAAAATTCCTGAACAACTACATCTCTCAACTTATCCATGGATGCAATCCTCTTTGAAGGAACATGTTCCTCTCTTTTCTGAGAAGACACAGCAGTTGTTTCCTCTTTTGATGCATTTGAATCCCTTGCAGACTCGTATGCACTAGTAGTGCCACTGTGGATTTCATTCTCATTTGAAGTTATTCGGTTTCGAAGAGTCTCAGCATGGTTCGTGTGTCCATTCATATTGGGGGAGCTTTGCATGTTCAAGGACTCCAATCTAGAGTTCCATTCTTGAGAATTTGCAGAAGAAAAATGTGACAGAGTAGCAGGTGAAAACCGATGAAAATTGACATCCTCCTCTCCAACGACTTCTGCAGTGGCATCTTCCTCATCCTTCTGAGTAGAAGACAGCAACTTCCAGTACATACACATGAGTATAGCAATATTCACAACAATTCCCACAAGCATGGCAGGCAGAATTCCAAAAAGAAAGTCCCCAAAAGAAATCTTACTCTGAACTGCTATAACCAGATTTTGAGGGTTGCCAATTGGAGTGGCTGAAGAACCAATATTTGCACTTGAGGCAAGGGCAAGCAGGAATGGGTGAGGAGGTAGATTATGTTGCCTAGCAATTTTCAGTACAAATTCAGTTAAAACTACACAAGAGGTGTCATTGGTGAAAAGGGCACTCGAAATGGCAGAAACCAGGCAAATTCGACAAAGCAAGTCCTTGGCTCCCTTGCTTTTCCATGAAAGCAACTTACCCAAGTACTTGAACATATCTGCTCTCTCAAGATAAACACTAACAACCATGGTTCCAAAGAGAAGACCAAGAATTGGGAGATCAATTGCGGCATATGCTTGATCTGGGGTCATGACACGGAAGATGACCATAAGCATAGCCCCTAGAAGGGACCCTGCAGTCCTCCCAACAGGTAGGAAAGGGATAGAAGGGAAAACTGCCAGTATCCAGAAGATTGAAAAGGCAATTGAACCTAAAACTACTTTCACTGAAGAAGCCAGAACCATTTTTGCACCTTTAATTTCTTGTTCTTATATATCAAAATTTTCACCACAATAATCCTTATCCAAGAGGCAAAATGACACCATGACCATTTCAAGATTCAGACCTGAAAATATCAAATACTACAAGTTAAGGAACTACGAAAGAATATTAAACAAACACTCCATACAGAGCAAAAAAAAGAGACGTTAAAAGAACAGTTTTCTCTATACAGTGAAATCTTAACTAAACAAAATACTTCGAAATAAATAAACAAACAAGATATAACAAATTCATAATTCGAAAATAAACAAGGAAATAACGAGTCCAAATTTTTTTTTTTTTTTTCTGTTTTAGAGTTCTTGGAAATAAAAGTACAGGATTCAATCAGTTTTCAATATATTAAATTTCTGAGTTGCATCTGAAACCCAGATTCAAACACGCTTTTTATGTAAAGGTTAAAGATAATAACATATCATGTCATTATCAAATTAAATAACTGGATTCTGGAAAACAACCCAAGAAAAAACCTCGTACTGAAGCTAAATCCTTTTAATCTAAATCAGTATAACCAACATAACATATCCTCCATAACATATCCTCACTCACCTGAGCAGAAAGTGTCAGTTAAGTTATACCTTGAGAACCAAGTTGCTGTTGGACTCCTTGCACGGCAAACACCAAAAGGCAGCAATGAAAGCTTAGTTTAGTATTAAAATTATAAATAATTAGGAAATTAAGGATTGGATGGGATTGGATTAAAGTTTATCTCTTTCCAATTTTTTTTTTTTTTTTTTTTAAGTCAGAAAGTGGAGAAAAAGATGGATCACTGGCTGACATAAGTGAGAGTTTCATTTCCTGTTTACCTTCTGTTTATCTGGAATAGATCATCTCCCCATGGCAAATAGGTCAAATACCCAGTAATGACTAAAATCCAAATTTGTATTTGTCCTTTCTTTTGTCAATTATATTAATTGTTTGTACAGGTGTAGGTTTCAAATGAAAATAAAATTAAATTTACGATTTAAATATTAATGTTAATATTTTAATTAGAAAAAAAAAAAAAGAAGATGCACCGTCAATTATGAAACAATTATTAAACACGTCGTTATCAGTGACCACCGCCGGAAATGTGGATCAGGGACACAATTGGCTATTTGACAGGGAAAAACTAATAATTCCAGTTTTTTCCACAATGATAATTAAACAAATTATTAGGAAATCATTATTTATTTATATTTTTATTATTAAAAACATAAAAGAAATAAGGTTGAAAATTTCAAACTATATGTAATTTAATTTTTATAACTCATATTTACAATAACTCAATTTACTATGCAATTAATAGCAAGTATTTGAATAGTATAACAAAACAGTACAGAACTTTCGCCTCAGCCATAGATTTTCAGTGCTAAGAACATTTTTTTTTTTTTTTTTTCTTTTTTTTTTTTTTTTTAGGATAAAAAGAAAATAATGATAATGGAAATATGCTCTTTTTCGAATGACATTTTGTCTCAATAGCCAAAGATTTGTCAAGAAACAGAATTCTAATAGTAACGAATATATATATATATATATTTTTTCCCTTTGAGATGAATATAGGAATGCTTTCTATTTTCTAATAGTATATTATGAACTAATTATTCTTTTTTATGTACTGTAATAAATAGAAATTATATTATACTAATAATCCATAAATGAGATTTAATTAGGAAAAAGAATTATTATATTACATTCTCTAATTTGGAGGCGTTTGCAGATGTGCATGAACATTTGGAGCATATATATTGCATAAACCTATGATTTTTTTTTTTTTTTTTTTTTTTTTTTTTTTTTTAGTTTGGCAATCCCAATCAAAATAAAGAAAAATAATAATTTAGGAATATAATACAAAGGCCCAAATTAAAGAGAACAAACTCGCTAATTGCAAGATTATCTAGAATTGTGAATAATTCAACTCTTTTTTTTTTTTTTTTTTTTTTTTTAGTTTTGGCACCCATCAAATAAAAAAAATAATAATTTAGGAATATATACAAAGCACAAATTAAGAGAATCAAACTCCTAATTGCAAGCATTATCTAGATTTGTGAATAATCAATCGTCATTGAAAATCAAATTAAAGTTAAAAGAATATTTTTTAGATTCTTTTTAAGATAATATTGGAGAATTACTTTTATAGGAGTCTATAAATTCTTATATATATAAATAAATAAAGTAGTAATAATTATACATACAAAATAATAATAAATATAATTTTTAATTGGTCTTCTTATATTTTTTTTGCAGAAAAATACATAAAATGAGAGGTTTCGAATTTCAATCCTCAAAATCATATAAATTATCATAAATTTACTGAATGAAAAATTATCCCCTATTATATATTATACATTATTATTTTGATACTCAGACATATAAAAATAATTGTACTAGATGAGGATGAGATGATAATAAAGTTTTAGTTATTGTGGCTGTGCTTTATTGTTTGTTTTTAGATGTCAACATCTCGATATGATAATTCCTTTTAGATGTCAACATTTTGAACGTGCACAAGTCCTACACATGCTTGGTATTTCACCGGTTAAAGACTTCAGAAAAAGTGCGTGCGATGTTGACCCAATCATATTAATTAACGGTAATCAAAACCATTTACTTAAGCTAATTTCAAAACCAACTTTTGTTGTTTTTTTGTTTAAAAAACAATATTTTCAATCAATTACTACAAATAAATAAATTATTAGTTTATAATAAATCATAATAATTTACTTTAGTATTACTGAAGTAATTAAATAACCGGCTGAAATTCATTAAATGCAAATTATTAATATATATATAATCTCCATCAGGTGTAATCTGTTTAGTCTTTTCTATATCTTATAAATGATATAAAGAATGGAAACTCTCGAGTTCGATTATCTCCATCGCAAGAGAAATATAACACATAACAGATAATTAGGCTGAGATATATCTCTTATGGGCCCTCTAGCTAAGCTAACCACCTTGCTTGGGCTGTTTCATGGGCTCTAAGATCTGACATTTTACAACGAAGACTAAGGCCCATTCCGACTCAAAACTTTCGTTGCCAAAAGGCTTGTCTTGTATCATCTTATGAGTATCAAACCAACAGCAGTAACAATAACGGTAGAGGGAACTCCAAATTTAAGATGTTTCCAGAAAGTTAAGCTGTACCCAAATTGCGGAGAGCGGCGAGCTTGCTCACACACTATCAAGTTGGCAGCTGATCCCAATAACGAGAGATTCCCAGCTACAGTACTCACCCAGGCTAATATTAGCCATGCTTTTTTCTCTTCAGCTGCAGAAATTGCAGCTGCCGATGCTGCTACCCGTCCTCCAAGCAACAGAACTGAGATCATATAAACAAGTTCAATGTAAGAAAATTAAAGAGATTTGCTTTTAGCAGTGTTAGAAAGAGATTAAGCCACTAGTTTTCACAGTGAAACTTAGAACCAGAAAATTTTCAGACCAAAAAGAACAAGTGCAACATACATACCAGTTGGAACATTTGAGGCCAAATTTGACAGGATAAGTAAGACAACAGCAAGAACTGCTGTCCCGGCATGAGTATCTATCTGTGCATGAGGCTCCATCAAGTCCCACAAAGCACTTGGAATTCCAGTTTTGTTAAAGCCATTAACCGTGATAAACATTCCACAAAAGAATATCAAAAGCGAATAGGAGACCTGGTCAACAGACAAACAAACTATTCATTCCTCACTAAGCAATTTCTACATTATATTGACAAAATCATTTCTAGCTAGCAATTCTAATAGTAACAAAAAGAAAGCAGATCACCATCACAGATTTTACCTTTTCAAGGCATGGCTGAGCATCCTTGAAATCAAGAATAACAAGAGCTAGAGCAGCAGTAATTGCGGTCCATGACATATTAAGACCCATAAGCAAAGCAACTAACATGCCTAAGGTAACAAGGTAGACACATGATTTCCACAATATCCTTTTCCATTTTGTGGACAATTCTTGCATTTCTCCTGAATATTCCTCAACAAATACTTCTCTCAACTTACCCATGGATGCATTCCTCTCTGAAGGAACATGTTCCTCTCTTTTCTGAGAAGACACATCAGTTGTTGCCTCTTTTGGTGCATTTGAATCCCTTGCAGAATCATATGCACTAGTATGGTCACTGTGGATTTCAGTCTCAGTTGAAGTTATTTGGTTTCGAAGAGTCTCAGCATGGTTCGTGTCTCCATTCATATCGGGGGGGATTTGTATGTTCAAGGACTCCAATCTAGAGTTCCATTCCTGAGAATTTGCAGAAGGAAAATGTGACATAGTAGCAGGTGAAAACCGATGAAAATTGACATCCTCATCTCCAACGACTTCTGCAGTGGCATCTTCCTCATCCTTCTGAGTAGAAGACAGCAACTTCCAGTACATACACATAAGTACAGCAACATTCACAACAATTCCCGCAAGCATGGCAGGCAGAATTCCAAAAAGAAAGTCCCCAAAAGAAATCTTACTCTGAACTGCTATAACCAGATTTTGAGGGTTGCCAATTGGAGTGGCTGCAGAACCAATATTTGCACTCGAGGCAAGGGCAAGTAGGAATGGATGAGGAGGTAGATTATGTTGCCTAGCAATTTTCAACACAAATTCAGTTAAAACCACACAAGAGGTGTCATTGGTAAAAACGGCACTTGAAATGGCGGATACGAGGCAAATTCGACAAAGCAAGTCCTTGGCTCCCTTGCTTTTCCATGAAAGCAACTTACCCAAGTACTTGAACATATCTGCTTTCTCAAGATAACCACTAACAACCATTGTTCCAAAGAGAAGACCAAGGATCGGAAGATCAATTGCAGCATATGCCTCATCTGGGGTCAAGACACGGAAGATGACCATAAGCATAGCCCCTAGAAGGGACCCTGCAGTCCTCCCAACAGGTAGAAAAGGGGTAGCTGGGAAAACTGCCAATATCCAGAAGATTGAAAAGGCAATTGAACCTAAAACTACTTTAACAGAAGAAGCAAGAACCATTTTTGCACCTTCAACTTCTTATTCCTGCATATCAAATTATTCACCAAATATTTCACAGCCAGAAAGAAAAATAGATACTATAACTACTTCAAGATTGGTCAGACCTGAAAATGTCAAATGCCATAAAGCAAACAAACAGTCGATGCTTACAGAAAGCGAAGAACATTAAAATCTTATCCGTTCATGTACCAATGTACATAATTAACGTCCAACTTGTGTAGTTATCTTTGACTTGTACGTAGTTGCCATTGACTATTTAATCTAGCCTAAACGTAACTACAATGTTATCCACAAACTTAGTACTCACATTTCATGCAAATAATACTAAGTATTATACAATGTGCAACAGAAATCAATCATTCTTTCTTTACTTCAATGAAAATTATCACAAGCTAAAAATATGTAATAAAAAGATATATCAATTGCACATATACTAAAAATTATTCGAAGGAAAGAAATTAGAGACAAAGATGAGATTCTAATATAATGAATGTTCTTTCCATCAAGATGCTATATAGTGCATGCAAAAGAAACATGAAATATTTTACTCATCAATTACCTTAAATGGTTAATTGTTTAATTTAAATGCTTGGACGATGGTATGGGTAACAGCAAGACAGAGCTTTACCTAATTTTGATTACTTAAGACAGCATTAATTTAGTAATGCAATTCCTTTATTTTAACATATCGTAATGCTTATGCTAAACGCCTAAAACCCACTTCATTTCTCAATAAGGAAAAAATTAATACTATATACTTATGTTCCAATAATAACTATAATCCTTTCTTGAGCTTATGCTCTCGTCTTTCTTTACCCAAAAAAGGAAAAAGAATACATAAGAGAGGAAGATTATTTATTAATTTAAAATTATTGAGTAAAACATAATATGAATATAATGCATGTGAAGAATCCAACACAAGTGCTTGGACTGTTTCGTCGGCTACAAGTTCTGAGTAGTTACGACAAAGACTTAAGGCACATTCCTCCCAAGAGCACAAATTCTGATTTTTAAATATATTTTTAATTCGTTGAAGGCAAAATTTTACTTGCAGAAATCTTATGAATGGGTTGCCTATACGGCAAACCACTATCATTTGAAAAAATTATCACTTCGTAATATATACTTTCACTCAGTCCGATATCTTCATTTGTATCTAATAACTTTATATTGATACACAAGTGGATCCATTCACCAATATATGCGAGTTTTTTCCAGCCTGGATTATATACTATACTAATAATTATTTTTCAACGAATTTATTAAAATTTTTGTCGATCATAAAAATTTCAACTTCATACCTACCCCATATCCTAAATAAGAGCGGTCGAATCAGAGCATGCCTATTATCTGATAACAAGCACCAACAGAAGGCGTTCTATTTTATACAAATAGCAAGCACTTTACAAGCAAGCAGCAGAATGCAATCCACGTGATACTATTTACCCATCGAGCTCACCTATCCAAATACCAAATTTTATGACAGATGTGCCCTAATTTGCTCTGATGATGTGGTTGATTTTTGGGCTACAGAATTTCCCAATGGAACAGAGTACTTGCTAAAAACTCATCTTTTGTAATGATCTTTTGAATAGTGCAAAACCCAAGTTTTGTTAGTCATGGGCTGTTTCTTTCTTTTCTGTCGGTTTATTTGTTCGTACAAGCAGGTTAGGTAGGACAAACACGTCAGACTTGGCCGTTACCTAACAACTACTATTTGGCTTGTCATGAGCCAGCATAACAATTGCTGGCATGGGTTCAATCCATAAATGGCATCTCTGTAATATAACAAAAAAAAAATTTTGTGCGCTTATCTACACTCTGTTTCCATGTTCTATAATCTATATGCCATTTAGTATTTAAGGATCAGAGCCACACGAGCATGCAATTTTTCTATTTTGAGTTCAAGGGTTAATAATAAATCCCTTAAACCTAAGCCTGGAATGTCTCGTGTTGCGAGGACTAACCTGAAGAAACTCCAATACACAGAAGAATAAAAAAAAAATGCATATATCTAGGAGAGGCAAACAGGGCAAAGCCAGTCAAATAATTTAAATAACCAGTTTGTGCTCCTACAAAATCCGGAACATGAGACTGCCTTCTTGAGCCATTCACAAAGAAGCATATAGAAAAAACTGATGCTGCTACTATGCAGAGTCATACAATGCTGTATTATCAACTGCGGATGCAGGGAGTTTGCATGCGGTGAACACAATCTTAATAAATTCTATGGGCAAATGGCGCGATAGAGATCCTGCTTATGTAAGATTATGCCTGTCTAATGCAAGCCCCTGCTTCTAAAGACAAATGCAAAGTACATACAACCAGAAAGATTATTATAGAACTCGAAGGTTATTGTATAAGGAGAGATTTTTTTTTTTTTTTTTTTCCACGCCCTGCTTCTAAACGAACAAATGCAAAGTACATACAACCAGTAAAGTAGTATAGAACTTCGAAGGTTATTGTATAAGGAGAGATTTTTTTTTTTTTTTTCTCATTTGATCACGACGCCAAGATAAGCAAAAACCATCTAGAACACAACACCTAAATATGCAAGTGCTATTTTTGTATAACATTTTTTTTTTTTTTTTTTCTCATTATCACACAAGATAAGCAAAAACCATCTAGAACACAACACCTATATGCAAGTGCTATTTTTGTATAACAACCAACTACAAGGAAAAAATTGAAAAGAATTTTCAGTTCTCATACTAATGATCCCTACAAACTATTTTATCTCAGCACTTGTCATTTGGATCACTTTTACCCATGCAATGATCACCGTAATCTCAGACTTGGTGAACAGTACCTCCAAAACGCAGTTGCCTTCAGACTTACATCCGAAGGTATTCAGGAAAGCAATATTGTTGCTCGTGCATGGATAGAGCAGAGGCTATTTTGCAAGGTTTCAGAGTCAGCTGACCTCTGGCTGTAACAATGGGAAGAAAGTCCAGTTGTTGGCAGGCCTAGCTTCCTTCCCAGCAATTGTTTCATTGGCCCACCACTCAGAGCTGATAGTGGGCTTATCTGGTACTTCTTTTGAATTATCAAAGTTGAACTCTTTGATTGACCCAAGTGTGATAGAACGATGTTTTCTATAGCAAGGCTCTTCTTCCGTTTCTCCTGAGGGTTTCTCAGGCGTTTCATTGGAAGTTTCCCCGATGTGTAAACAATCATTACTATTAATTAGAATCTCCTCACTGTTTATTTGTTCCTCTGCCATACTGTCCTGTGGGCATTCTGAGAAAGTTCTAGATGATGTCATTGACTTGCTTTCAAGACAACGTGCAACCTCTTCACCACTCAATTCGAATGAGACTCTATGATCGACTATATTTTCATCATTTTTAGATGCATTTTCTGAGTTAGCAAGGGATGCAACCTCAGAAATCTGGTTTTCCAGAAGCAAACCATCTTGAGATGCAGGCACCACACAATCAGGCGTTAAAGATCCAGAACCAAGCCTTGAACGCAGCCCCACACCATCTGGAGTCACGGACCCAGAACCAAGCCTTGAACCTAGCCCCACTCCATCTGGAGTCGCAGTACCAGAACAAAGCCTTGAACCTAGCCCAACTCCATCTGGTGTCAAAGTTCCAGAACCCAGTCTCGAGCCCCACTTACGAGTGGTAAAATGTTCAAAGCCCAAGAGCTTAGGCGCTTCCCCCATACGGAACTCAAGAAGGGGGTGTCTATCAGGGAAAGGGGAAGAAGTGCCTGAATTTGATATTATTGAGCCTGGTGAGATGAGTTGACCACCTGGGCTTCCAGGGTACAGTGGATAAGACTGGAATTCATAATGGGATAATGCAAACTTTTGATTTGCCCCACTGTTTCTTCGAGCACGCTCCAGAGAAGATGTCAGGAGTTGAGCAAATGGCACTTCTGGGGAAGAAGGTGTAGTCAACTGAACAGATTCAGGAGGAGGAGTGAAGGGAGCGGTTGATGGTTCAGTAGTGAAGGCAGAAAACACAGGTGGAGTGACTAGCTGGGTTTCATGAGCATAAGGACCTATGGCAAAAATGGATGCAGGCCCACCAGGGGAGTATGCACTCACTGAAAGAGCAGTAAGAGAGAGCAATCCTGCTGGTGACTGGGTGACAGAAGGGGGATCAGATTGGAGGAATGAAGCAGGAGAAGAGGGAGGAGCAATGAAAGGAACAGCGGCAGCAGTTGAATGTGTTTGATTTTCAGCAGAAGTGACTACAGCTTGCGGTACTTCTGGTTCAGGAACAAGAACAGCATGACCAATTCGCTTGCTATTTTTATGAGAACCAAAGCACCAGTACAGACTCCAGCAGCCTCCCCATCTTCTTTTCTGTGTTGAAATAAGAAAAGAGAAAGATTGTGAAGAACTAGTTCCAAGGGAATCAAACCGAACATTCTTTTTCTTATTGCAAACTGTTCTGCATTTGACAATGGGACAGCATCCCTGAAGCATTGATAACACGATAATTGACTCAATTCAGAAGTACATTTCCCTATATCTATTTTTTCTTTTCCTATTGCCAACAACTAAGAATTCCATTACCACCTGTAATTGCCCTTCACTTACCCCACCCAAGCCAAACAAGCACACATGCATGCAAGTGGACATACAGGGAGAACCAAATTGCTATCCAGAAGCCCAGTCTAGTAATGAGGAAACGGTTACAATTCTATTCCTAGAAGAGCTGCACCGAAGAATGACGTTGAAAGTTTTAAAAAGCTCCTGAAATGACATTTCTAGGCTAAACTTGTTTTGCATTGAATTTAATGTTTTTACTGGCTATCTAAAATCTTTTTTCCACTACAGATAGTGTTTCTGAACACTCTCTGCTAAGCACGAGAATAAATTTCCGATGTTGCAAAATAAACCGAGGGGATTCCAAATTCTAAGTGCATAAAACATCGATCTTTTGTTACCTTATCCGTTTCCCATTTTCAGAAATAAAACTAAAAATCAAAAGTGGGCAATAAATAAATGCCTAGAAAAAAAAAAGTCAATGAAACAAGCCCACAAGGTGAAAATGAAAAATAGAAAAAGAGAGAATTTTCAGTTCTGAAATTTCACAATTCAATACCCGATAAAGCTAATATCAAAATTACCCGAAATTTGTTTCTCAGCTAGAGCAACAAAATACTAAAAACCAGACTCAGGATCCAACATTTTACTCTCTTCCCTTCCCCCAAAGTCTCTCGGTTACGGAAACAAAATTATAATAAAAGCCTTAAAACGTTTTATAAAAGAAGAAAAAGGAGATAAATAACTGAACAAAATTTTCAATCAAACAAAAAATAGATTTTTTTTTCTACTTTGCTGGCATTTTCCCACTTCACAAACAGAAGATGAATCATAATCTAAATTTGAAAAAAAAAATGAGGCTACAATATTAGGAAATGATTAGAACAGGTAAATATAAATCTACAAGTGCGTGCTTGTATGTGCGTGTCTACCTGAACGACGGTTGGCTGGACACGAGACTCGGCAGAAATGATGGCAGTGGCTGCGGCGTTGATAGTCTCGACGCTGTTGTTAACACTTCTCATCTTCTTCGATTTGGAAACAGAGTTCGGATAACATATCAGATTTGTGATTCGATCTTCAAGTGCAAAATAAATCGCAGAGAGATAAAGGGAGAGAGAAGGGTCAAAGACTCAAAACTGTTCTAACAATAAATCAAGATATAAATAAAAATGAAAATAATAGATCAAAAACACTTTCTTTCTTTCTCTAAAAACACTCCATCTCTCTCGTCTCTTTCAGTTTCCGTTACTCTCCGGTCCTTATCCTCCAGTTTCATCCGCTCTGTAACTTAATGATCGCCACGTCATTGTGTAACGACCCACCACTTTTTTATTTATTTATTTTGTTATAAGGAAAAAAAGTTTGTAATTATTATTTACAATATAATGATGATTGAAAGTCGTTTTTTTTTTTTAATTTTCTTCCGTCCACTTTATCTATTTTTTTCAGAAATATTAATTAATAAAAGAGCATTACTTAATTTTTTCAATTTTACCCATTTCAAAAAAAAAAAAAACTTTTTCAATTTTATCTTTATATCTATTAAATATATTAATTAATTAAGGAGTCTTTTTTTTTTTTTATCTTTGTTGGCTCATGATGTTTCTGAAGTTGATTATCTTCTGCCTTCAGCTGTACTGTTTGTTCTAAAGCTCCTATTGAAAAAAAAAATATTAATTATTTTTTATAATTTTCTTATTTATTTTATCATCTCTTGGCTCCTACTTCCACATTAATTTTATCAAATTATTAAAGCAAAAATATTAAAATTCAAATAATCATATGAGATAATAGTAATATAATCAAATTAAAAATTATTTTATTATGATTTAAATGACATAGTTATTTATTTTCTTAATCACCATATAAAAATTTTAAATAATAAATAAGAATAGATAGAATAATTATTTTTTCACGTAAAATATTAAAATTGAAATAATTATGTGAGATAAACAGTAACTTAATAAATTAAAAATTATTTTATTATAATTTAAATGATATAATTAATTTTTTATCACCATATAAAAACTTTAAACAATAAATAAAAATAAACAAAAAAAAAATTTACCGTGAAATTATCACTATACAAAAAATATTTCCTAATTTATGATTTAAAAAAAATTATTTATTGTTCATTTATTTGATGCTGCCAACTTGTAATTAGTGGGGTAATAAATTGATTTATGTAGGAAATAAATGGAAGATTATGATGATAATGTGATTTTGCAATAATGTGTTGTTTAAGGTCAAGCCACCTAATCTATGATACTACAAAGATTTGCAAACTATTAAGGTCCACAAAAGAAGATTAGCAGTAAGTAATAATAGATAATGGTACGTAGTGAATTGACTGAAATAGCCTTGGAGTGAAGGGAAAATAACGAAAAGAGGAAGCAGTTATGGCGGAACTAACAATAGGGTGGTGCGAGGTGGGGATGAGTTACTGTTGTTATTATGTTCCTTTCTGTACATTGAATTGAACCTTTCCTTTAGATAAAGCGTGACTCTCGTGACCTCATTTTGTGTGGGTGCCCCACCATACAATCAATCAATTCTTTCTGATTTGATTTGGAGAATCATGACCGTCCGTGAGTTGACGAGTCTAATATTTTTTTTTTATCAATAAAACCGAAACGGCAGCTCAGTGTTAGCGTTGCTCACGTGGATTGCATGTGGCGTTGCTGTCTGTCACGCGGACAGTTTTTGACCCTTACGTTGTTTTTATTTTTATAGTAATTCAAGTTGAAAAGGAGAGAAAAAAGAAAAAGAAAATACTATATATTAAAAAATAAATTATTATTTAATACATGAGTTGAATGTAGATGTGTTTTTAGATTGTATTTAATAATTTATGGGATCGCTATCTAAAATGCTAGCAAACAATGAAAAGTACATAACCACAAAATGCACAGATGGCTCCATTTCTATTTATGAATCCAAACTCATAATTTTGGGACCAGTAGCCCTAAATTTGCAACCAATGCAGATCCTTCTATTCTATCTTTATAGCCGTTTCCATTTATTATATGTATTTGAAGAGAAGTTTTATCTACTCCCGATATATAAATCCACGTCTATATATTGAATCAATCATAAATAATATTTTAGTTCAATTTGAATATACTTATAACCATACATTGAAAAAAAATAATAGTATTTTTAAAAAAGTTTTTAATTGGCTAGGTGTATGAGACGACTCATACACTAAATGTAAGCAAGTAATTTTTTGTATTTTAATGTTTGAATTGAGGATTAAAAATGAATTTCAGATAAAATTATTTTAATATTGATGACTCTAAATTACTTTCTAGTTGTACATGTATTTTTAAATTTAAACTAAATAATATTTAGATAAAATCACTTCTATGCGATCAGATTTTAAATATGTACTCTGTCTGTCTCATATATTTAGGCCTAGTTTGATTTTAACATTGATTAAGAAAAATAAATTAATATGGTTGACTTATATCTTGTGTTTATTTTTTTCCTAAATATCTTTTTATAATATTAAATGATGGACATCAATTAGGAATGGAAATATATATTAAATAGGAATATGTTAAAAAAAATAGATAATAAATAATGTTTTAAAAAAATAAAAATATATTTCAGGATAGATGAAATTAATATGGGACGGTTCGAATAATAATTAACGTTAGGGATCCAATTCAATAAATATTGGCCCATAGCACGAGACTGGAAGACCACTGGAGAACCACATTCAGCTACTACTGTAAGAGTCCTTGAAATGCAAAATCTTGCAGTACTCGGGGGTATAACAGACAAATTAAAGTAAGAAACCTCCTTTTCTTTTAGCTTTCTTCCACAATTTTTTATTGTTTATTTTTAACCCTAATTTTGTCGTTGCTGTTGTTACTTTAGTTTAGGACAAGGCAAGGCAACAATTTTTTTTTTTGGGTCTAAAGTGTGCACGTGTGCATAGCCACTTGTTTGATGGGTTTTCGTGCACAACCCTCGTGTGTAAAAGATAGTGACAACAAAACATACACAATCTCTCTCTTTTCCCCTAATAAAATTAACAAAAACTTGCACGGGTGGGTGCATATATGTTATGTTGTGGCTTCTTTTAATTTTCTTTTTCATCATCATCTCTCACATTTTGTGATGATAATGATATTACAAAGCTAACTTCTCTTTTGCCCTCCTTTTCTTGCCCCAAAAGGAGCTTTTTTTAGTTTTTTTTTTTTTTTCCTTTTTATTCTCTCTTTATGATTCTTTACTTTTTACCACCTTTTCTTTTCTTTCTTGCAACTTTTCAGTTCTTTAGAGTAAAAATGGTGGACTTTCTTTTCACTCATCTTCCTCCTGTAACAACACGTACTACCCAAAAAAGAAAAGATTGAAAAAGAAAGAAAGAAAGAAAGTCCTTTGCATCTTATTGACTATCCTTTTACCGTGCACCGTTTCAGTTGCCTTTTTCATGTACTGATTAATTGAAAATTGAAATAGTATATTGTGAGCTTGAAAGTTAGTAGTAATTACCTCTTTGATGAAAAAAAAAAAGGAAAGAAAGCATTAATCTTTTCTTAATTTTAACTCGTCATAAAGTGTTAATTTTTCTAATATGAAATAATCCTAGAAAAGGAAATGAAATACTATAATTGTTAGATTAAATTAATAGAAAGAAAATGCTGTTGGGTCCAGTAGGCAGTTGATATTTCTGCAAGATTGAGGCTCTAATGGGGTGGGTTATTAGTAGTGAGGTTATGGTCCTACAGGGCAAAAGCCAAACCAACACGCCACATGTTTAGGTGGGAGTCATCTCATGATCGCTTAAAAATTTTAAATTTATATATGTGAAGAGAAATTGAAAGAGATAATCTTCTTGAAAATCTTGAATTGCATAATTTTTGGTTTTCTTTGACAAATATAAGCAAGCGTCGCTATTAGATGACATGCCAGCCTTTTCCCATCAAAAAGACTCTTTCTTCTTATGTAATGTAGGCCTTGTTTTCTTTACCTCCATCAAAGCCTAGAAAAATGGGACTTGATTTATCGACAAATAATTGGCTGGCTATAGACTGCCCTAGTTTTCTTTCTTGAGATCAATTTCAGCAGCCCATGTCGGCTGTTGCCTTCTGAAGCCCAGGGTGAGGGTGCGCATCGATATGCAGATTGGGCCACAGAGCAGATTCATTATGGTGTTGAGGCCAATCTATTATGCTCAACTTTAAAGCCCACTGTCTCGCCGCAGAAGGAAAGACAAGAAAATCTCCATCAGTCTGCATTTACACAGAATAGGAACATCTTCCACATATATATCTTGTTATATTTTCGTTAAAGATAATATTATAGCAGATGACTCAACTCTCAAAGAACTGCAAATATCCCATAAAGTTCTCTTAATATATGATCCTACATACAACACTATGCTTATGGCATCGTTATTTTCACGTCCCGCATCTTTATTTTCAGCTTCTACAAATACAAGACCAACTCTTTATCAACAATCGTATTCTTCGATTTCATATCATAAAAACCCCAAATTTGGTCTCTCCTCGTGGATTACTCATTTGGGTTTTGCTACTTGCTCTGAATGGAGTGGTTTAAAGCATATGGGTATGTCGCTTGCGCCGAAATCTCTTAAGAAAGGTACGTATCTTGAATTGGGTATGCTTCTTTTTCAGTCTTCCTTTTTTTTTCTTTTAATTTTTTGTTTTGATTCTTGAAATGTGGTGTTGCAGAGAGGAAGGCTAGATGTAAGGGTATGGTCGTTCAAGCATCTTTGTTTGGGGTTGGAGCTCCTGAGGCTCTGGTTATTGGGGTGGTGGCTTTGCTAGTTTTTGGTCCCAAAGGTCTTGCTGAGGTTAGTAGTGCATAAGGAAACACTACAAAAATAAAAGATTGCTCCCCTAGTATTCAAACAATTATTAGTGATACCTGCATAGATTTTGAGGAATTCTTCATAATGCTTGTTGATTTTCCTCTCTGTCATTTCTACCTCCAAAATTCTATTTCCTGTGGTCAGTAGAGTGAAGATTGCAGGACTGACAATTTGAATATACTGTAGGATTCTAACTGCCTATATGCTCACATTTGTTTGCACTTGTTTTTCATGCATATTCAGTTATCTGTCTGTATGCATGTTTTGATAGTTAATTATCTGAATTGTCTTACCATTATTGTGGCTTAAAATTCAATGCTTAACTGCCATGAATTGAAGGCAACAGCGAGAGAGGTAGGTTAAAATAGGTTGGAGTGTCTTTGTAATACAATAAAAAGGAAATGGATTGCATTTAAATTTGTCCACTTGGGGAGGGGAAGGGATAGTATTGCTTGGAATTGCAATATTTTGAGCTTAACCCAGGACGCATCCTTTGATCCTGATGCGTTTGTTTTAACTTTGATGGTTCAATAGCATTTACCTTTCAGAGTGCCAGTTTTCTTTCTTGTTATGTATTTTTTATTGAGTATCTAAATGCAGGTTGCACGCAATTTAGGGAAAACTCTACGTGCATTTCAACCTACCATTAGAGAACTCCAGGTAGGTCCATAGAACTTTTAGTTCAAATTTATTGTTTCTGCCTCTGCAAAGTAATTATATATGAATTCTGCAACATTTTTTGCTTTTAATCTATAAAGGGAATCAGTGCAACAGTTTGAAAATGTAGGAAGTGTCAAGGGAATTCAAGAGCAGCCTTGAACGAGAGATTGGCCTTGATGAAATTTCAAGTCAACCACAAAACACATATAGCTCCAACAGAGCAAACCCTACTGCAACCCCTTCATCACTTGGCAGTTCTGAAAGTCCTCCAACAGCAGCTGACCCCAGTGAGTGGCCAAATACTTCTAATCTTATATTGAGAAGGCTATTAGCTTGATCAAAAGGTTACATTTTAGTCCAATGTGGCAGAATGTGTTGTGAATTGTCAATTTGGCATTTTCTGGAAGTTTATTTGGCACATTGTTACTGTTCAACATAAATACATTAGTTCAACATGATGACATTGGGTGTGACAGACCGATATAGCTATGGGTACATTAGTTTTTTCAAGATCAGGCTCGCTAGTAAATTTCTTCTAGGGCTTGCTGATCTTTAGGCTCTGATATGATAAAGTATTCATAACTGAGTACTCGACAAACTAGGAGGATCCATAGACATTATAGATGGAGCTCCCTTTACAACGACAGTTAAATCTTATGTTGTCTTCGACAATTTCCTGACAGTCAACAGCAAATTAAATAAGTTATTGAATAACATGCATTAGGCCTTGTGCATTACGCCCTTCATACATAATGGTGGGTGCTTCTGTTTCAACCATTGCTTATAGATTAAAACACACTTTAGTTGTAGGCTACTACAACTTTTAGCTATTTGTTTTGCTGTAAATTACAACTTGTAGCTTCAACCAATGCTTATAAATTAGAATGCACTCTTATAAATCACAACTCGTAGCTATTTCCTTTGTTGCATAATCAAGGCAATTCTTCCATCAGATTATGGTTTATGACCCAAAAAAATGTTTAGGTTTTCATATAAATATGACAAGGCATTGTCAATTTTTTTTTTCTTTTTTAAACTTGCAGATGGTGCTCCATCTCAAACCGGAGCATATACCAGTGAGGAGTACTTGAAGATCACAGAAGAGCAGCTAAAAGCATCTGCTGTGCAACAGAAGGGGCAGACACCCCCTTCTGGACAAAGCCAGTTTGAATCTCTGAGCAAGCCTCAAGGTTAGCCATTTCTTCATGTTAACCTGTGTCTTTCTACCTCTCTTTCCTTTTTTTGTGACACTAAAAAAGAATTCGTTATCAGCTGCTGGTGAGGAAACTGCTGGTGCAATGCCTCCACCGCAAAAGCCAGAAAATCAAGTGTAAGACAAGCAAGTCTAAGACCTTCCAAATGAGGTATCCGATTTTCCAAAGCATGAAACTAGTTAGCTGGGATATGAAGCCTGGTGCAAAAGTTGATCTAGATCCTATTCATGTGAAGAGGCCATGATGATGAGTCAAGTTTTATTGAACTCGATGTAAAGCATGATTTCGTGTAATAGCAGGATGGAATTTGTTATTCTTTTTCCCGCGTATTTAATTAGCAATTTCGCTATGAAAATGTACTGTATTCAATGAGATGACATTAAATGGAAGAGAGACAAAGGGACAACCAGTGGCTGGAATAGAGGAGTTTTTGCTGTAATACATGTTGATGATCATCCTTGTTACTTTATTAATAATTTCATTAGACTAATCGTCAACCTCACTTCTTTTTTAAATTGAGTTAATGGTTCAATCTTCAAATGTCTACCTTGTAATGGAAAAGATCACCAAGAGTTTAAATTATAGACATCCATTCCCGTCAAAAATCTTCAATTTATAAGGAAAAAACGAAAGAGAAATGACCATTATTATACCAAATAATTGCACAAATTTGTAAAGCTTTCATCTCTTGTAATTTAATGAAGCAGACACCAATTTCACAGTCCTTTCAATCTTAGATGGGTACTAATCAACCATAAAAGAAACAAGTACAAACATTACGACAATAAACTAAACGAAAACGACATTCCCACAGGCCACAGAGACTTGTCATTTCTTGGTACCATGATAGAATATTAATTAAATTATTGTCTAAAACTAACTATTATAGAGACAACAATTTAATTACGTATCAGTGTTATCCAAGAAATTCTCTTCTCTTCTACTAGTAAGCCTCCAAAAGAAAATCTTTATCCTTCTCCAACCTCTCCATAGCTCCAGCTTCCAGAGTAATCTCCACATCAATGCTCCTTCCGCCACTCTTCCCTTGATACAAATACACCATCCCATCAAACCTATTGTTGGATCCACTTCTCACGCTTTCTGGTTTGCCCCACCCGAAATCCACCTCATAAACCCGAAACCTAGGCGAGCTACCAACGGCAACGCAATTCACTCCTGCATCCTTGAATTGGAAAATCTTCGGGGAGCTTTCCCATTCTTTATTTCGCTCGTCGATGGCTTTCGCGTTATGAGCTTCAATCGCATTTTGTATAACAGAAGCCCCGAATTCTGGCGGGTTCATCGATAATAATCCGACTGCAGTTGCCGTGAATATGGCCTGAATAAGGTTACCGAAGTAATTATCGGGCATTGCTGGGTCGACCCTTTTCCGGCAATCGGCGAAGACAGTGAAAACAGTGAAGTCCTCTGGTTTTAGTTCGCGTGCATGGCTTACGTGGCGCCAAATATGCGCAGCAAGCGATTGAAATGTGGAGTATGGTTTTAAACCGTCGGATGGAGGGTTAGCGTTGACGGTTGACTTGATCTTGTCGATGGTAGATTCGGAGAATTTGAAGACTTTCTCTCTCAGCTCTGGGACTGCTGACTTGGCATCACCGTTGGAAATGCTGAGTGGGTCCGGGGGTAAGGAAAGATCAAGCTTGACGCGTGTGTTGCGCGTTTTTGTCCTTTCGAGGAATGGCGTAACGGATATTGAATGGGACCCGTTGCAGATCTCGGCCCATGAACTCATGAAGTGCCACGTGGAGGTGCCGTCCAGGATGGCGTGATTGAACGCGCAGCCGATTGCGAGTCCGTCTTTTAGCTTGGTTAGCTGAGGAAACGACCAACAACCCATTAATTACATATTGAATGAGACCATATTTGCCTTTCATTGAACAAAAAAAGAAAAAAGGGGATTATATCTGAATCAAAAAAAGTTTATGAGATTAAAAATTTAAAACTCTAATCCAAACTTGTTAGTAATAATTAACATTCCTATTTATGTTTGAAGTCATTATTTACCTGGACTGCCAACAATGGCCTGTGAAGGCCTTCCAAGTTCAAGATCCCATTGTACGGGATAAAGTCCTTCAAGGTGGTGGTGCCATCCTCAGCCGTTAGATCCTCCACACTTGTACCCTCTGCAATGGCCTCTACAAGCTCCACACCTTCCATGTCATCATCATACTCAACCCTAAACACACCGTCTTCATCTTTTCCAATCTTCCCAGCCAATTGATGAAAATCTTCCAAAACCACTCCAAGCCCATCTTTCAATTTCCCCACCATGTCCGCGAAGCTATCATTACTCCCCTTGTACAGTAAAAACTTCTGATTGTAATAAAAAGCCAGATATGGAAGATCAAAGGTGATCAGTTGGCATTCTCTTCTTCCAAGTTTCTTGTTGGGCTTCACATGGGATTTCCCTGTGATTTTCACCTTCACGGTTTCTTCCTTGTTGTGATCTACAACTGGAGAGGCCATTTTTGCTGAGTAAAGAATCTGAGAGAAACGCTTTTATTAGTCGTGGAGGAACTTGGAAGCTAAAGAGGGGCATAAGGAACACTTATAGTGGGATTCATTTGACGTTGGTTGAGACTGCATTAATGAATTTTATGAGGGTGGTTGTGACCCATTAACTTCCCTGTTTTAATTAGTTTGTTGGTGAAGGCTGGAACTTTTTAGTGAAAAAACCCTTCTCTTGCTTACTTCTCCTGGCCAAAGTAAATGCATGCAAGCTGAACGTAGATAACCTAAAAATTTGTGTCTCCTTGCATAAATTCGCTCTAGAAATTCGTTATCTTAATTTGTTAAATTAGATCAATTAAGTGTGATTATTGAAATATTAATACTATAAAAATTTTGTTAATCATGTATCAAATTAACATTTTTGTATATAAAAATTAAAAAACTTTAAAGATTGTTGTTAATATAAAAATATGTACATTGCATGTCATCTTGCTTCTCTGGAAATGGCAGAGCCATTTCAAGTACAAGTTTAAACATGATTTGTAAGATGTAAAGAGGGAATTATGACACAACACTTCACAAAACTAAGATTTTAGAATCATCTGCTTTCTGTAGAAGGAGAAACAACGCAATGGACCTTAATAATTGGTGGGCTGTTTTTTTAGCATGCGCAATCAATACGTACCCAAACTTGCACCCAAATTAGGTCAGATTTTGGTTATTTAGTAGCCGTGGTCTCATCAATTTAGAAGCCCAGAAGATGAATTATTAGTCTCAACAGAAACTGTAAATTACGGTTGAACTAGCTTGTCTGTTGCCGCTTTATCTTAATTAAGAGTCCCCTTTATTTGACATTTGCATTTTCCTATGTCACCGTAATTTGTTGAAATTGAAATGATGTTTTGTTAACCTTTTAATTCATACATCACTCAATTTGGTCAATTAGAAAACAAGCCATTGTATTAGTCACTGTATCTATACATATACAAAAAAAAAAAAAAAAAAAAATAAAAATTCATACATCACTTCAATTTGTTCAATTTAGAAAAACAAGCCATTTGTATTAGTCACTGTCATCTATACATATACAAAAAAAAAAAAAAAAAATTAAATAAAACTTAATCAAAGGAAAATTTATACAAAAGGAAACATTATAAAGCAAGTGAACATAAAAAAAAAAAAAAAAAAATAAATAAAAGCTTAATCAAGGGAAAATTTATACAAAAGGAAACATTATAAGCAGTGAACATTCTATCTGAATATTTAGTTTAATAGACGAATTTAAAAGTGAAATCGAAAAATTATATGTGTAATAATTAAATCAATAATGAATTTAAAGGTTCCATCCAAATGTCCATTTCAAAGGGGTGGCATTGAGCTGTTTGACAATAATTGGAAGATATCCATAAAATCAACTCAACCCCATTCATCAATGTTCTGACAATAACTTTGTACTTCATTTCACAAATCAATTTTACTTCATTTCTATCTTTTATTCTATTTAGTTTAGTATGCTGAAATCACAATATTTTAGTACAATACCTTCCTTGTATTATACAATATCTATTGGACAAGAAGTGTGTAAAAATATGGTAAATTTTCATTTTTTAAAAATGAAGTTTACTATTTTTACAGAAGATTTGGTGCCTTGGTGGGTTGACCCGGATCCGAAATCTGCTTATAGCTCTATCAGTTGTCATGACGCACAGGTACAAATGCTCCTGGCGCATCTTACTGCTCGTTAAAACAGCCTTTATTCTTCTTCAGCTCCCGCACCACTTCCCCATTGCCTTGGCTCTCAACCCAAAACTTCACCGGCGGCAAACTCTAGCTCACCTGCACCGACTCCGGCCGCGTTCTTCATCGAGGTAGGTCGAGAGTCCATCATTGATCTTGTATTCGATCTATACGTGATCAATTTGGGCTAAATATAAATATTTGGTGAGATTGAAATTCTAGGTCAGAACTTGGGAAAAATTAGGAACTAATCAAATTAACGTGAATTGGTATAGATTAAGCCTGGATATTGAATCCCCATCAAATTTAGAACCTTTTGGTTAACAAGTTTCAAATTTCGGCGAATAGCGGTTTTTCCGGCGACAGTGGATGGTGCATCCGTCGCCGGCCGGTGATGGTATCCGGTAATCGGAAAAGCCCCCATAGGCAGAATGTTGAACTCTTCTTGTAGATTCTGGATATGCAACTAGTTTCGCGATTCTACTAGTTGACGCAATTTTGAAATTTAGGTATCAAAGCGGAAGAATTTCCGAACTTGATTAAATAAGAATTATATGATTATGTGGCTATAATTGTGAATATGAACTGAATTAATACTTAATTTCATAGAATATGGCTCCGTTCAATATTTTATAGATCATCTATTTTATGGTTTTCTTTTTTTAATTAATATTTTTTTTTACAGTTGCATTTCACGTGCCGCGACGGTCGTAAATACTAATTGTATCTAAGCTTTTACTTACCATCCCATGGCCTAAAACCAACTGATTTAGCGGTTCGTCAAATTGAACCGGTTTGGCCTCTAAATTCCCCAAATCTAAAACCCTACTGAACTCAAATACATACTTTGTTTGCTTCCAATCTCAACTATGCTTTCTCGTCTCCTCCCTAAACCCTCCCATTTTCGTCTATTTTACAATCTTTCTTCAAAATCCCATTTCTATCCCTCCTCACCTCAGTCCTCCAATTTGAATCTCCTCCTCAGATCATTTTCCACAAATAATAGTAACAACAATAATAATAACAGCAGCAAAGGCCAATCGACCCCTAACATATGGAAACTTTCTCCAGAAAGTGATGAGAAATTCGACTCATTTTTCACCGAAAATTCCACCAATGGCCCTGCTGGAATTACTGATTCTCCGCCTGCTGAGGAAGATTCATGGTTGAAGGAGAATGACGGCGATGATGACAGAGATATATTTGAGGCAGATGATAAGGAGTCAGGGGAGAGGAATGGCGGTGATGGTAACAATGAGTGGCTAACATCGGAGGGGTACGAGGTGTGGAATTTAGATGAGAAGGAAGAGGAGAAAGATAATGTGTTCGATATTGGAGAGGTTGCATCGCATGCTAGTGAAACTGGGAGTGAGACTGTTGTGCATGTGAAGAGTGAGGATAGCGAAGACCAGAAAATGCTCGAGGAAGAGGAGAAGGAGCTCACTGCCATTCTTAAAGGTAACATTTTCTATTATTTTGTTTTAAGTCGCAATTTGATTTATTTAAACAGTTATATGCTTTGTATAATATCGAAAGAGCAAAAAGAACTCATCATTGTTGATTTATACTTTGATCTGTGCAGTAGCAATTTTTTTTTCTATGAAGGTTTATATTGGTCCAACATGAATCGTTGCAGGTCCAAATCGTGCGTTTGGTGACCTAATCGCAGCATCCGGAATCACAGATGCTATGCTGGACAGTCTGATTGCCCTGAAGGATTTTGAAGGGGTTGAGGGTTTGCCTCCTCTAAGTGAAATTGAGGACATGCGTTATGCATCGAGCACCAGAAAATCTACTAGGGCAGAAATAGAGCGTCAGAAGCAGGAGGAAGTAGCAAAAGCTAGAGTAAGACAAGTAGATGACAAAGGTAGAGCTTATGGAACAGGAAGAAGGAAGTGTAGCGTGGCTCGTGTTTGGGTTCAGCCAGGCACTGGAAAATTCTCAGTTAATGATAAAGAATTTGATGTCTATTTTCCAATGCTTGATCACCGTGCTGCCCTGTTGCGACCCTTTTCTGAGACAAAGACTTTGGGTCTCTGGGATGTCAATTGTACGGTTAAAGGAGGTGGTGTTTCAGGTAAGATTGAGCATTTACAGTTGCAGTTGTATCATTACTTTTATTGTCTTGTAACGTCCCTGTTAACCTTTCTCACCTACGGTTTTAGGTTTTAGGATAGGTTTATACCTTATAATTTTGTAGTTTTCAACTTATTCTTGAAGATTACAAGGGGTCAGAATGCAATCCCCTTGATTCCAACTTCCTACTTTTTGCCAACTTTTGTGGATTCCTTAGAAATACTAATAATTCTGGTTGGATTGTTGTACAATGTTTCTTGAGAACCTTTCTCATGGATAATATCGTTTGATGTTTCTTCAAAACATGAAAGTTTTGTTTTATACAATGTTACTGTTTTGAGTTGTTCCTGCACATGAAAATATTCATTTTGTTCTGCACATGCTCCATAGATAACAATTCTTTTTCAAACTTAAGTACCAAATTTTGAACTTTGTGATGGTGCTAGAAGTTTTAAACAGATAGCATTCTTTCCTTCCATGGAGCACATGGTTGGAAGGAGGAATTTGTTGGCCTTTGAAGAAGTCAAGATGGGTTCATATTATCGTTTAATATTACCTACAAGTGAAGATAATGTGGTGTACTACAATCTCAGTTTCTCTGCTTATATATATATATATATATATATTCTCAGTTTCTTCTGCCGTATCTAGAGAATTGAATCTGATTGTATATACAAGAAACTATCTATGTACTTTTTCAATTGAATATATAGTTATATATAAATGGGATAAAATACTCATATTGTTTTAAAATAATGCTAGCCTTTTTAATGTGATATACTTTTGGCCCACTTTGGCTACTCTAAGATTGTCCATTCAAAGCTTCGCCAAGTCTCTTGCTCCTTGAAGACTAACGGCGTGCGGGTTGAATGTGTTTTTACAGTAGAACCCCAGGGGTGGCGTCTCTGTTTCTACCTTTCCGTGGACGTTCGTGGATTTTATTCCACTCACTTTATTGTTTTGCCTTTTAGCAATTTATTTAAAAAGAACTATTGTATTCTTTGTTGGCACAATCCACATATCAGCATTGCCACATGAACGTATTCCTCATCAACGCAAAATTATATATCATTAAGATATTGAAACTTCTTTTGAGAATAATGCTCTGTGATTTCCAATTCAATCTTACCCATAGGGTTCATTTAACTATCTTATTTAGATTGATAATTTGCTTACAATTCAAATTTTTGCACATTGGATTGATTATAGGATCAAACGCTTGTCCGAGCTAATACCAGCTGGGGTACTCAAGCAGCGGCTCTTAGAGAAGTCTGGAACCAGAATTTACGTCCTCCCCTAAGAAATGTTACAATCGCCCTCATATACGAAAAAATATATTTCTTTTTATTTGCATTTTCAATGACATATTCATCACCATTCCTATATATTGCTAAATCCACTTGTGTTACTGATTTGTGAGCAAACGTATATCCGCTGCATATTCTCTTCATTAGTTGAGATGAGTAATGAGGCATAACATTAAAATGTAGCTTTTTGAGTTAAGAGAGATAGAAGATGATTTGGTAACTTTTCTCTTCCCATTCTGCATTGTAAGTTTGGTCTGGTCCCCATTAATTAGGTTGTTTTGCCCTTGCAATGGGTTGTATTACACATAATGCAAAAATTATTTTTTGTTTTGAAATTAACTTGTGGGCACTGTATATCATTTTTGTGCTATTTGTGTCTTTACCAGTATTTGTTTCTCTTGAAATACGATGGGACTGATTGTGTGGGTTGTAAAAAGGAAAGTTAGAACCAGGAACAGGCGCGAAAGCCAAGAAAGAGCTTTCCAATGGGTCAAACGAATTGAGTCGAATTATCAGAAAAGATCTGCTCTTGTTATAGGACAACCATTTTAATACCCATAGTATCAAATCTGATATTCAGATTACTACTCAGTATCTCTGGAGATTTGTTAGGGCGTTGCCTCACTAATATATCTATTCTGTAACGTAGCCTTCGCTATATATATATATATATATATATATTAGGTTTAATATGCTAGCTTTTAAGACTTTGGCACTTTGCTACTCTAAGATTGTCCATTCAACTTCGCAAGCCTGCTTGAACTAACGGGGGTAGATTTTTTACAATGCAGGGAGGCTCTTGGTTCTCCGATTATATCAGCTTTATTGTTTTGCTTTAGCAATTTATTTAAAAGAACTATTGTAATCTTTGTGGCCATCAATATCAGCATTGCTGAACTATCTCACACGCAAAATTATAATCTAATATTTGAAACTTCTTTTGAGCTATGTTTGATTTCATTTTTACCCATTTTTACTATTTTTTAGATGATATTGCTACAATTCAATTTTTGCATGGTGATAGGTCAAGTTGGAGCTATCCAGCTGGGGATCAGCAGGGCCTTACAAAGTTGGGAACCAGATTTACGTCCTCCCCTAAGAAATGGTACAACCCTAACAAAATTTTTTCTTTTTTATTGCATTTCATGCATATCATCCCTTCCTATATTGTAAATCACTTGTTACTGATTGAGCAAACTATTCCGCTTATTTTTCTTGGTTGAAGTGAGTAATGCATACATAAATGTAGCTTTTGAGTTGTGGATGATGGTAACTTTCTCTCATTCTGATTGTAAGTTTGGTCTGGCATTAAATTAGTTGTTTGCTTGCAATGGGTTTTTACCATATGCAAAATATTTTTGTTTGAAATAACTTGTGGCACTGTATATTCATTTTGTGTGCATTTGTGTCTTTACCAGCTGGTTTCTTGACGAGGGATCCACGTGTGGTTGAAAGGAAAAAACCAGGAAAGGCGAAAGCAAGAAAGAGCTTTCAATGGGTCAAACGTTGATCGATTATCAGAAGATTGCTGTTATAGACAACCATTTTTGTATCAAAATCTGATATTCACATTACTACTCAGTATCTTGGAGATTTGTTAGCTTGCCTCAAATTTCTTTTGTAACGTAGCTCGTACCCCATATTTACACCATGATTTTTGGAAGAGCCTGTTAAAGTTTTTTGTTATTTACCCCAATTCTCTATTTCCCCTTGCTTTTTCAACACGTTAACCTGTCTTGGGCAATAAAAGGAGGATTAAGGTTTTATTTAACGTTTTTTATTATATTGGATCATAATATTTTGTTGTCCATCCCGCTATTAGGATTGAGATTACATGAAACTCTTTTAATTTCACCATTTTTTTATTTTTATTGGAAAACTATTCAGTTTCTTCTATTTCTTATTTTTTAAAAATTAAATTTAAACTTTGTAATCTTCTTTCGTTTAAAAAAAAAATCTAAATTTTGACTTTAAAAAAATTGTTAAATTCACGAGTAGTCTTATTAAGTAAAAAGATCAGTTCATTTTCAAAAAGTAAAAAAATAAAAATAAAAACATTATTGGAAAAATGATAATTAAAAAAGTGATTTCCAACACAGTTAAGCTTGACAGTTACACGGGTGAGCGAACGAATCACAATATAAGAGCTCACACAGATCCACGTGATGGTTCAAGCTGTCGGAAGCTTACCTGGCTTATTATGAGTGGGCATTCCTGCACTCTGCATAACAGCCTTGTCTATTTATCATGACTTCCTTAAAGAGGAACACAGGCAAAAACCCTAAACCCTAATATGCGATTATAAAATCTCCCTCGTGTCAATTAGAAACTCAACTTCGCCTCCTTCTGTTAGCAAGATCCTCGCTTTGTACTCTGTCTATCTAGTGCCAGCCGAAATGAGACCCCCAAGAGGTAAAACGACTTAACTTTCTCTAATTTTCCGTTTGATTCTTGAGAAAGCTCGGGGAAATCAGAGCAAAATAGCACTTGTTCTGTCTATCAGTGAGTGTAGACTGTCCACCTAGTATTATATTTAATTGGTTTGTTGTATGCAGGAGGCCGTGGTGGTGGTGGTGGAGGATTCAGAGGTGGCAGAGGCGATGGAGGGGGAAGAGGTAGAGGAGGAGGCAGAGGTGGAAGAGGTGGCTTCGACAAAGGAAGTGGCATGAAAAGTCGTGGTGGTGGCCGTGGCGGCCGAGGTGGAGGAAGAGGCCGTGGTGGTGGACGCGGTGGAGGAATGAAAGGTGGGAGCAAAGTTGTGGTAGAGCCTCATAGACATGAGGGAGTTTTCATTGCTAAGGGAGGTAAAGAGGATGCTCTTGTCACTAGGAATCTAGTTCCGGGAGAGGCAGTCTACAATGAGAAGAGGATTTCCGTTCAGGTTGTTTTTTGGATTTAGTAGTTATCTTTACTTCTGAATATGCTTTCCTTGTAAAGATTGTTACTTTGTGTTTTATACTTTAGCATTTGTTATACATATATTCTTGATATTGAGAAATGATTCATTCATTAACAGAATGAAGATGGAAGTAAAGTCGAATACAGAATTTGGAATCCCTTCCGATCAAAATTGGCGGCTGCCATTCTCGGTGGTGTGGATAACATATGGATTGTGAGTCATTTAAAGGGTTTTTTTCTTTACATTTGATTTTCCTCTTAAGTTCTGTAACTATTTGTTGGTATTGACCGCATTCACTTGCTTTTGATCCTGTTTTTTTTTTTTTTAAACTAGAAACCTGGTGCGAAGGTTCTCTACCTTGGAGCGGCTTCGGGCACTACCGTCTCCCATGTGTCTGACCTAGTTGGCCCTGTAAGTATTTATTGGATAAGTTTTTGTATGTTATTTTTTTCTTTTCCGGCAGGGGTTGCTTATAATTTGTCGTTTGAGGTTGCAGACAGGAGTAGTCTATGCAGTCGAATTTTCTCACAGAAGTGGTAGAGATTTGGTTAACATGGCAAAAAAGCGCACAAATGTTATACCTATCATTGAAGATGCTAGACATCCAGCAAAGTATCGAATGCTTGTTGGCATGGTTGATGTGATATTTTCTGATGTTGCTCAACCTGATCAGGTTTGTTCTATTTTATTTCTGTTTTAATCAGTTCATAAGCGTTATTAAAAAATAGCTGTGATCATATCTTGTAATAACTGGAAATATTAAAATGCATCTGGCTTATGGATGGCTGTTTATATAAAGGATAGTTCTCCCCCAGCTACTTCTGGGGAGCCTCTTTTTATATCTCTTGCTTTTCTGGTTGTAAAAGTGCATGGAATCACTGATTAATGATTCAAAATGAAATGATTTTCAAAAATTTTCATTGAAAATTTTGATTACATACTTTCAGATTAATTTCAAATTACATTTTTTTTCTATTCATTAGAAGAGATTCATAAGTGAAATTATTGCATATGATGAATTTTACTCGGATTCCCCTTCAAGACTTTATGGGTGATGTAGACACGAGTTTCTGATGCAATAACAGGTCACTTTTGTTTCGTTCACTATCTAAACAAAGAAACCTTTTAACTTCCTTTTTGAGAAAATGTATTGAAGTTTGTATTTTGATTCTCTTTGTACCATCTAGCATATGATGATGTACTCGGATTCCCCTTCTAGACAATATGGATGATGCTATCTCGAGTTTCTGATGCTTGTACAATGTCATTTTATAGCATTTATTGCTGTTTTCCTCCATTTTCCTCATTTCTCTTTCTTTATATTGATTGCTCATATGATTGATGGTGCTATCACAACTCCTTAGCCGTTTTTTGAAGTTTTTTGCTATGCTAGACAATTTTGTTCTGATCGACTCTAGCAAGTAAAACTTTTATTTGTTCAAATGTGGGCTACTGTCATTGGATACATTTTTGTAACTCTGTTTGGCAATTTATACAACCGAAATGTTGACAATTTAATCGTCCCTCGTGCATGATATCATTTTCAATATTCTTCCTTTTTTTCTTCCTCATGAACCTTGCATTATTTGACTAACGTAGCATTTGGATTATATGAATTTGCATCTCTGATGCAGAATTCTTGGAGGTTCAAATATGTTTGGTTTTATTCCATGTGTGATTATTATTGTTTCAAACGTTTAGAAGTTAGTTTTGTTTGTTGGAGTATGGGATATCATTTTCATGGTTGTACTTAAAATGATTAGTGAGGTTGGACTGTGTTATTGTGATATGACTAAGCATCTCACTGTCACACATGCCAATTGAATTCCTTGAGAAATCCTCACTCTTGGCCTGATTTCATTTCTTTGGAAATGCCATTTAACAATTTCTGTTGGATGATGATAAATACATATGTTAAACATCTGTCTCAACATAACATATTTATGAACCTAGTTGTTTTTGTTTTAGAATGGCATGAACTTCAGATTTTAGGACCTTGTCCACATGAAAATTAAGTTCCTCAAGAACTTTCAATAGAGGAAAGTTCTAGAACATATTGTTGACTAAACGTAGTAAATGTTTTTTCCTTTTTGGTTGTATTTTTGTGACAAGACTGTCTTCACAAAACAACCTTCAGCTTATAAACCAATTTCACTCACCTTCTTCTTTGTTAATACTTTGGCTTTGCTCTGGAGCAAACTACAACTTTATTTAAGTTATAAATTGTCGCAACAGCTTGATCAACACTATGATGGTCAATGGTTCTGGAAGCTGTGAAAACATGCCACAGTAACATACCTTGAGTGAACTTCTCCTGCCGCTCACACTCTGTTCTCTTCTAATAGCTTCTGTGCGCATAATTTTCACCGAATTTGATGCATAAGCTCAACTCCATGGGTGTATCATTTTTCTGATTGCGATATAAATATGTCAATTAGTTTGTCGCAGTTTTGTGCCTCTGGGTTTTATACCTGAGTTTGTGTTTGTTTTGTGCATCTACTTAACACAGGCAAGGATTTTAGCTCTGAATGCTTCATACTTCCTGAAAGCTGGTGGCCATTTTGTAATTTCAATAAAGGTTGGTTTCTTAAATACTTGCCAACTAAAGTTCCACAATGGCTCAGTTTTCCTTTGGTTTTTCATATATTGATTGAATTGGCACATGCAACAGGCTAATTGCATCGACTCTACTGTACCTGCTGAGGCCGTTTTTGAAAGTGAAGTGAAGAAGATGACACAGGAGCAGTTCAAGCCTTCCGAGCAGGTGACCCTCGAGCCATTTGAGCGAGACCATGCTTGTGTTATTGGTGGGTATCGTATGCCAAAGAAACAGAAAGTTGCTGCATAGCAAGATAGGTTACTGATCGAAAGCTGTTCGTACTTGTTATGAATTGTATTGTTGGTTGTTGCAGTTGGCTATGTATCTCATAATCTGAGGTTGAATTTAAATGAGATGCTGGATTGTAAACCTAGTTTGAAATTTTGTCTATTTATTTAATCATCATATTTTAGGATTCAGATGAGATGATGGGTTGGTTAGTTTGCGTCATGTTTTTATGTTAGCTATTAACGCAGTCCTTTTTGTCTACAATGTTTGACTTCACCCAGCCATGGTAAATATTGTTTTTGCTGCTTTATTTATTTTATATTTCTAAATGGCAATTAGATGAATGTTTTTTATCAGTTAGACCTAAGACAGAATCTGTTTATATATTCGGGGGGTGGGTGGTAAGTAAAGAATATGTTTTTTCTTGTCATTTGTTGCGTCACCAGGGGAAAATGTTTAGACACGAGAAAAATATGAAGAAAGTAATTAAAAGGATCAAAATTAATTATTTTTGAAAAATTAAATTTTCAATTCACAAAAATCTACCAAATTAAAATTAATTTTCTCGATATTAAAAGATATAAAAAAGAGAGAGAGAGAGAGAGAGAGAAAGAACAATATTAGCAAAAACCAATTAAAAAGACACCATAAAAGCACAGTTGCTGAAACTTAATTGCACTCAAAATAAGGACATTGAGAATAAAGAACTAAAGGGGAAAAAAAAAAAAATCTCTTATCAAACTCAAAATTTGCTATTGGTCTGAAAGAGCTACATTCCTTGAGGCAAAATCAAAGACAACTAGCAGCAAGTGATACATAATGGTTACAAGGTTTCACCCTCAAATTCTAACCAACATAGATAAATTTTTAGCAGCTTTTCAAATGATACCATTCTCATCATTATCCTCTTGGCCACCCCACCTCCTTACACGCTCAGATGTTTGTTGCACCTGCAAAATCAAATTTAATACTTGTTTTAATTTTAATTTCAGTTGAGAAGATTAACATTAATTTTTCTAGTTACCTCTTTGTTCCAGTTTGTCCTGTAAAGTACGATCAATAGCAGGATTGTCTGCAGAGCAGTTCCGCATATCATTCCCGCCCATATTCCCTAATAACAATTTAATGCATTACCAAATAAACGCTTTTTCCTCAGCTAATAATTTAACTTTGAATTTATGTACAGTTTCCTACCTCTACTCCCATGTCAGCTTTGTAACCAAGCAGGAAACCCAGTGGAAGCCCAAAAACGTAATAGCAACCGATGTTTATGTAGGCTACTAAAGCTTGCCATCCACTCCCAATTGCAACGCCTGCGCGAATTGGATAAAATTTGGAAAAGGGTTTACATAACTTTTGCAAAATTCAATAATTGGAAAATGGGTTATACCTCCTATTACAGGTTGAACACTGTTAAGAACCATGGTGACACCAAGTAGAAATGCTAATTTAGAGACCGCTACTTGCAGTTCTTTTGAGCTGGTATAAATGACTGCAAAGTTCTCCTTAGTTATCACTACGATAACCATGCAAAGGAGCCCAACTATGAAACATTGAAATACAGTGACATATACTGAATATTTTGCAGCTCTTGGACGTCCTGATCCGAGCTCATTCGAGACACGAACACTGATTCAAAGAAATCAAGAACATATAATTCAGAATATATTCTCAGATCACAGATGTGAAGAAATCTGAAAGTTTACCTTATAGCTGCATTTATTCCAATGAACAACATGGCTTGAATCCCATTAATATTTAAACTAAGAAAGAAACAAGTAAAAAGCAAAAAAAAAAAAAAAAAAAAAAAAAAAAAAAAAAAAAAAAAAAAATGGTGTTGTAGGCTTTATACTCCTATTACAGGTTTTCCCTGAACACTGCTTTAAGAACCGATTCGGTGACGAGCTCAAGCTAGAAAATGCTAATTTAGAGACCTAGATCTACTTGCAAACAGTTCTTTTGAAGGCTGTTAGTAACCATGTAGGCTGCAAAGTCTCATTAGTTATCCACTACGATAAACCATGCCAAAAAGGAGCGAAGTAGCGTCTCCAAAAACTATGAAACATTGAAATACAGTGACAATATATGAATATTTTGGCAGCTCGGCCACGTTATTTGCCTGCATCCAGGAGGCGATTCGAGACACGAACACTGATTCAAAGAAACTCAAGGAACATATAATTCAGCAATATATTCTTCAGCATTCACAGATTGAAGAAATCTGACAAAGGTTTACTTATAGCATGGCATTTATATCCAATGAACAACATGGCGGTGTGGGAATCCCATTAATATTTAAACTAACGGAAAAGAAACAGAGCTAAAAGCGCAAAAAGAGAAAAAAAAGACACACAACAAAAAAAAAAAAAATAAAAAAAAAATATTCAGGATTTTGTTATACAGTAAAAAAACATATAATTAACGCACAAGAAATATATATAGTTGGTAAAAGAAAATTATAATAGTTGATGAACTGACCAATATTGGATAGAGGGCACATGGCAACTCAGCTCAACTAAACAGGCATGTCGAGATGCGCCAGTAGGAATAAGAATATTTCTCAACCCAAAAAAAAAAAAAAAAAAAAAAAAAAAAAAAAAAAAAAAAAAAAAAAAAAAAAATCAGGATTTATACAGGAAAAACAAAAAGAAAGAAAGAAAATATAGTTGGTAAAGAAAATTATAATAGTTGATGACTGACCATATGGAAAGGGCAGCAACAGCAATAACAGCATTGTCGAGATGGCCAGTAAGAATAAGAATACTCATCATATACCAAATCTCAAGGCAAAGCATAACAGCAGAGGCAAGTGAGAGCCTAACAAAAGCCCAGATCTCCTTAAAGGCAGACCAAGAGAATCCATGCCAACCTTCCTTACAATAACGAAAAACATAAAAAAGAAGAGCCAAAGTCATTGCCCAGCTGCTGAAGTCATATGCTATGGCTGCACCAATCATACCCCACCCAAGTCCATATATGAAAGCCCAAAGTATAATAACGTGCAAAATTAGAGCCGCAAGCGAAGACCAGGCGAGCACATAAACTTTGCTTTGGGCTTGAAGGAACTTTTGGGCAGGGAAATAAATGGCAAGTGAAAACAATTGTGGGATTGTGTATAGAGTGAATTTTCCAGCAGCTTCTGCTAGACTATCTTCTTCTCCGAGGACCTTCAATATTGGAGTTGCAAATATGTAAATTGGCAACATGACAATAGCAGAGACTGTTAAAATAACCCATGATCGCTGCATGTAAACACCCAGCATCTTTACTTGCCCTGCACCAAATGCTTGACCACATAGCGTTTCCAGTGCACTCCCCATTCCAAGCTGCAATTTCATTTTAGAACAGAGTCAACTTAATTCCCTTTCAATATTTTTAAATCTTATAATTTCCTCACTAAAAGTTTTCTTCGATATGCTACTATTAACTAAGAGTAATAGAAAGATTGCAAAAACATTGCAGAAAGCAAACTAAAGATATCAGATTCAGTTTCTGCCTTCAATAGTTTTGTTCTGCCTCTGATGGATTTATTATCTGTAAATTCTGGCCGTTTACCCTGTAGCATAAAAATGAGGAAAAAAAAAATTAAGAGGGAGAAGAAGGTGCAAGTAATGTGCTGACCATGAAGCCAAAAGCTAAGGTGCCAATAACAGCTAGAGAAATGGAAACAGCAGAAAGCTCCAGGGCTCCAATATGACCGACAAATATGGTGGTGACGGTGTTTATACCAAATTGACACATCATATTAAACACAATTGGACCGGCAATCTTCCACAACTTCACCGTCTCTATCCAAAATACACTCCTTATCTCCTTGAATCCCCTCGCTGGCCTGTAGTCTCCGTCTTCGGCGGAGCTGAGATTACCGTTCAGCAGCGGCGTCTCCATGTCCGGCGAGGAGTTTGTTATTTTGCTTATTACAGCTCCCTGTGCTGAGTAGTCGCGTCAGTTCTTGTGCTTTCTTTCTTTCCTTCTAATAGAATTTGCGAAACACTCTCTTTGCCTTTGCAAAAATTATATGGGTAATTACTGTCTAGTCCTGTGTTTTGATTAAATATATTAGTACAAATGCCAGTTTTCATAAAAAAAGACTATCTAAGTTCTGCATTATAAATTTATAATTCCATCGTACAAGTAAGATTTTTTTATTTTCCTTTTTTATTAGTGAATATAATAATAGTATTAATAACAGTTTGATGAATCTGTAAAATACATTTTTAATATAAAAACTAAATAAATATCATTAAAATATACTTTCCATCTCAAAATTATAATTTTTAATGTTTTTCACAAAGTTTAAACAAATTCAAGACCCTAAAAATTATGTATATTAATAATCATTTAAAACTTTCAAAATAGGATGAATTTTTTGTGTATTTAAATTTCAAAAATTAATTATCTTAATTATTTAATTAATATTAGATAAGAGTATTTGTAGGAAGTGAAAACTAAATTATTTCGAAAAATGTAAATGAGATTATTTTTTCACTGAAAAATAGAGTGGGACTAGAATTTTAAAACGGACTGAGTAATATTTTTTTATTGATTGAAAAATTAAACCAAACGTTCTCATAATTGTTTGTATTAAAATTATAAGACTTGTCTATACTTAAAATATAAAATTATACTCTCAATTTATAAGGGTTTTCAAAATATTATTATTATTTTATTTTTATTTTTTTATTAAATATTCAAAAATACTCTTGTTCCGTGGCGAATGCAGCATATAAAAAGAGGGAATTAATTGTTTTCAGGCCGGTGACTTCGAATTTTTAAAGGTTCGGATATCATGGCATACCACAGTAACCAACTGTCATTCTTTCACTTCATTATTGATTCGAGCACAAAACTCCCTCAACAACCCATTTTAAACCAAAGACTTGGTACCGATCTCCATTAAGTATGTTCCTTAGCCTTATCTAATACATTACTAAAAGACTTCCACCGCCCCTTGACTGTCCATCGCGCGTCTATAATACTTGCTTAATATAAAAATTAACAGTGAAACTCTCAAATTATATAAGGGTTTTTTCACATCACCGTATTATTATGGAACTCACTCTTTTATTTTATTTTTTATTTATTAAAGAGTGAGTTCAAAAAAATTACTCTTTGTGTCTTCCCGTATGGCGAATAGCAGCCCATATAAATCGGGGAATTTAATTGTTTTTTTTCAAGTTTCTCTTTGAAACTCACTATAATATATGTATGTGAATAAAGATTATGTTATATATTTACTTATTTATCTATATCACGACAAATCTTATAAAATTTAATTACGTGAAAATATTCATATTCTTAAGCCTGTTTGTTTTTCCAAAAATAACACTTATTTCAATATATATTTAAGCTCACGTAGTCACAGGAACATAAAAAAAATTTTGAAATCCACCTCCATTCTCCTTATATATAATCTTCTAGAATTTTATTTTTGAATTGATTTGACCATGCCATTGGAAGTATATGTTGTCTAAATTAATCTATAAAATTTAATTTATTCATATTCTTAAGCTTTGTTTTTCCAAAAAAATTATATATTAACTCCGGATAAAAAAATTTTGAAATCCACTCTTATTATAATTTTAAATTTTATTTTTAATTGATTTGATGCAGTATATTAAAATCACGTGAAAACCACCGGTTATAGAAGCAAAAATGTGATGAGACTTTATGTAACAATAATGGCGATCACATTGAATTATGTTACCGGTTGTCTTGGTTTGCATGCTCTCTGATATTTGTAGGACCAGTGCAGTGCTTTTAATGCCCAACTACCTGTCGGAGGTTGCCACATACCATAAGCCACAAGGTGGCTGCCTAGCTCTCTACGTTCTATCCAGCTACTCTTACATAAAAAGCTCCTCCCTCACAAACACAAATAAATCAAACCTAACTTAACCACCGGTTCAAAGTATCGGATTTTATTTGAAAAAGAGAACACTATGATATTTATGCCAAAAACCCAAATGTTATGAACAATAATCTTAATTAATTTACAACATAAACACCCAACTACTCTAATATTAATGGGGGTGAGAAGAAAGAAGCAACAACCAGTCAACGAGTAATGGGGATTGAATGGCTCTAAGAAATGAACGTGGAAGAAACAATAACCGTTGGTTGTACCAAACTTTTTAAATCACGTTAATGCAAAAATGGACCTTTCATTTCAGTATCAGAGTCAGAATTGTACTTCCTCCATTGCTGTCTGTGTCTTAACACAGGAAATGCTGAATGGCTAAGAAACATGAATATAAATTTTTTTTTTTTTTTTTTTTTTAAATGCGCTAATGAATATCTCCATATTTGAATTATAAGTTCTTTTATTTTATTTTTTTACCCTTCCTTATTCCCTTGCACTGGAAGAAGATAGAAATTTTTTTTTTTTTTTTTTTTTTGAGTATTGTGTATTATTTTTTGACATGTGAGTATTGTGTATTATTGTTTTTGATAAGGTAATTTCTTTGTTTAATTCAAATAAAAGATAATGTTTTGAACCCACTGCATATAGCTCACATGGAAATCAGACAACAAAAACAAAATCACAACACGATTCCTAGTAATTGTTAATGTTGGAAAAATGTCTCCTTTGATTAGATCTTATATTAATTCCTATGCCAATACCCATAATCATCAACATAATGTATCGTATTCTGGTTCCTCAGTACACCAAACATTTGAGTGGGGATAAAAAAAACTCATCTATTTCCATTTCTGCTGGATCCTAAGTTCATTTTTGATTTGGACTCCATTGTCTGGATCTTGATCACACTGGGCCCCCATCTGATACCTATGTGTTCTATTTTTTATCATAATAAAACAATATATAACAATTTAGGCCCACTCTCAAGAAAAAACAATTTGGGCCCAACACTATTACTGGCCCATATGTGATATATCCAATAACAATAGGAGAATAGCTTGAACCTAGGAATTCAAGATTGAGTTACCAGTAACAAGTGCAAATGAGCTTGAACCTTACAAAATACTCATTTTCTTCTAAAAAATAAGTAATTTTACAATACTTATTTTCTCCACAAAATATAATTTGTTTTAAAAATGTCAATGAATAATAGTGGTAATTTTTCTTAACTTTTTTTTATTTGTATTTAAATGATAATAATTATCTCTACTTTTAAAGAGAAAATTAATTAAATTAATGAACATTTTATTATAATTTATAATAATTAATAATTTCGTTAATCACTGCATAATAAAATTTCGTTAATCAATGCATAATAAACATTACCATAATATATATATATATATATATATATATATAATTGGTCCGTATGCAATATTGTTTATTTTGCAATAAAGAATAAAATATTGAATCTTTGCACTAAAGTTTTGCCAATGATTAGGCTTTGATGAGAATAGATATTGGATAGAAAGAACTTTGGAATGCAATGTCACTCTAGATCACTGGAAGAAAGCAAGCTTGCTGATTTCATTAAAAAAAAAAAAAGAAAAAAGAAATTATTCATTATTAATCATTAGTTTGAGGCTTCTATATATATAATTGTCGTATGCAATATTGTTTATTTGCAATAAAGACATAAAATATTGAATCTTTGCACTAAAGTTTGCAATGATTAGGCTTTGATGAGAATAGATATTGATAGAAAGAACTTTGGAATGCATGTCACTCTAATCACTGAAAGAAAGCAAGCTTGCTGAATTTCATTAAAAAAAAAAAAAAGAAAAAAGAAATTAATCATTATTATCATTAGTTTGAGGCTTCCAACAATCTTATACATAAATGCATTATTTTGAAAAATAATAAAAGGACCATGCCCATAGGCAGCTGTTGCGTTTGTAATGATACTCAGTTTTCAAATGAAAGTAGTGTTCGCACATGTCCTTGCCTTGGGCCTTATAAAATCAGATCCACTCAATTTAAAACGAATTCCAACCCTAGTAAATATGTTTGAAAAAATAAAATAAATTCAGACAAAATAAACAATAATTAAATTTATATGGTTTGGTTAAATTTGTAAAATAAACTCATTATTAATAATAATAATTGGTGAGAAACGAAAAGAACAGTTAAACCTATTGGGCACGCATAGAATTTAACAGTAGCAGATGGATTCAGCTTTTAGTCAGCAATGTAAAATCACGTGTAGCCTCATGTCAAAACTACCCTATCGTAGGCCGAAACGTATTGCGACAGTATCTTATGAGGAAATCTAACGGCTCTGATTCACCAATGGATGCTTCTCAATACGGCGCTCCCTCATTATGTTTAATTAAAATATAAATAAATAAAAAAGAAACGCTACATGCATGTCCTCACGCTGGCCTCTACAAGATTTGACAACTCATTTCCCTTCTCTTCTTTTTCCCGTCACCGGTTATATCCGGTTAACAAAACTGCAGTTCTATTAAAATTGAGTTAAAATTATAATTCTCTCGGTAAAAAGAATATTATTGTTGAACTTTATTTTTTATTTCTCAAAATTTTAAAAATTCTGATCCCTAATTCGGATCGTAGATGACAAAGACTTATTTTGAAAGTGTACGGGACAATGGGGGCGTGTGTCAATTGTCAGATACTAGAAACCTGGAAACAGCAAACTGGATCGTGACTAGTTTGTGACTGTGGGTTATCAAAATCAGATGACAGCTAAAAAGCCCAGTATTTCGAGTGTTCAATGTACACGTGTTCCAATTACATGTTAAAGCTCATTTCATAAACCAAATTTGTTTTTGTAAATTTTTTCCGCACAGAATAATTTTCATTATTTAAAATTGTTATTAATGATAATTGGTCCACGTACGTTAAGAGTCTAAACTTTGACGCTTGCAAATTGTCAATTGTATTGTTAGTGACATTTAAGTCTTTTTAAGGTCCTTAATTATGTGAACCTAAACACCAAAATTAAAGAAAATTATAATTTAGCAACCGCATCAAATTGGCTACTTGTTTTAATTTCCAACTTGTCCAAGTGGGAACCCATTTTTGGACCAACCCTATATTTTTCCACTTAAAGATTTAATTAATGAATAATTAAATTTAACTAAATTATACTCTATTTTATATATTAACAGAGATTTAATTGTTCAAATCGAA